CCAATGCGCCCCAGCCCTCGAGCAATTCCTCGCGAATCTTTGCTCCGTTCCGAGTATGTTGATCCTCTTCGCTATATCGCTTTCAAAGACAGCTTTTGGTATCTGGTATACTGATGTCTAATATCTGACCGTGTAGACTGTTGGCCTCGTCGCTCCATCGAGTATACCATTCACATCATTCCCGCTGGGAAAGACTACGTTCCAGATTACGACATCTGTCGGCCGGTCTCTGCAAACCTATGATCTACTCCGCGGTCTCAACCTGGTCTTCGTCACTCGACCCCAGACGCCCGCCGATATTACTGCCACCCACGCCTACGGAAAAAAGGTCTTTGCAGCATGGGGAGGGTCTCAGGATAACGAGCCTCAGGGTCTTTGGGTGTTCCAACGAGGAAGAAAGGTGGACGAGGTAGTCCTCCCAAGCGACTTGACGGAGCCGATTCAGCAAATCATGATCTTCGGTACCTGGTTCATTGCATGCGCAAAGACGAGGATTGAGGTCTATAAAACAGCAACGCTCGAGCATTACACGACTATTCAAACCATGGCCGCCGCCAAGGGCGGCCATGAAATCACCGGCGGCGTCGTCACTATGCCGACGTTCCTCAACAAGATTTTCGTTGGTCGCAAAGATGGCTGGGTCGAGATCTGGAACGTCAGCACTGGCAAACTGATATACACCATTCTTCCTCCTTCCCCAGACTCTGGCGCTGTGACTTGCCTCGAGCCAACTCCGGCGCTCTCCCTGCTGGCAATCGCGTATTCGAGCGGCACCCTCGTCATTACCAACGTCCTCACCGACAAGCGCGCTCTTCAAGTCGAGGCCGGACACCCAGATGCCCCCGTTACTTCGATCTCATTTCGAACAGATGGTTTGGGAGCTGGACACGATGGTAGAAAGGATGGTGTCATGGCCACAGCCACTCCGTCCTCGGGCGACATTACCTTCTGGGACCTTAACCGTGGAGGTCGTGTCATGGGAGTCTTGCGCAGTGCCCACAATCCACCTTCTGGTGAAGGGGATGCCGTCCGAGGCGGTATTAGCAAGGTGGAGTTCCTTTCTGGACAAGCAGTCATTGTTTCCAGCGGCCGAGACAACTCACTCAAGTCTTGGATTTTTGACGAGACACCTTTCTCCCCCATTCCGAAGATTCTGCACTCTCGTAGTGGACATTCTGGACCCGTCAACTGCCTGCAATTCTTGCCCTCTGACTTTGACGGTGCTGAAGCTGGAAACAAGTGGATTATCAGCGGTGGCAAGGATAGAAGCCTCTGGGGGTGGAGCATGCGTCGTGATGGACAGAGCACTGAGCTCAGTCAGGGCAACATACGCAAGAAGGCGAAGAAGATTGGTATCCTGGCTGCCAACGCTCTGGCGCATGGCCCAACAACTACTCTAGAAGACCTCAAAGCCCCCGAAATTACATGCATTGCCGCCTCGCTTAACCGCGACGGTGGCATGGGCGCTCTGCCGGGCAAGCAGGAGATTTGGCAGAAGAGCCGGGATCCCAAGAAGAAGCTGGACGCTGAAATTAGCGGAATGACGGGCTGGGAAAGTGTAGTCACCGCTCACAAGGGCGATGCCTTCGCCCGCACCTGGTTCTGGGGCCGCAAGAGGGCAGGTCGCTGGGCATTCCCGACTGGCGACGGCACCGACGTCACGACTGTTGCCATCAGCCCCTGCGGAACGTTTGCTCTGGTCGGCTCAGGGGCTGGTGGCATTGACATGTACAACCTTCAGTCTGGTGTACACCGTCAACGCTTCCCCTCCAAATTGACGCCGGCACAGGCTCGTCAGCTCAAGATGCAGCAGCTCCGCCAGGCGGACGATGTTGTTCAGCTGCAGAGTGAGGGAAACCGGAAGTATCCCGCGGGCGTTGGCAAGCATACCAAGGCGGTTACAGGCCTGGTTGTCGATTCCATGAACAAGACCGTCGTGTCTTGTTCGCTGGACGGAAAGATCAAGTTCTGGGACTTCTTGACGGGAACCCTTCTGGAGCAGCTGGACTGGGCGCCCATGACACTCCCGACCGGATGCCGGTACCATCCCGCCAACAATCTCCTCGCCTTTTCTTGCGATGACTTGTCCATTCGGGTTGTTGATTTGGAGACGAAAAAGACTATCCGTGAGTTCTGGGGCCCCAAAGATGTTATCAACGATTTTTGCTTCTCGAACGATGGCCGATGGATCATTGCGGCCTCTCGCGATTCCATCATCAGAGTCTGGGATCTGCCCACGAGCCATCTCATCGACGCCATTCGGCTGGAGAAGCCTTGCAAAGCTGTGTCCATGTCGTACACGGGCGAGTATCTCGCTGCTGCTCTCGAGGACAGCCCTGGCGTCACCATCTGGACAAACAAAACGCTGTATAAGCATGTTCCGACGCGCCAGATCTCCGAGGCGGAGATCAGCTTGGTGGCTGCCCCCACGACAGCTGGCGAGGGCAACCAGGGCTTGCTGGAGGCTGCCTTTGAGGATGACAAGCCAGAAGAAGAAGACGCTGGTGTTGTTGCGCCTACCGTCGATCAAATCAGCGCCGATCTTATGACGCTGAGTTTGGTTCCCAAGAGTAGGTGGCAGACGCTGCTTCATCTGGATCTGATCAAGGAGCGCAACAAGCCAACAGAGGCGCCAAAGCTGCCCGAAAAGGCGCCCTTCTTCTTGCCCTCGACCTCGGGTGCTCAAGTGCCCGGCGTCAAGGATGGTTCAGAGGAGGCAGAGAACGCCAGCAAGTCTCGTATCTCGAGATACGACAAGGCTCGCTTTGAGGAGACATTTACGTCGAAGCTGCGTGCTGGTGCAGCAAGGGGCAACTGTAAGCTTCTACCCTACTGCTGCTTCCCAGCGTTACTCATTACCTAGGTATTGGACAGTCACTGACATTTCTTGTTCCATCAGACAATGACTTCATCGAGCACCTCAAGTCTCTATCTCCCTCAAGCGCAGATCTCGAACTTCGCTCCCTCTCTCTGGGCGAAGACGACGACTCCAACGAGCTCCTCCACTTCATCCGCGCCCTGACAACACGGCTCCAAGCGCGAAAAGACTACGAGCTGACGCAGGCTTGGATGACGGTGTTCCTCCGGCTTCACTTTGACATGGTAATGGAGAGCAAGACACTGCTGAAGGCTCTCGAGGAGTGGAAGGCGCATCAGGAGAAGGAATGCAACAGGCTGGATGACTTGGTTGGATATTGCAGTGGCGTGGTGAGCTTTTTGAGAAGCCCGAGGACGTGATGGCTGTATATTCTCACGATACATAATAGATGAGCGGCTGGAAATGATGCAAAGACTTTTACAATGTAACGGAAAGGAATGACCATACGCTTCGTGTGATCCTGTTGTCAACCCCCAGACTACATTTCCACCGAATATGCCAGGCAAACTTGGTTCTCCAATAAAGAGACGCCAGACCCCATCACATTACAGTACTCATCACATCACGATCGACATTTTCTAGAGTATCACAAAGCACGTCTTCTTCTTCATGGCCCCCGCAAGCAGGAAAGCACCACAATGAAAAGAGTTTGTGTGAACGATATCAAAAATTGCGCCTCCCATGGCCCCGAAGGACAATGGAGCAAGGAGTTGACTCCGCGAATGTGCAATGCAGGCCCTCCATCACTGCATTCCCAAATGCTTGATCTTGGGAATGCGAAACAAGGTAAGTATGAAGAAAAGGAAAAAAGAAGAGAAAAAATCAAGAAGAGAGAGGAGAGGAGGAGGATTATATATCCATGGGAGATGGTCTGTGCGCGCGGGCGGTGAGGTTGGGCAGTCGGCAGGTTCGCGACTGCTGCCTGCTGCTGCCTGGAGGGCTGAGTGAATGGGAGGTGAATTTGATGTGAGAGGTGCGAGTGAGTGTGGTTGTATGTACGGTTTGATTGGTGGTGAGATGAGGGGAAACTTGAGGACTGGTTGATCACGGTGTACGAGTATGTACATGGACTCGGGACTTGCCGTTTTGAGCAAATGGGATGGTGGAGAGGCTGCCCAAGGTTGCCTCGGGAAGCAATTGAAGCAATCGACACAGGATGAACTGAGGCTCTACGATTAGTAGAAGCATGGAGCTTTACAAGATTTGTCAATCCGACGAAGACCGAATGCCGAAGATCTCGCCTATACGGCATACACCTGAACAATACTTCTTCTACATCCGAGGAGCGCGTTGAAAGTCCTAGGGGGCAAAGGCAGTCTCTTGTGGCGTGGGCAGTTGAGACGGGCAGGCATCAGCAGGGGGCAGAAGACTGTTAGCATCAGACAAAAGAACGACCAATGGCCTTCATATCAAGCAGTCAAACTTCTTGATAAAGGAAACCAACAGAGCTCGCGTCATGGCACAATCGGTGCTAGTCGAAGGAGTTGCAATGGTTGTTGCTTGACTTCACTTGGGAGTTACACACTCCAGATGCTCATCGTGATACGGGGGGTGTTACAGCACCTCTTGCTGCCGGGTCATATCAGCTTCCCAATTGTCAAGCCGCGGTGGCTGTTTTCTCTCCCAAAGGAGACCGTTAACCATCGCTGATACGCACGAAGTGAAGCACCGCCTCGGATCTCGGATCGATCTTGGGCTCCAGAGATGGACGTGCTGGACATTGGAGACGCAGCTTCTGAGCCATTCGCAGAGCATGTGCACCGTATGGCTTTCCAGCACTTCAGTATGTTTTGAGGTAATCAACATGTTTTGATGAGATTCAAAGTAATCGTGTCGGTGTACAGCGGTAATGAAAGCATGAAAACAGACGTGCTTCTCCAAAAATGATGCAGACGCTGGTCAATCTCAAAATAACTCCCCATCAACTGCAGTCAACCTGCATCCAATGCCTTAGCGCCTCTAGCCGTGAGGTTTGGCGCCACCCACCCTTCGCCTTTAGCGCACTCCTACCCGCGGCATAGCGGGGCATCTGGGTTGGATTTTCTACCTTGCAGGTTATCGGGCTGTAAAAATTTCCAACCATCGCAAAAGCGCAACTGCCGGAGCACGTCAAATCGCAACGATGGGCAGGAAAAACTTCAGAGTGAGTCTCTGCGAGCAAGCAGCACAATCAATTGATTGCAATTGACCAGAACTGACTCGATACTCGTCATATGCAGGGTAAAAACCGTCGTGGAGGCGGCGGCGGACGCGGAGGAGGCGAGCGCAGTCAGAGCTGGAGAGACTACCCGGCCCTTAAGAAGGAGAACCAGAAGCTCCAGGAGTACTACGACGCGCTGCTGCAGCTCCCCGAGGAGGAGAAGACGCAGTTCTGGGAGGCATTGAGGCGCGAGCTGCCCAACAGCTTTCGCTTCTGCGGCTCCAAGGGGTATGTTGAACCTTGCGCGCCAGAGGCTTTCCTCTTCCTCCCAACTCAACGCGCTCGTCGCTAACATCTGTGTCGCATAGCCACGCGCTCGCCGTCGAGAGACTTCTGCGAACACGATACATCCCCGAAATCGTCAAGATCGAGCATCAGGATGGTCGCCCCGTTGACCCTCCCAAGCCGGTGCCCTGGTACCCCGACGAGCTTGCCTGGTGGATGACCACGCCCAAGAACGTCGTGCGCAAGTTCCCGCCCTTTGCGGCTTTCCAAAAGTTCCTCGTCTCCGAGACCAGCGTCGGCAACATCAGCAGACAGGAAGTCGTCAGCATGATCCCTCCTCTGCTGATGGATCTGCGACCGGGCATGACGGTGCTGGACATGTGCGCCGCGCCGGGAAGCAAGTCTGCCCAGCTGCTGGAGATGCTCCATGTCGGCGAGGAGTCCCGCGTGAGGAAGGTCCTGCGACAGTTTGCTAAGGAAGACGGCCTGGACCTCGGTGAGGAGACCAAGGACGAGGCGGAGGCGGACCTCGAGGCGGATCCCTCTGATGCCGGCCGCGCGACCGGTCTTCTGATCGCCAACGATGCCGATTACAAGCGTGGACATCTCCTGGTCCATCAGCTCAAGCGACTGTCTTCGCCCAACCTCCTTGTTATGAACCACGACGCTACCCAGTTCCCCTCCATCAAGCTGCCCTCGCCCGAGCCGAACAAGCCCGTCTATCTCAAGTTTGACAGAATTCTGGCCGACGTTCCCTGCTCCGGTGACGGAACCGCCCGAAAGAATGTGAACCTGTGGAAGGATTGGCAGCCGGGTAGTGCCCTGGGACTGCACGTCACCCAGATCCGCATCCTGGTCCGAGCCCTACAACTCCTTAAAGTCGGCGGTCGCGTCGTGTACTCGACATGCAGCATGAACCCGGTTGAGAACGAATCAATCATCGCTGCTGCGATTGAGAGATGTGGTGGCTTGGACAATGTCGAAATCGTCGATGCTAGCAACCAGCTCCCTGGTCTCGAGCGACGACCCGGTCTGAAGACGTGGAAGATCATGGATAAGAGCGGCAGGATTTGGAGCTCCTGGGAAGAGGTCGAAAAGTTCGCCAAGGAGAGCAACGACGGCGTTGTTCCCGGTCGACTACAGTCATCCATGTTCCCTGATCCCGAGGGAACCAAGTTGCCCTTGGAGCGCTGCATGAGGGTGTACCCTCACCTGCAGGACACTGGCGGCTTCTTCATCACCGTTTTGGAGAAGAAGTCGGAATTCAAGGCGAAGCCCGAGAACGAGGCCAAGGAGGCCACCCAGTCAAACGGAGCCGCTGAAGAGGCTGCTGCCGCCAACAAGAGGCCCCTGGATGCTGATGTTGATATGGAGCAGCCTGCCAAGAAGGCCAAAACCGAGGAGGGAAATCCAGCAGCCACAACTCCTGCCCCTGCTGCCGAGCCTGCTGCCGAGCCTGCTGCTGAACCTTCCGCTACACCTGCCGCTGCACCTACCGCCGAGCCTGCCGTTCAGCGCGAGGACCGTCCCGGCAAGCCAAAGAAGAACGGCCCGGTAGAAGAGCCCTTCAAGTACCTCGACCCCTCTCACCCGACCATCCAGAACATCAAGGACTTTTACAAACTGTCAAGCCGCTTCCCCACCGACCGCTACATGGTGCGAAACGAGATGGGAGAGCCGGCCAAGGCAATCTACTACACCACCGCCCTGACGCGCGACATTCTGACGGAGAACGAGGGCCGGGGCCTCAAGTTCATCCACGGCGGCGTCCGCATGTTCATGAAGCAGGACGCGCCCTCGGCCGAGGTCTGCCGCTGGCGCATCCAGTCGGAGGGCATGCCCATCCTGCAGGGCTACGTGGGCGAGACGCGCGTCGTGCACCTCCGCAAGAAGGAGACGCTGCACAAGCTGCTCATCGAGATGTTCCCCAAGATTAGCGACGGCGGGTGGCAGAACTTTGAGGAGATTGGCGAGCGGGTGCGCGACATTGGCATGGGCTGCTGCGTGCTGCGGGTCGAACCCGAGGGCGACGACCCGGAGTGGCAGGAGAGGATGGCGCTGCCCTTGTGGAAGAGCATTCATTCGCTGAATCTGATGCTGCCCAAGGAGGATCGGTCGGCGATGCTGTTGAGGGTGTTTAATGATACTTCGCCGCTGATCAATATCAGTTTGCAGCGGAAGGAGAAGAAGGCTGCTGAGGAGGCGCAGCAGCAGGAGGAGGAGCAGGTTCAGGAGTTGGATGATATTGATGTGGAGGATATTCCTACGCCAGAGGGAGATGATTAGTCGTGAGATGGGGGGCATTTATACTATTGTCGATTCAAGAAGCCCCGGAATATGGGTAAAAGTATGTACAATGGGCTATACCTGGAAGAAAATTGGTAGAGGTGCCTGGTAATTTAGGTATTCAATCTACAAGCTTGTTTGTCGTTTTACATCTATCCGTCGACGTTAATTTTACAGCGTCATCTCTATATGCTGTACAAAATGCCATCATATGTATCGTACAAAGTCTCTTCCTTCATGGCAGATATACGCCTTACTCATCCAAAAGCCCAACCGTCCAGTCAACAATCCTCTCCACCCCCTGCCCCTTAATCGCGCTCACCGGAATCGCGGCGCAGTTCTTCGTCCACGCCCCCTCAACACCACTCGGATGCTCCTCCCTCCCTTCCGTAACATCCTCGAGATACTTCTCCAGCTCTTTGAAATTCTCCCTCGTCGACGGCAGATCAGCCTTGGTGGCGACCACGTACCACGGCTTGCCCGCAATGTGCAGCGTCGGCGTCCTGGTTTGCGCTTCCTGCATAGGCAGCGGCGTGCCGTATGAGGCGCCCATGAGGTTGATAGGCCCGCGCTCCGCCTGCGAGGCCAGGTCCCAGTCCACGGCGGCCTCGAATTCGCGCGAGCGCTCTTCTTCCTGGCGCATTTCGGCGTAGAGGCCGACTTCGCGCCAGAGGGCTTTCAGGGCGGCGACGGCGCTGCCGGCGCTGAGGTCGATGACGAAGGCGAGGACGCCGGCCCGCTCGACGTGGCGGAGGAAGGCTATGCCGAGGCCGCGGTCGAGATGCGCTCCTTCAATGAGGCCCGGGATGTCGGCAACGGTGAAGCGGGTTCGCGGCTCGCCCAGGGCGGAATCATCGGCGTTGGCGTCTGGAGATGAAGACGGGTAGCGGTGGCGGCGGGCTTTGACGTTGGGACGGCCAGAGTACTTGTCCAGGACGACGGTGCCGATGTTGGGCTGCAGCGTAGTAAAGGCCCAGTTGCCGACCCGCGCACGGCTGTTTGTGAGAGCTCGCAATAGAGTGCTCTTCCCGGCGTTAGGCAGGCCCACGAGGCCTACGTCGGCCAGGAGCTTGAGTTCGAGGGAGATTTTCATAGTGACGGCCTCTTCGCCCTTGGTGGCAAATACTGGTCGCGGGTGGTTTCTAGACGTGAAATGAGGGTTGCCAAGGCCGTTGATGCCGCCTACGGCAAGCAAGATGGGCGTCGGTGTTGGTCTGGAGAGGTCGAGATAGATAGGCGGGGGAGGCTGCTGAAAGTAGCGAGTCCGCTTGGGCAGCTTGGGGAACTCTGCGGACTTCATCTCGCTCTTGGACATGCCTGGATAGAGAAGCCACTTCTCGCGCTCAGGGTTGTCGGCGTCTGGATCGTAATCATCCTCGGGGCTGTTCTTCTTTCGGCGTCTTTCATCCAGATCGTCCTCTTCAGCTTCCTGCTCGGCTTCCTGCTCGGCTTCCAGCTCGGCTTCACGGTCGCGCTGTTGCTGGGCCAGAAGCTCACGTCTTCTCTGTTTCTTCAGCGCCTGATACGCCCTCAGGGCCATTTCTTCCTCGGCAGCTGGGTCGTGACGTTCAATCTCCTGCACGATTGTGCCGACTGGGACGGTGATGACGACGTCTTCGCCTCGCATGCCGCCTTTCCCACTGCCCTGCCCGTGCCTCCCGCGTCCAGCACGGATGAAGCGCCGACGGGCGAGCTTATGCAGCGAAGTCTCGCCATGGGCGGCCTGTATATAGACGTTGCCTCCTATGCCTCCATCGCCGCCATTGGGAGGGCCGTCGGGCAGGAAAGCTTCTCGCTGGAACGAGACGCAGCCATTACCGCCGCGGCCGGCATAGACTGTCAGCTCAGCTTTGTCCGCAAAGCTGGGTGCTGCATAGTCGTCCGGCGCCGGATTCAGTCGCGATTCAGGTAGGCTGTTCAGTACTGGGGAGGAGGATGAAGACGAAGAAGAAGAGTGACGGCTGAGAGCTGTTCGGAGTAGGGTAGGATAGGCGGATCGAGGGCGGAAGAGAGCCGGATAGAGAAACGGGGCCAGAGGCAGCTGGGATGGCCCGGGGCACCGAGGTGGCATGTTGTCTTTATGTGAGGATTCAGGACTGCTTGTCCATGTTTGGTTCCCTTGAATCTATATCGGAGGCAAAATGTGAGGTGCCAGAAAATTCACGATGATGCAGGCTGATAAGATAAGAACACAATAGCCTAGCAGGTAAATTTTAGCGGCAACCGCCTGTAGCTTGGCGGAGGACAGCGCCGGGATGGACCCCACCAGCGCCGACGATGGCGGGCGTGGCGGGGTAGAGGCCGATCAGAGGCTTTCCAGGTTTACATATGGTTGGTAAATAACCATATCGCAGTTTGTCGTGGAACGCTTTGGATGCTGATATACATACATGTTGACAGCGTAAAGAGACATTGTGTTGAGTTGCGCATTTGCATATTTTCCATCGGCTAATCTTCATCTGCAGATGGTGGCGAATGCAGTGCAGCTTGAGGCGCCTGAGTGCATAACGGGAAGCTGCTGCCAGCTCTGCCTGCTGAGTTGGCAATCGCCGGTCAAAAGCTGATGAAACCTCCAGCTCGATTTTCCGTCTCCCGCCCCCGCTCTCAAGCCAAACTACCTACCTACAGAACTGAACCCTGTCTCTTTTCGCTGGCCCATGTCGGAATGGACGGGCAAGAAGAGAAAAGCACGCACGGATTTGAGGCAGACGGCTTGTGATTTGCTGCGGCTATGATGATCGCCATTGGAATGTATGTACTGGTTGCTTGGGACATATGTACGATACGAATACCGCCGAGAGCAAACGCACTTCTCACGATGAGGCAGCAGAGCGAAACAGAGACAAGGCACAACTGCAAAGACATAAGACGACAGCAGGGAGCAGCACATCACATCATGTCGCAGCTATACCACCAGCTTCCAGCATCGTCTGCGCCCATCGTGACCTCTCGCCCGTTTGCTAGGGCTCCTCTAGCTCCTCGCCAGCCTCGTCAAGCTCAGTCCACAGGATTCGATCCGGCCAACGGCGGGCCTCGTCCATGCATATCCCGCCCCTCGTGATTCGACGGTGCATGGCTCGAGCCCGCTTGCCAATGCAAAAAAGTGCGGTCAATTTCTCTTGCTGCTGCGAAGTACATACAAGTGCTGCAGTATGCTAGTCAGTACATGACAGTAGCACCAGCAGCTGGATTGCTTCGATTTGCTCGCAGGCGGCGGCTTCAAAATATCACCCGCCGCAGGGGACGGACCGGCTGACGGACTACATACTCCCACTCGTTTGCCCGCACTCCCGCAGCAAGCACCTACATGATACATAGCGGTATGCTACAGCACATCAGCACGCTCACAGGCAACAGACAAAAGTAAGAAGGAAAGGAATATGCGAGGGAAGCAAGAGAGATCGGCTAGGGTGAGCCAGAGTAAAGCCGCTGGTACGGAGGCGACGGGGCTGCTGCAGGCAGAATATCGCGTACTTGTACCAGCCAGGTTCTGCCCTCGCTTGGTCCGACCCGATTGGTGAGACGCACGTCGCTCGCCCTTCACTCTATCCTGCCGGCTCCATCCGCCTGCTGAGTTTTCGCTGCATGAGACTGGTCTCCTCACCACGGTCAACAAGTCAGTGCCAGCTCGACCCTTGTGTGTGTGCCGTGTCTCTGCTTTTGTGTGACACCAGCGGGCTCCATTGCTGCACGGACAGCGAGACGCCGGCGGCCACATACATATCCAGACCTGCAAGAGTATCGACCGCCACATTTCTTGATTGCAAAGACGCACGGGGAAGCAGCACGAGGAAGAAAGCACTGCTACCAGGCGACGGGCTGTCAGGGTTGGTCTCGGCCACGGCAAATATCACGCCTCCTCAGGATTGCCACTTGCTGCGCTCGTACAGCTACCGAGACAGGCATCGTTTCATTTTCAACGGTATAGCCATATCTGAACGGACAGCATCAATTACTCCGCCCAACCTGCTCTTTGCGCCTCCTCTCTGTCCATCTCCTCTCTTCATAATCACTCTCTTGTCCTCCCTTCTTCCAAGCCCGCTTGAGACGTCACCTGCTCGGCAGCCTCTCCCTCGCCCTCTCACTTGTTTGGGCACCTGCGGTCTCCGTTGGGCCAGTTCGCTGCTCGTTAGGCTAGCCTGCATAGGCTCCTCGATCCCGCATTCGAGCCACGACAGCTGGCCCCGTCACCCACCTGCCGCCTCCTCATTCGGCCCCAAAAAGCACACGCTCGTCGTCCTGCAGCTGCCCTCTGGGTTTTCCCCACGCTCTGGTTTCTGGTCCCGGACCTTGAGATCTTGTCCCTCCCAAAGGCCCTCCTTCTGGTCCCCTCCGGAAAGCTTCATCCTGGGCCCGACGCCGCCAGACGTGCTGCTTCGTGCTTGTGCTTGTGCTCGCGCGTGTGCTTGCAGGACGCATCCCCAACTCGCCCGCCTTCTCATCTAGCACAGCTGCTGCTCGTGCTGTTGGCATTGCGTCCATTCCCTTTACCGCTTGGCGTGAGCCTATCGCCGCTTCTGCTTGTCTTAACCTTTCCTCACCTGGTCAGTCTCTCTGCTTCTTACTCTCTCCCTCGCACTCTCTGCTGCTCTCGTTCCCCTTCTCTGCTCCTGTCCTCTCCTCTCCTCCTCTTCCGCTCCTCTCTCTCTCTCATGCTCAACCTTCCAATCCGCCCTCTACCACAATTTCCCAGCTTGCCCACTTGCGTCCCTCATGAAGCCCGTTTATGGGCCTGCCAACGGGGGGGAGTGAGGCCTTGCTACTGCGGTTGACGATACCACGTATCTGTGCCCGTCAACAAGCCCACCGTGCCCTTTCTCTTCCGCGTGCCTGAATGCCTTCTGCTTTGTGTAATTACTAGCCCGTATTCTGTTTCCTACCCGTCCTTCCTTGAACACTGGCTTCATTACACCTCAACCTAGACAGCGCCTCTTCACCTGACCCCGGAGACGCAACCTTTGCTAAGATGCACACCAGAGATATTAAGGTGCGCAAGACCGTCATCAGAATGGATCCGGACTGCGCCATATGCCATGCGCCGGCCTCGATGGCCTGTGACTGCGAGGCAAAAGGCCTCGAGGTGGCCGTTAAGCAGGCCGAGGAACGCATGATGCGATCCATATACGGCGACATACGGTTGGTTCTACCTCTTCCCGCGCCTCACTGACATATCTTACTGCTCTGCCATATCCTGCCTTGACCGCCTTTGATGATGCCCGTGGCCCAGCATAAACTGATTCGTCGCATCCATAGTTCGTGGGTAAGGGCCCATGCCCAGGATTATATACTCGAGTATTTCCGTCAACTTGCCGAACGACGAAAGACGGCCCACTCGGCTCATCTCGACCACATCACCGCCCACGCCTTCTATCATTACAACGCGCCGCCACATCCCAACCAGATCGCCGAGGCCCAGGCCACCCTGAAGCGAGGCATCGACGAGGATTGGCAGGCCAGCGTACAACGTTATCCCGAAGTCCTCGAATACTTTTACAGCCTCATCGAGCTCACCCTTCCCGCGGACGACGAGTCTGCCGTGAAGAACCCTCCCTTGACTGCTCCACCTCGGAAGCCGAGTCGTCGGGCCGGCTCCATCAGTGCCAGCGCCGGTTCCGCTCCTCCTCCCGCCATAGCCCCTCCCTCGTCTTTCCACGACCGCGATGCCCTCATGGAGCGCCGGACTCCCGCGCCAGCTACCACACCACGAGACCGAAGGACATTCAGGCCACCGCCTCCCCAGCACCACCCATCTTCGTCTTACTACGCACCGTTTGGATGAGAAAAATACAATGATACCAAAAGAAATAAGCAATATAAGCGGACCATTATCCCCATAACGACACATACTGTCATAGGCACAAGCTGGCTATCGACATGTCATTTCTCTTTCATTCATGTCCTCTGCGTCAAGAGCATCACGACATGTACGATCACTCTAGTTTCATTTGTCTGGAATGGGAATGGCATGATTGCACGGGAAGTCTTGAAATGATGGGATATCTTTCTTACACACACATATATCTTTGGCTACATTTACACGTTATTTTTTGGATACCATTCAGCTTGGCGTATAAAAGATGCATCAAGGAAGCGAATGATTTGTCTCCCCATAGCATTGAGTAGCCATCAATAAGCCTATATAGTGAGCATTCGTGTGTATAACGTGACGCTTTTCTCATGTTTACTAGGACACCCAGTAGCCTTCAAGGCAAGACAAGTCACCAAGGCGTCTATTCATCTTGCTGCCATTTCATCCCTCCTCCTTCCCAGACGACTCATTTAACCATACCCTCACGACGCAAATCATCAGCATCTCCCCATCACGATCGAGTACATACCTAGTAGGTACTTGCGGTGAAGACCTGCATGGGACCTCTTTACCTCGTCATTCATGCGTCGGTCGAGCGGCCGCATGATTCGTACATTAGATACATACGTAGTTCATTTAGCTTCAAATCGGTCTTTTTGGACTCCCTTCCTTCGCTATCAAGTGGGCTTCATTTCAACGAGCAACATGCAATCTGCACTATACATGTCGTTTGTACGATTTCACATGTTTGTGCTTCCCCTAGAAGCGCATACGTACATGCAGATATGCAGCTTCGCATGCAGGCTGTTGAAGAAGCCGGGCCACTGAGAGCCAGGACATTCACCGAGAAATTTCACGCAAAGGCGTTGTTGGTTCTGGGGTATCTGTGGGAGTTGTTCTACAGTATGTGCAGTGGTCCGATAATTGTGCAGAAGGGTTCATCTATATGACGCCAGAGGAACATGTCTAGATAAGGTCAATGCCTGGTAGTCCTTCTTAATGGTAATGGGAGTTGAGATACGTCAAGTCGCAATGCGTGTATTTCGTGCCTAGAAACTCCTTTCTCGATTGCTAGTAGACGTGATATACCAGGGTACAAAAATAGAAACGACAGAAAAGAAAAAGGGTATACACACACCAAAGGCATGTGAGAAGAGGCCCATGTGACAGTAACAGGCGTACCCGAAGACGCGGATTGTTGGTGTGTAACGATATAGGTAACAGGTAGAGGGAGGAGGAAAGAAACCCATTTTGTTGATGATTTTTGCTTGTCCGCCCAGCTCCTTTTTGTCTTTTTTACCCGCCATGTCCCATCCATCCATCCCCCTTTTTCAATTGCTCTCCACCCGCACAAAACAAGTGATAACATAATAAACAATCTTTCCTTTCTTTTTTTGTTCAAAAACTACATCGTCGAAGCTGACCTGGGAGAAGCGCGCGAACTTGTCAGAGAGAAACAGATAATCATGAAGTGGTGTGTGAGAGGAACGAGAGATGGCGGCGCGGTCAGCCTCCACACGATAATCGTAGCTTTTCAAAAAGAAAAGAAGAGTTTAGGAATTAGCATCAGCGGCTGCTGATGCTCTCTTTCCCTCTTTGGGGCTCTGGACCCGGAGGCTGAGAAGTTGTCTACTATGACGACTCCTCCTTTTTGTCCTCGAGAGAGGCCTCCTTGAGTTCGGCGGTCGCTTCCTCAACCTTGTCGCCGTTGGTAGAGTTCTCGCTCTTCTCGTTCTTCTCAAGCTCCTCGAGCTTCTTCTTGGCCTTCTCGATGTTCTGTAAGGAGTTAGTTACTTTCTTTGACAACAAAGAGTGAGATGGGCACTTACACGCTGGGTCTGGGCGGCCTGGTCCTCCTTCCAGTGGGTAAGCTTGGCCTTGACCTTTTCGATCAACTCAGGCTTGTCCTCCTCGCGCATGGGGGGATCAAGAGAGAGGAAGGCGCAGTCTTCAACAACGGATGGGGGGCAGTTGAAGCCCTTCTGGGCACCGCCGGATTTGCCCTTCTTGCCCTTCTTGCCCTTGGACTGAGCAGGGGCGTACTCTTCCTCACGGTCCTCCTTGCGGACAAGCTTGGTACCCTTAAGACCAGACTCGTCAACGGTTCGCTGGGCCTGAGCTGTCAAGCCAGAGTCGGCAAGCAGAGGGGTCTTCTCAGCCTTGAACGAGGGGTCGAGGAAGGCGAGCAGGCTGTTAGCACGGCGGATTTCGTCCAGATAGGCGGGCTCGCTGGCCTCGGCAAGGACACGCTCGGCGTCGGCCTTCTTGCGCTCCTGGACGTAGCGCTCACGCTCCAGGCGCTGGCGCTCACGCTGCTTCTCGCGGGCCTCGCGCTCGTAGGCCTGGTAAGCCTTCTTCTGGCCGTAGTAGTCGTCCTTGAGCTTGCGGATGGCGGCAAACTTCTCCTGCTGCTCGGCCTGCAGCTTGGTGCGCTCGTCGCGGAGGCTGGACAGGTTCTTGTAGGCCTCGTCCTGCTCGGCCTTGATGACGTCGAGCTCGGCCTGGATCTTGTTGTACTGCTCGGACAGGGCCTTCTGCTCGGGGTCCTCCATGGAGTCCTTGATCTCCTTGATCTTGGCGCGGAGGTCGTCGATCTGCTTCTGGGCGTCGTCGAACTGGCCAAAGTTCTTGCGCAGCTTGCGCAGGTTGGAGATGTCGGCCAGGGCCTTCTTCTCGTCGACGAGCTTCATGGTGCCCGAGTTGACCTGCTTGTCGAGGGCCTCAATCTGGCGGTCGACATCCTCGACGCTCTTGAAGGGGACCTTGGCCTTGGCGGCCTTCTGCTCGTTGACACGGCTGCGGAGCTGCTCGTCGAGGCGCTTGATCTGGTCCAGCTTGGAGGTGCGGGCATTCTTGCCACCGGCCTGCTTCTGGCGGATCTCGTTGGCCTGAGCAATGAGCTCCTGGCGGCGCTTCTGGGTAGCGCTGGGCTGGTCCTTGTTCTTGTTCGGGAGAGCAACATCGATCTTGGCCTTGATGGCGTTCTGGTGATGGCCGTTAGCACATGACTGTCTTGAAAAGAGTGCTTCGTTGTTTTCTGTTCCTCTCCTCTTCTATAGAGACACTTTTTGGCATGCATTGCCAGGCATTGCTGCTGTTGTTGGGGAGAGAGCAAGTCGACATGGTGTCTCCCAACAATCGGGAAAAGACTCGGATGGAGAATGGAGGCATTGAAACGCAACAACACCCAAAGAACAGCAGTCACAACGCAACAGAACATACAAACTTGTCCATGGCAGCCTTGTGCTCCTTCTCGGCCTTGGCGAGGGCTTCCTTAAAGGCATTCTCGTCGGGGCGAGTCGGACGAGCCGCAGGCGCAGAAGCAGCAGGGGCGGCATCGGCCGCGGGGGCGGGAGAGGCAGCAGCAGTGGTCATTGTGCCGACAAGAGGGAATGAGCCAAGAGAAATTGCTCAGAAAGAAAGAACAGGCCAAAGGAAGCCGTCACAATCTCCGGCTGGAGAGTGCAAGCAGAAGCGGGAAAGGGAGGAGGGAGAATGGCAAGAAGAGCGCCGTCTACACGAGAAGAGAGAGAAAAAGAAGAAGGGGAAAAAAGCCGAAGCCGCCAGACAACTGCCAAATATTTTGGTGGTGAATCTGGCAGAAAAAATTGCCCTGGGACGCACCAACCTTTATATTGGCAGCCCAGGGCCCACACAAGAATTCAACGGAAAAGCGAGTATGAATTTGAGTTTTGGCGATGCCAGATTGTATGAGGACTGGAAATGGCATTTGAGTCTATTTTCTACGAGGCTGGGCGGTTCTTCTTGAGGATTGTGATGCTGTGGCTTCCACTGAAGGCGGCTGTTGAGGACACTGTGGTGCCTAGCGAGCAACTCTAACAGCCTTAATTAAGGCGGTTTGGTCAATCTCCAGGGCTGTGAGTGGGATTTTTAGCAGTGGCTAGCACGTCTTTGGTTCCTGGGGGGATTGGCGGTGGATAATGGCGGCCAATGGGGGAGAGGTAGCATTTGTTTCGATGCTGCCTCGGTCAATCACGAGGGTTTGCAATTGATTTTATATTCAACTTTTCATCTTGAGTTTGAGACTCGGTCATGGAGCTAACCCACTCAAGGGAAGAATTCAACTTAATTCGTCAACACTCAATACTTGGTAAGGTAGCTCAGTACTTATTACTCACTCATTCTACGGAGTGACTCTTGAAGCTCTGTTGAGTGTCCTCTTCGAGATGCCAATGTCTTATCAGCCAAGTCACATGACCCATCCTTATCAGTTCCCCAAAAGCGGCCCGCCCAACCAGACCAGCCAAAGTTGGCCGCCCCGGAGCCCAGAAAAAAAGAGGCCCAGCCAATGCAAGGCTGCGCGCCAAACAATTTTTTGACGACAGCCCAAACCTCCCCTGCGCAAAGCCGAACTTGAGGAGGACGAGAAGCCGCCCTGCCTACGATTCACGACGCCCGATACATCCTTTTTCATCCGAACCCCTCTTAACGATAAGCGTGATAAACTTAGAGACTCCTCCACGATGATTGACGATCTGCCCAACGATGCCAAGTCCAAGGAGGTGGTGCGGCTCTGGCGCGCGTGGAGGACTGTTCACGAGATGGTTGCGGATCGAGTGCGTTTTCTCCCAGCTTCCATCAGGATTATATCGAGTACTTCTCATTTTGCGACGCTATACTCATTGTTCAAACGTTTAGGAGTACGAGCTTGCCGAAGACGAAGTCAACATCTCCCTCGACCGATTCCGCGACGAGTACTGCCACCCCGACGGCACCGTAAAGTACGCCCCTCCCTCTCCATCAACAACCTCATCACAGCCCAAGCAAGACGGGACAAGAGACTGACAATATGATGCACAAAACAGCCGCGCAAAACTCCAATTCTCCGCCCGCCCAAGCGACTCCATGCTCCGCAAGAACACGCCCCCCGCAACCCCCTCCAACCCGGACCCCGTCCCCGACTGCGGCCCCATCTGGGTCGAGTTCCTCACCGACAAGCAGTTCGGCGTCGGCCAGATCCGCCAGTTTGCAAAGTACACAATCTCCAACAACTACAAGACGGGCATCATGGTCACCCACGTCCCGCTCTCCCCGGCCGCCCGCAAGTCCCTCGCCAGCGTCGAGAACCTCGCCAAGATTGAGTGCTTCCTCGAGGACGACCTGCTCGTCAACATCACCCACCACGAGCTCGTGCCCCGGCACGTCCTGCTGTCTCGCGAGGAAAAGATTGCTCTGCTTAAGAGGTATCGGCTCAAGGAGACGCAGCTGCCGCGCATCCTGCAGAAGGATCCTGTCGCGAGGTATCTGGGGCTCAAGAGGGGGCAGGTTGTCAAGATTATTCGGGTCAGCGAGACGGCGGGCCGGTATGCCAGTTACCGACTTTGCGTCTAATTTCAGCTCTACGAGGCCCTGACATGGGTAGAGGATGCTTTGACGGAGGTTTTGGAGAGGATGCTACTTGAGGATGACAAGATGTTGGTTTCACGTCAAACATCCTGAGAGGCATTTCCGAGAAAGAAAAAGAAAGAAAAAAGAGAAAAACCAAAGCTCGACTTGGAGGAAGAAGGGCAGCAGCGATGGTGATGCTGTTTGTATCTATTGTTTGCATTTGCAGTGTGAAAGCTGGCGTTTATGGGGTCTAATCACTAGAATTACAAGAAACAAATCAATAAATACCTTACCAATATCTTCACACACTCAAAAGGCCGCCATATGAGTATGAATACTCGTGAGTTACGCATACAGCGAGGTCGCGAGAGATCATCACGATTCAATTTCAATGGACATGATACACACTTCATCGTCGTGTCAATTCTCCAACGTATCTAGTATCTACCGCGTATTCCTCATCTCGTCATCATGACCACCCAAGGGTAATGCACCCAAGGCCTCTCTTCTCAACAACAAAACGGTGCTATTCACCGGGGTATATGCAACCAAAGTACCAAAGCGAAAAGAAAAGAAAACAGAGGCAACCTCAAGCTCCATCGCGTCTCGTCGCCTGCCAAGCGCTCGCCTTCTGAGCTGGACATCCAGGAGCCATCAAAACGACGCCATTCCCATCCAGATACTCTACCTGGTACCAAGTAAAATAAGAAGAAAAGAAAACAAGTGTACCATATGTATACGCATATATGACAGAGAAGGGGACCATACTCGGCGCCATGCATGACGGATACGATCTAGAAGGGAAGAAGAATAGAACATATAATGGTAAAACGAGTAAAATATAAGACGAAAAGACGTTCCCCAGAGGAATAAAATACTCGTAACTCCAGTCGTAGATTAATTCGTTAAATCAGAAACGGCAGGTGGGTGCGGCTGCCGTGGGATTCGTCGTCGCTTTCACGATCGTAAGAGGCCGCCAGGGTCCATGAGAACGAGGTTTGAAGTCTCGCCTGGCGACGTGTGGTGCTCCTGATGAGACTGCGGGATGGTCTGCAGCTCGGTTCCCGTCCTCTGCTTGGACCGAACCGATGACTTGGAGTTGAGGGGGGAAAGAAGACCTCCTAGGTCCTGCAGCAGCGCTGTTGAGCCACGCCGAACGCCGCTTGTGCTGGCCTTTCTGGACGCCTGAGGAGGGTTTTGAGAGGTGCTTGCGTCCATGGAAGATGAGGTGTAGCTGCTCCCTCTGCGGTAACTTGCGCTGCTTGTGCCAGCTGAATCCTCGAGAAGACCTCCGACATCGAACAGCGAGAGCTTTCTGGACTCGTGGGGAGATTCGGTCTTGTAGATTAACAGGTCTCCGCTCTCTTGTGCACTCTGCTGTCCGCTTCCGCTTTCATGCGAGCTGTCCTCTTGCTGCTGCCGATCCCACTGCTGCTGCCGGTCATGTCCAACAGAGCGCATCGGCTTGATGGGCGCGTACAGGTCATCAGTGGGTTCCGGTTGCTCTCGCAGCTCAGGCTCAACGGCCAGTCCAAGATCCCTCACTAGGTCTTCATCACTACCCCATTGTCGCTGCATCGTTGGCCTTCGCACGGTGGGGCGTTCGAACGACTCGGCAGCGGTGGACGTTCGCCTAGGCTTCTGTTTCTTGACGCCTCGGTCTCGGACGAACGAACCCAAAACAAGAGCGTTCGCGGACGCAGTGGCGAAGATGAGTTCGACGGACGCGAGAAGCGATCGGTACTGCTGGCGTCCGTGAGCGTCGATGATGAGTGGCACCCGGTAGAGGGTGACGCCGACAACTGATAAGCTGAGAGAGAAGAGGAGCAGAAGCTGGAATTTTCGGACAAGTGGCATGTGGCTCTGGATGATCAGGGGGATGGGGAAAATGACGAGAAGCAGGTCGGTAAGGACGTTGCAGGTGGCCAAGGTGATGAGTTGGACGAAGCCCTGACGACACTGACCGCCGGGGTCAGGCAGGACCTGCCAGTAATGCTTGAAGGGATGACACTCGACGAGATCGCTAATGATGACGGCGATGAAGGTGAGGCCGAGGGCGCATCGGATGGCGATTAACGTGTATCGCTGAGATCGCTGCCATGTCAGGTCGGTGATTCGCGCCAGGAATTCGAGAATGGTGCCTTTGAGAATCCATAGCCTGTTGCCAGTCAGTCAGTAAGCCATTCCGTCAACTCGACACACACAAAGAGTACATGTATTGTGAAGTAACTTACGTCGCTGCATAGAGTATGCGAGCCAGCAGAACAAGCCCGCTGGCCACGGCCTTTTTGTGCAGCTGCTCGGAAGAGAGTGTGATTCCCGTGAAGTCGGAGTTGTTGGTGCCGTGAACGAGGATAAAGTGGACGCAGCCCATGCGCAAGAACAGCGGGATCAGGGCGAGGGCGACGAGCTTGTCTTCATTAAAGAGCTTCTCGGTGCGGATGAAGCGGCCGACGATGCGCAGCAGGATCATGAGGGCACAGAAGATGGTTGCCCACCAGCAGACGAGCAGCGAGGGCTTGTCCTCCGAAAAGGGTCGCAATGACGGCGGCTCAGAGTAGATGGACATGGCGGGCTCTCCGTGTCGTCTGCTCTGAGTTTATTCTTTGCTTCTGTGTTTCGTCTGCTCGTTTGCAAGGGCCCGCGCCCGTCGACCTCCGCAGAGGGCTCGACGAGCGAGGAAGGGCGGATTTCGGGTTCGGAGAGGTTTTCTCCTCGTAAACTTGTTAGAAGTCTCGCGGTGCGGCTGTTTCTGGTGTCGTTGCTACTGTCGAGTCGCGAATGTCCGGGGCGAGCCGGCGCTGAAGAATCGCACACGGCAGGGAGTCGTTGTCCAGTGATACTACCAGGGGCATGAGGCCGCTGATGCGTTTGGTGCTGTAGGCGGGAGAGTCGAGGCGGATAGCGGGATTCGGAGGGGTTGCTGCATGAACGCTGCACGTATAGTGGCCGCAGCGGCGGTTACATCGGGGGGGAGGATCCCAGCAGCGGCGGAAAAAAGGAAAGAGAAGTAAGAAGAAGTATAGACGGGAGACGGGATGGGAGGAGAAGTCAGAGAGCGAAAGAGGAGCAGAGAGAAGAAAAGAAGAGATTGACGAGATTCCCCTTGTCTGGGGGCGGAGGGAAGATCAGACGTAATGGAAGATGCGGAAAGCAGGAGAGTCAAGCCGCGAGAGATAATGAAATGCCAATGTGCATGGATGGCTGTACAAGTGAGTACCTTACGTACGCACAGAGCGAGGGCCAGACCTCGGAGTCAGATGGCGAAAAGGCGCAGCCAAGGTAAGGCAAGACCCAAAGGAGCGCAGGATTTCGATCCATGATAAGCCCAGAGCGGGAGATGGGACCTGAGGACCTGAAAAGGGCTGCGCAGGCCCCGGATAACGGTGGCGCATCGTAACGTGGGCGAGAACGCGAGACGAGGCGAAGGCAACGCCTTGTACCGACCTTCGTACCTGTCCCCGTACCAGTACCTGCTAGTACGAGCAGGCGCTGCTCCCAACTGCCTGGACGACTTCTTAGTGCTTCCAGACCAGCAGAACCACAAGCACTAGGCTTGGACACCCTTGTTGGAGATGCGCCGGCGATGGAGGGATACACAACAAGCACAAGAAGGGTGGCAGTGGCTAGGCCAGTTCCAGGTCGTACCGGTACTGTGGCTTGCGGCCAGGATATTCATGAGATAATTGGTGCCGCGCATCAGTCCACGTTCGCCAATTAGCCGCGACCTGGGCAGGTTCTAGCACTAGAGGCGCAGAAGAGTATTGTCCTGTCGCTGCTCCGTATCTTGGGCCAGGTTCTAGCCTCTGATTGTCGTCGCGATGCCTGTCCGTCTCTGTTGTACATATCTCTCCTTTCTCCTTTGTCTCAGACCCGCCATCTGGTAGACGCAGGAGGTGCTGCTCCGTTGGCACAGGTGAAATGACCCTAGATCAGCGCTTCAATGATGCCAAGACACGGAATACATCCAATGTAGCACACAAAACCACTCAAGAAGCGTGTCTCCCCACCAGCAACTCGTACCTCAAAGGTCACACAAGATCCTTTCGCCTTGGCCCCAGACGCGGACCCGAGGCTCTGATCCCAGGCTGCTATTCTCATGAGATTCTCTCCTGCTGGGCTTGCTGCTAGCAAAGAGCCACTTTAGCTCGTGAGTGGCCACAAGGGCCACGGTTTTCTCGATCCAGTAAACTGGGCAGGGGTTGTGGAGCGCAAGTGGCGCTGCGCCATTCGGATTGGTCTGATTAGAGACAGTGACAGTGAAGAGACACAGGAGATGCACGATTTGCGGCAGCCCCGTCTGGAATCCAACCCTCCTTGTTCCCAGCTGCTGCAAGCCTTCGGCGCCAGAGAAGGACCTGGAACCAAAGAGCGAGAGAAAGGAGGGGGAAGCCTTGTGGTACGACTCCATTTGTCGTTAGTGCAAGCGACTTTCATTTAGGTGCAGTTGTCTATTGACAATGGATGGCTTGATATTGACGACTGATGACTTTGGCGAGGCTCAGTCATTGGACCACTTCGTATCAAATGATAAGCCAGGCAGACAGGCTTATCTCATGCTCCCCAGCCAGAGACCGCCCTGCGACAGATATCATGATTGAAAGGGGGATTTGAGGATAAGAGACGCACACATGCCAGCCCGGAGTCACCTGTCACATTTGCGGAACAAGAAGCCAGCCCCTCGGCCGGAGCTCGGTAAGGCCAAAGGGCAAATTTTTCCTACAAGAGATGGTTAGAAATAGAACAGCTAGGCGTTATTGTAGGAGTAAAGCCATTAAAAGCCACAGAGGCAAGGAAACAAACGGCGACCAGTCGGAGAAGACAATTCGTACTGTACGAGTATTTTGAGAAACGGCGCGAAAGGGCGAGATAACAAACAGCGGGAGCTGCTCATTTGCATATCGCTGCCGCTGCGTTACTGCGAACTGGACGCGTCTAGTCTGCCTGGGCAAGTCGGGATCCGCCGATATCTCTTGAGCAGGCAGGGATCAGTTGCAGTGCTCGTGCGAATGCTACCGAGTGCGGCTGGTGTCGAGATTGTGTTGTTATCAGAGCCTTGGTCGTCATAGTATCACGCACCTCGCATGCTGGCTTCGGTCGCAAAAATGCAGCCAAGTGCGGTTTGGTTTGTCCATTCAGTTTTATAAGGTCTCCAATCCCTCTATGCCGTCTTAGGAGGTACTGCTTCGTACAGCAATACAGCAGTCGTCAATTCAAATGGAAGTGGTCTCACCAGGCTGAGGACCGCTCGCCTCGTGTGTGTCGTCCTTGGTGGGTGGTGTGTGCGAGCCCTCCGCATCCCGACCAGCGCGCTGCAACCCCTCTGAGACACTCGATCTAGAGCTAACCGGGCGAGGCTCAATGTATGGAGTACGCCGATCTTGACGTGCAGGAACCTAGTGCACTAGGTGCAGCCCGCAGAGTGGGCAAGTACCTGCATCTTTCGGCTGATGTTGCAGTACTTGCACGCTTGACCCCCGGTCTCCGAGAGTTCAATTGGCGGCGCATGGCCACGAGGCGAGAAATCCGGGATGCTAGTGGCCTGAGCGGTTGCTTCTTCTTTTCCTAGCTTCAACGTCCTTTGGTGATGACCACAAATTGCTTCGGGGCCGGCAATTGCCCAAGTGCAGTTATGCTGTAAACAGAAGACGATACCGTGATCTGTATTGCAAAGCACCGAATAAACGGAGTGGCACAGTGCATCACAAGTGCGCCGTGTGCGTTCCAATGGGCTCAGCTTCTCGGCCATTTCGAGAGGTCGGCGACACTGTACTCGCCCAAGGTACGCAGGTTCAACAGGGCACAAAGGCGCAGACGGAGCACATGTGCATGCAAACAGTCGAAATTGACGAGCGGTGGGATACTGGTCAACCTGGTGAAGCAGCAGCAGAGCCCCACCGCCAGAGACATTTCGACTGCTGAGGATTGGCTGTCATTCAAAGCGTGCTGGGGCAACGCCTTCTGGGGCTGAAATGGACCCGTTCGGTTCGTCGAGCAAGCAAAAACTTGCAAATGGCATCCAATTTTCAAGGCCGTTCCACAGCGCTGGGAGCAGCCGAGGCCATGGAGCTCCTCTATCATGCACGGAGCAGCATGAGGCTTCGGCCGCTCGAAGTGGGTTCCTGGAAGCTCTCTACCCTCCCCCGCTGGCCCGTCCACGAACCCAACAGCCGGTGCAGGGACAAAATGAGAGGGAAATGGTCTGGTTGGTTGAGATGAGATCGCGATGGGGCCCATGGCCCGGGCCCCTCCCCTCCAAGTGTCGATTCTGCTGGCGCCCAATTGCATGGAAGTCGAGACCGGAACAAGGCAGCTCTATAAAAAGAGACGAAGATATATCAGAATGGGAACAAACAGAGGGACAAGAGAAAGAATCAACTACATTAGTGTCGAACCGAGACGAACCAACTTCATCGCACAGTTTCTCTGGAGCGAACGCACCCCTTCCCGCCCTGCAGCTGCTGGATTTGAGACTGTCCCTTGTTCCTTGTCCCTTGTCCCGTGTCCCGCGCTCGCGCTCCTGCTGCAGCACGAACGGAAGATTGAGTCCTGAGAACTGGAGGAGTGGAGGGGAAGGCAATTGCGGTGAGCGCAAAAGCTAGCCGGCTGGATGCAGCGGGCGCCGGGAGGCTAGCTCATATCGTAATACCCTAATTGCCCACAGACTGGAGATCCGCGCCTGGGTAAGAATCTCCAGAGCCCCTGATTGAAGAATTGCGTGGTGTTCAGCTTACAAGTTGAAGTCATCCTCATCAACGAAAGAAGAGCTCGCTCTGGTAAAGAGTGGAGGCGCAGAAATTTCGTCTGAGACTCGATACGTCATCAATCTGATTTGTCAAAGTCGATTGACAGGCGGGGCCATGTCACTGTGCCAGAAAAGCTTGGCCGTTGCAGTCCAAAACGCCCGTATCAATTTGCTTTCAGCCTTGAAGCTGTACGAGTACTTGATGCCTCCTCCTGCTTCCTGCCCGTCCAGGCAGCAGCATTCTCTGGCTGCACATTTGCGCTTGGCAATCAAAGGAGCATGGAAGGAGCCGGTGCGCAAGCACACCTGCACTTGCATTCTCACTACTTTAACAGGTAGCCTTGAAAGTCCGTTGGAAACGCTTTGATCAGATCAGGCTGGTGGCGGATGGCAGAAGTCCCCACAAGTACCGGTATTCGACGGTACTTCAACTCGAACCTCAGCTGTCGCTCAACCCGTCAGAAAGTCCAAGTACGGACGTGAAGTAAGAGTACGAGTACCTACATTCCACAGGCGCTGCGCTCCCGCGCTGGCACGCGAGAATGATAGCGCCTCCCGCGCCGTGGCAGCGCAATTGCTATCTCCATCACGTGGCTGTGGCGCTGCCGCCTGGGGAATCATGTCCGACGGGTTTCTTTAGCATGGATTCGCATGCTCTCAGCTGGAGAGGTACGAAGGTGGTAATTCACAGTTCAGAGAAGTCTCGGATTGGTTCTTTGTACGAGTGTCTTACCTTATGCTACAAAGATAAGGTGACAAAGGAAGGAGATGGGGGGAGAAGCAGTTTCCTCTGCGCTCTCACTTCGCGTATCGTGCCTATCAGAGCTCGATGCACCGTTACGACACAGCAGTGGTGATTCACTTGTAATACTTCGTTGCTTCGTAGGAGGAAGGACCATCTGTCTCATTTCTGACACGGGAGAAGCGGAGACCTGGTAAGGAGCAGGAGCGGTCCGAAATGTGGAAACCAGAGGTGTCGCTGCCGCCGTCACTTTGGATTTCCAACCGTCATCAGCAACTGCAGCATGTTCTTTCTTCCCCTTTCAGTGATAATTTCCCTTTTCTGTTGCATTCCCGGAATCGCGATTCCGGGCAGCGAGTTCAAGCAACACCATCACTTTCCACAGAGCCTCACTAGGACAGCCGGCCGAGTAGCACAACGCCGATTAATTTTAGCATACGAATTCTTCGCCCTGCTGCCATCGGTAACAAGAAAATGCGAGCTTATGTAGGTATCTCTAGCTCGAAAGAGACCGCGTTCCGCATGGAGTTTGACTTCGTACTGTTTGAGACAGAAAAGAGGTTGAAGTTGCACGCACGTGACATGGCTTTTTGTGCCTGGTCCACACTTTCTGACTAACACTAAAACGACCTGAGCGGCAATTGCGGTCGGCAATGCTGCAAGACTGATGAGAGCGCTGATATCAGCAGCTGCCTCTGCCTCCTTGGCGCTCCCACGGCAATCTTACCTGTACACGTACAAACCGGCAGCGAACCCTTGGCGCCACCAACAGCGAAAATTTCTATCCGGCGGACCGACGCGCTTCTCGTGCGAGTTGAGATTGCTGACGCCGTCCGGAAGGACTGACGAGGTACTTCGTGCTCCCGTTCCAATCAATGAATTGCAAGGTATTGACGGGTTGTCATTGACAGGTTGCCATTGTTGACTGGAAGAAAGGTGCTGCTGCTGCTGCTGCCGCCGCCGTTGGTCCATGTCCCAGCTCCTATTGTAAAGAGCTTCAACCAACAAATGCAAACAGCAATTGCCATGAGCTATTCATAGCCTTGCGGGTACCACAGCCCGAACTCCCGAACTGCCGGTCTTGGATTCACTCATTCATCCAATTCATTCACGGAACGCCTCGATACTCGGGAATAATGACCAACGGCGTCCGAATGCCCATCTCCACATCTCACACTGCTAACAAACGCCACGCCGTTGCCCAATAGGACTTTTTTTGGTTTGTTTTCCCCCGAGTTGGTGACCTACTTGCCTACACAATGGGTATGAATTGCATGCCAACACCGCATAATGCAGGTACATTGTGTTGGGGGTTTCTTCTGAAACGCCTTGCTCGTATCGAGAAGATGGAAATCTCACACTCGAAAAGCGCCTCAACGTCATGGCCTATTCCCACAACCAGGGATGTTCATCTTGGCGATCCATGAGAAATTTTCCGCTCGGTGATTGATATGGATTAAGAGAACTTTTTAATCCATCCATCAGTCTATGCTGAGAGGCCTCGTGACTGCAACAGTGTGCCTTCATCGAGCCCCATTGTCTTCCGCCATACCCTGGATTCCTGGATCAGATTCGCACCGCCTCTGACCCAGCAATCTTGTTGCTCAGAGTCCCGACCAGTCATCACCTCACATCTACTGCCCTTGCTCTTCCAGTGGCTGAATCAGCTCTCAGTATGGTGATGGTCATATTGTTGCCAGTCGAAGAGAATGCATGTTCAAACGAGGCCACAGCAGGAATAAACGTGGTTGCAAGGGGTTGACACACTGCAGGCTGCGATTCGACTCTCTGCGTGCCCGGAACTTTCATTATCTCATCAACATGGCTCGTGCACGATATTACTTTGTCCTAGATCGGGCCATTTGCATATCGTTCCTATCAAGCCATCTTGATCTCACTTGTAGGTCACTCCAACTCCGGCCTATGAGATACACGATTGTCCCTGGCGGTCTCACCATGCCATGCCAAGCGCGATAACGCCATGGATGCTCTATATACTACTGGTAGTAGTAATGCCTTTTCGACACCTACAGGCGGTCCAATCACGCATTGCCAGGCATCGGTTGGAGACGACACCACCCCCAGAATTGAAAGCACCCCTTGTCGAAGCTCTTTCACCCCTGGGCTGACGAGTGCGAGATCCCGAGGTTATTACGGGTTGTCAAAGCAAAAAATTGACCCAAGGTCCAAATCCCTGGAACAAAATGAGCGTTACTACCCAACGATAACAAGATCCTGGGGTCGGCACCCATTACTGCCAAGCTTCCAACGGCTGGTCGCTCCCACATGTTGTTTGCTGGAAGCTACCAAAAGCTACTGCATACTGCCCTGACTCGTTTCATGATGTTGCGAGCTATCAAGTCGACTACATGTTACTCCGCCAGATAAGGATGAGGTACTACCGAGTATGAGTAGTACTCCTTTCTTTGAGCGGGACGTGGCTGTTCAACTTCGCACCGATGTCACCATTTGCCGATACCGAATCTCGAAATGAAGTGACCCGGGAGTAAGGTAAATGTCACCAGCTGAAGCTGGCCCTTTGCAAACCCAGAGCTCGTATTACACTTTTGACTAGAAGCAGGCTAGACGTCTTCCATGAGACTGACTGACACATGCCACACCCATCAAAATCTGCTACACGAATCGCATTGTAAGACTTCCAAGGCCGAGTGAATTTATGTGATTAATGTGATCTGACTGGGTGAGTTTCTGGTGACATTTTCTTAGCGGGTGGTAGGAAACACTATTTGCGCGGCTGCTTTGTGGCGGCTTGCTTCTTGAATTCCTTCTACACTAGAACTGTGGCTTGCCCGCATGCCACGAGGTGAGTATCTGGGGAAGTATGGTTGGCGTTGTCCAGGTCTCTGTTCAGATGTGATTGAGATGTCGATGGTGATGCAGCTGCCAGCTTCTCTTGACCTTGTTATCTTGTTCAGCTGAGAATATAGCCCAGATGAGGACGAATTTCAACAACCGGGAGTCTTACACTGTATAAAATTGCTCTTGGCCAAGGATTCCGAGGGTATCAGGAGTCCAGACTGAGTGTCATTGGCTGAAATGGTGATCCTGCATGAGCCGATTGCCGGCCGGCATCACAAAGATGCTCTCTTGTAATCCTATTGAGCTGAGGATAGAAGACGGATGTCGACAAATGGGAGAGCTGCATTGCAGATTCCTGCTTTGAGCAACGGATTAGGAGTCTGGACTCGGCGCCATTGACTCAAGTTCTCTCTTTATCAACAGTGAGTTGCCGTGTCCAGCATCGCCAACCTGTTCTCGTGGGTCTCGTTAGGTTGAGATGCAGAACAAGAGCAGACCTCAACAACCGGGAAAGCTGCATTGCAGAGCCAACAATTGACCAGATGCCCTAGCCTCGGCGTCGTTGACTTGCCGTCCAGCTTTAGTGAATTTGTCGTCCAGCTTTCTCGACGTGCTCATATGATATAGCAGGCGGTGACGGCAACGGAATCATGCATTCGGCGCCGATTGTTCGGGAAGCAGCAGTAGATCTGGGCATGACGACGACGATCATTGCTTGTCGTATGCATGTAGGCGCACGATTGCTTCGTGAGTCTATCTTGCTATGGCACCACTAGATGTTGAGCTCTTGAGGCACTGGAGAGTCTGAGTGGAACGCTGGCAAGCTACTGTCTCTGATATCGTTTTCCGAATGTCTACTGAGGCTATATAGGTCTACTTGATAGGAAATGACAAGTAATCCAAGAAGATGCCCCTGAGTTTCAACTGGCCATATCAGACGACTTGATCTGAAGCAATGCTGTCAAGGGTCTTCAAGAGAAGAGCAATCCCCATGATTCACAAGGCCATAGGGAAAAAGGGGGTCACATCCATGACAGTGACTCATTGCCAATGTATGCTTCCGTCTCATGACGCGTTATCGAACTCAATCACGATGTAGTTGACAGAGTTAATTGTGTGGTGCCGGCAGAGCAATGTGAGTGAATGCTGATTCTCGACACTAGATGCTTCCATCAACAATTCACTTCCATCGGCATCGTGCATTCAGGGGGGTGTGGCCAGCATGTCAGTATTGTTGAGAATATCCTCACAACTCAGTTGGACTCAGGTTGTCTGTGATCTGTCTCGTCTATATAATTCCTCGTTTCCTCGCTCGTTGCAACTCCTTTCCTCTCTTCTCATCATAACCATCGTTTCCCTCCCGCAAGAGACGATCTCCTGAACTTTGAAAGACCAATTCCCCGACGACTGAGAGTAAGTGCTTCGACCATCTACTTCTTCTACTTGGACGAACGACTCTGACTGTGCTTCGACTAAAGGACCAAACCAAGTCAAGCAACGACTGCCTTCAAGATGCCGCCCAAGCGCCGCCTGCCCATCCACCAGAAGGATGCCGCCCGGGAGATCGCTGAGACCCCAGGTCCCGAGCCCTCCTCTTCATCCCCCTCCTCCCCTCCTGCCCAAAAGGCCAAGCGTGAGGAAGAGCGCCCCGTCTCGCTCCGCAACGCCCCCGGCAATGTGCGCTGGGTTGACGGCGATCTCAACGGCAACGTCGCTGGCATCGCGTCCATTGCCTTTGTCGCCGTCTCCATGCTGGAGACCCTTTCGGCTGGCAACGCTGACGCAGCCGATCGCGATGAGATCAAGACGATGCTCAAGTACATCGGGGGCGCCGACGCCCTTGACCAGTTCCGCAAGAACATCCACGACAAGTTTGGCTCTTTCGGCCCCAAGCCTACCGTGTTCCGCAACTTCTTTGAAGGAAAGGCCTGGGAGGCCAACAAAGATGTCGACATCGCCGAGACCCAGGGTGAGCCCACCGGAGGACGCGAGGCGAGCGTTGAGCTGGGCTCGACGCCCGCGCCGACCACTTTGACGGAGGGAACCACCACCGCCGGACGTGAGGGCGCGGGCAGCGCTGAGCTGGGCGCCGCTCCTCAGGAGGCCGCTGCTACGCCTGTCGTGATTCCAAGCGACCCGGAGACCAGCGACGAGCCGCTCGACTCCAGTGACGAGCCTCTGGCGTTGAAGAGGGCCAAGGCTGCTGAGAAGGCGGCGGTTACCAGCAAGTATTTTGGTGCTGGAGGTGCTGGAGGAGCCGGTGGAAAGGCCTAAGTGCGACTGGGAATAAGTGCGAGGGAGGAAAGAGTGCGATGGAGAAGACATTGTCCCGGACAGATACTAGTAGATAGCCAGTTCCTGCTTCGCAGAAGAGAAATTTCTTGATTTCTACTACTTGCTCCATCGTACGTGAAGTTTTGGCTACTAGATCTACTAGAACAGACATCTTGGATCTCCTGCAAGTGATGGTTAAGACATGACATTCAAGGATATACCAAGCGTGTACAATGCTAGAATCCTGCCATAAATGGCATGTGAATAAATCAAAATCGCCGTTCTCAGCTTGGATACAAATTGATAGAATAAACCCCATCGTACAGCCACCCATACCCAACTTCTCACCCACTTCCCTCCTCGGACAAATGACTCTTACACCTCGTCACACTCCCCTTCCCATCATCGCCCTCTTCTTTGCTCTCGCTAGAGTCCGTCTTCGTCAACTCCGTCGAGACCGGATTGAAGGGACGGGAGATTGATTCGCGGACGGGATGCTGGGTGCCGGTCGTGACGCTGCCCATGCTGGAGGACTTGTGGGCTTGGGAGAGGGCGAGGTCGCCGGAGTCGAAGAATGTTCTGTTCTGTAGACACCGCCATTTAGTATTTCCAGAAAATTGCACGGGAGAGGACAAGTTGACTCGGGGGATTGACTTACCTCCAGTTGGTGGTGGAGGAGTTGGCTTCGTCGCTTGGGGACTGTTCCGTACATCTTTTGGAGATGTGCTTCTCGCTTCTCATTTCGCTGTTTGGCTTCTTCGTTCTTGGACTGCATTTGCTAGATCAGAATAAATATATCTGGAAAGTTTGTATTTATTGAGATTGAAAAGGGGGACTGGAACCAATCTATATATCGAACTGTAAATGTGTTGGATGTGCATGTGGTCTTGTATGTGTGTGCATCCTAGGTCGCGTCGTACTCAGCTGGAAACGGATGGACAAAATCAAACAAAACGACCTTGATTCCGAGACAAACAGGAGCATGTCTCCTTGAAGACTTTTGTCATTGTCTTGCTCTATATGCTTGGGATCCTCTAGAACTTCCCATGTCCACCAACATGGTCTAGTTGTGATATATATAAACAACTCGCTTCAACTTATACAAGAGTCACATTCCACTCCATCCAAATGCAACCCTTTCACCCAGATCATGGTTTCTTCATGATATTTTTGTCCACCAAGTTACTGAAAAATAAAAAATAAAAAGTGATGTCATCATCACCGCGTGTGCGTGTGTTCACTATCGGAGCCAATTCCGTGGTCAGGTTGACATGCCTTAGTTGTTTTCCCCAACTATCGCCACCACATACATGGTCACCGGGGCGCACAACTGCCGGCCTAGTCCGTCCTACTACAATGAGGCGTCAATTCCCCAGGTAGACGGCTTTACCCATCGTTTCGAATTACAGTTATTGAAAGGCGATTGTCCTGTTGTGCTATACCCGGATCGCAGGAATACTTATATCTCTGTATGGTGTGGTTTGTCTTGTCTAAGCCAGGATCTATCTATCTATGCCGATGTAAATCGGGATCACCACAGCTGTGAACAAACATGTCGCTTTCAATGCCATCAGCAAACTTGTAATATGCAGCTCCTACTCCAACTCAAGCTCCTTGACCAAAGCTTGAACCCGACCCTTATCCGCACTCGCCCAATCCACCCCCGTCAGCCCATGCACATCTCCTTTCCCATCTTCCTCCGCAGCATCCTCATCCTCCTCCCCAACCAGCCCAAGCCCCCAGAGCTCATCAACAACCGCGCTCCTCACCCTCGGCCACGGGTGCGACATGAGCGCCCCAAGCCTCTTCCTCGCCTCCTTCCCACCAGCATCACTTTTCGCCGACGCGGCAATCCCGCCATACACTGCGATGCAAGCCGTGATCTTGCGCACGTTACCCGTCTTATAGCCTGCCTTCTGCGTCTGCAGACAAAGATTCTTATAATTGATCTCGCAACGCTGGAAGAGGCCTGTGTAGAATAAGAACGCAATCATCTCCAGCGTCGGCACTATGACGCGGTCCTGGCCCTGGCATGTCTTGAGGTTGTGCAGCAGGGCTGAGCACACGCGCTGCAGGTTTTCTGCCGATTCCTCGCAGTGGTCTGTGAGAGCGGCTCTGCTGGCGATGACGAGGTCTTCGTTGCCCGTGTCTGCGGAGGAGACAAAGCCCGCCATGAGGCCGGCCATCCAGGCGTTTTCGTCGCCGTTCAGGATGGTCATTATGTGTGGGTGGAGGGAGTTCTTGGGGATGAGGTTGAGGAGGAGGGCGAAGTAGGCTTTTGAGGAGGAACTGAGGTGATTTGTGAAGTAAGTCTTTCGAGATGGGTTCGAATTCTGGGTTCCATCAGTAGAACTAGATGATTGACAATCAGTATCTGATACTTGGTTGGAGTGCTCATGCAATAGGGGCGAGGCTACGCGAGTGAGCTTACCTCTCAGTCATGAGTAGCGCAACAACGTCCTTGGCGACGCGACGCACACGATCCAGCTTCTCAGCAGAAAGCCGCAAAACGTAATAAATCAGCTTCCGGACAGACACTTCTGCCCAATCCGCCCAAGTTGTAGCGTCACCGATATCTTCCCAAAGAACATTGATCGCCTTGAGTGTCTGAAACCGCACCAAAGAACCCTCATCGCCTCTCGCCGTCGTAGTATAATCGTTCAAGCCCTCTGCAAGCAGGTCGAGGAACAGAGTTGGCCTGTCCTTGAGGATGCGGCTGCTCAGAAGACTTTGGAGAATCGCAACCCTCGTTTCGATTTCGCTGTCGACCTTCCATCGGTCGAGGAACGCAGCGCTCACAATGTCGCTTTCGTTGTTCTCCTGAGCGGTACGCGAGAAGGGTTGAGCCATTGCCATGACGTGAAAGTAGCCGTTTCCAATGGCTGCTGATCGGCTACTTGGTTTGGCTGCGATCAAACGTGCCCACTTCTCCAGTGTTTCCGCTCGTTCTTCTGGCGAAGAGAGTACAAGCAGCATCAAACCTGCTGCGGAAGCAGACTCAGCAGTGTCTTGCTCGCTTCGGCTGAGCCAGCTGGGGATCACGTCCCGCAGCCTCGAGGTCAGTGTCTCGACTTCGGCAACTTGTCGCGTCGAGCTGAAGGCAGAAGCAACATCTGGAAGACTTTTCACTCGGTCCATAGATAAAACATCGCTTCCTTTCTTCAGATGCTCGTGGGAGAGGTCGCTGGATGATGCGGCTTGGATGATGGGTAGAGACGCCACAACCAAGCGACTCGCTCCCTCGACGATGAGCTCAGGTCGACGATAGTCCGTCTTGTTGCAATCCTCAAGAATTTGGGAGACGTAGCCTAGAATTCTGCGCGCAGCAGCTTGATCCAGTGTTTTCGGCTGAGCTTGCTGGGCCAGACGGGGAAAGCCATCCACCACTCCAGCGAAACACGCAAGCAAACCATGCCGCTCTTCGACTTGACGTTTCTGCAGACCGCTCAGACGGTCCATTACCTCGTCAATCGCATCTTCAAAGCGAGAAAATGGCGTCTCAGATGTTGTATCGGACAACTGTACTATAAGCGAGCCAAACGCGGCGCCAGCAGCCCGTCTCGAGGCGGTGTCCATGTCGCCGATTCCTCGCCAGCCCAGTATGCCATCAATAACAGCCTCTCCGTACTGTCCGGACAGCTTTGCTGCACCGAGAGAGACTTCCTGGACTGCGCGTGATCGCCGAGCTACGGCATGATAGTCGACACACTGCACGACGCCAATGCCGTGATCTACAGTATCTGGGTGTCGGCCGATGAGTTCTTGTAGCGCAGCTGAAGCTCCGCGTCGAATATTTCCTTCGGGGTCGAGAGACGCCGTCGTCACCAGCTCAGTGCCCAGAACCTGCAGAATGGAGCTCGACGGAGGATGAGACTTGGCCGCGTAGACGGACTTTGTAGACACGGCAAGAAGCTCGTCAGTTGTGTATCGGCGAGCCAGGGCCCAGATACCAAAGCACGCCGCATCACGAACGTTGGATCCCACGCTGGCTCCCGAGGTGCCGCGCTGTTCAAATGCTAATCCCAAAAGAAGAGAGTGGAGGATGTCGGAGAGCTGGTTAGCCGGGGGCGATCGTCGGTAGAGCAAGTGCGACAGTGTCATCATCAAGCCATGCCATTCCAGAGGGTTCACGGCAGACAAGTCGCGAACCCGCTTGTCTCCTGACTTGGTTGACACCTTGTTCCAAAGGACATTGCGGTTCAGGGATTCCAGTACAGCTTCGACGACCTGGGATGCCATGTCCGGGTCCAACTTCAAGGTGATGATGCTGAGCGACTTGCTAGCAGACAGGCGAACGGGGGTGTCGTTGTCAGCGAGGCTCTCGAGAAAGTACCCGATTGCATTCTCTACCAGAATCGTCGTCTTCATATCTCGTCGGGAAGAGCGCAAGAGTGAAACGACGAGCGAGCGGATCACCTTCAGCATCATCTTCCGGGCAGATGCCTGGGACATGATAATCTTCGAGATACCATCATCGCCAGTAGATAGCTCGAGCACGGATTCAAATATCATGGACAGGTACTTGTCCATATCTGACGTCTCGGATGAAGATCGCAGGATGCCAGCCAAGAACGAGAGCACCCCGATGTAGAAATACGGGTTCTCGAGTTCCGTCTCCTTTGCCGGCCGCAAGGACTTCAAGGACCACTGCACGAGGCTTTCCAGAATGCCAATCTGCTGCATGTCTCGCCTCATCGCGAGCCTCACCAGAAGAGCCTTGGCAGCATCTCGTTCTTTCCCCGCAGAAGCAATGTACTTGATGGCCAGAGGAATAACTCTCATCGTAAGGCCCGGCACGTTCGCAGGCCAGCTGAACCCAGCAATCGACGGGATTCCCCCCTCATCCAGGTCAGCAGAGGAAATCGTCGACAGGTCAAACGGCGCAAACAACAGGTGCGAGAGCCAAAGCAGGGCAATGTAGCGCTGCTCCCACGACCACCCTTCGCCAGCAGCTCGTTCCGTGAAGAGGTCCTTCTTCTGCTCCTTGCTGGCCTGGACCTCAGCTTCTTCGACGGCAGAGAGGATGAGCTCCAGATACTTGGTTTCGACATTGAGGAAGCGAACAATGACCTTTTCCCCGCGAACCTTGCAGAACGAGTACAGGATCCGGGAAATCGCATAGTCGAGAGGAGCCAGCAGGTTCGTATTTTCAGGAACCCGCTTGTTGCGATGTCGTGTCTGCAGATACTCCAGATATGACTCTGCCAGCAGGGGAATCCATTTGGGCAGATGCGGATCCAGCAGCTGAGGCAGCTCTTGGAACTGATCCAGGACCTACCACGCAATCAAGCCTCAGTCAGCAGCCTAGGTACAAAATGCTTTCTTGCAATCTCTGGAGAACTCACAACACAGGTGGCCTTCAGAGTCTCCCGAATGCGCACCCATCGCCGTATGCGCGTTCCCCCTCGTCCATCCGGCTTCCGCAGACAAGTCGCCAGACTCTGGTCCAGCTCATCCAGCAGGACCTTGGAATGCTTGTGCAGATACACATCAATCTCATTTTCCGAGGCGTCCATTTCTTATAAAGTGTCAGCGCAAATGAATGATCTGAAGCGTTCAGAAACAAGACTGGAGGAGCATCCCCTTTACATAGGAGGGAGCGGAAAAAAGAGGGCGTTAGGCACCACTTTATCAACGCAGCCAAGCGGTGACGATGGGTTGGATTGCAGCTAGGCAGCTGAATAAAACAGCAGTCCGGCTCCTGAATTGATGTTTCTGGCTGCTAGCTGGTCTTTGGCCTGCCGGTGGATGTTTGGTGGCTGCCTGATGTCGGGCTCGCTTCAAGGCATATCGTGTGCATCTTGTGGTGGTTCATCGTGTTGTGATAGCATGACAGTGTGTAATACAGTGTGTTGGATATCAACACTGTAAACTACAGGGTAGGCTGCAGCTGAATGATCAACGCCGCTCACCGAAGATCCGCATTCACATCGATCGATCAGGAGTGCTTCAGCAACGGTGACGTTCATCCCTCCGTCTACGGAGCACGATCGGAGTTTGCTTCCCAAAGTCGCCGCCAGATTGGAGAATCATCTTTGCAATATAGTTTGTCGTATTTTGAGTTTGACAAATATGTTTGCTATTAAGTGTGATTTACGTTACATCGAGTCTAGTATAATCTATCGCCAAGTCGCTCATTTTCCGGTTTCCAATGCGCCTTTTCCTATTTTTTTGAGTTTTTCTTTTTTGCTCAACGATACCGCACTTCATCCAATGATTGGCATCCACATTGTCTTCGTCCCAATCTCCCCAGACACTGCATTTTATACTCTGATGCGAAGCTCGTATTCGACGACGGAGGAGCTAGAGTCAATTCGGCTCACACATTTTGTTGCTCTCGGTCGCATTAAGCTTGGCAAAGTGGTAAAATTGCTTAGCTATCGCCGGCGAATCATGACCTTGCCACCCTCCATGCTGAAACACGGCAAAGTGACAAGGGACGTTTTGCCATGTGGCCCATATTATAAGGCACACCGTCTCAAGCCAAGGGGAAGGGGAAAACAAGAGAATGTTTCACAACATTATGAATTAATCATTAATGATGCCCAAAAACGGTTGCGTGCTCGTCGCGCAGAAACAGACAAGAAGAAAACTCCAAACCACAGCAAACGCCTGGCTCGACTGTGACTGGGGCAAGAATCGCCTATCCTGAAATATTTTGTCGTCACCAGACGGCCCTATTCAACGGAAGCTAAAGAGTAGCAAATGAGGAGTGAAAAAGGAAAGAGGAGCCAAATTGCCAGATCGGGGGAATCATGGAGTGATAAAGAACTATGAAACAGCAATCGCAGCCACTAGGGCGTCGAGAGCACTGCTGTGGGACGGCCCCGTAGCGGCGACGTAGGGGCCTGGCCAAGAAGGCCCCAGCTTGTTTTGGCTGTTGCGGTCGTTGTTCCAGATGGACTGGGCGTTGCGGAGGATGAAGTTTCTGAAGGTAGTGCTTGGTGCCAGGTCGTTGAGATATCGCAGGTTGCGGATGAAGGCGCCCTTGAACTGCTGGCCGTCTGTGCCGCAGTTGCCGGGCGCGAGCTCGCACTTGTCGGCCTCGACGAGGATACCGTCGGAGTTGGACAGGGCGTTGATGGCGGCGTTGGCAATAGCAGAAGCAGTCGTCAGGAGAGACCTGTCTCCGGTGGCCTTGTAGAGTTCGCTGAGGCCGCCGAGAATAACACCCTGGTTGTAGGACCAGGTGGTCAGGCCGTTGTTCTTGCAGTTGGCGTCGAGACCGTCGTTGATGAGATTGTTGGAGTTGATCATGCCGCTGTTCTTGAAGAAAGTCCACTGATCTTTGGCAATGCTGAGGTACGTGGCATTGGAGAGCACACGGTTGGCAAGAGAGGCGGCGACAGAAAGGTACAGTTCGTTGGCGATGGCGTTGACGTAGGTGCGGTCCTTGCTCCAGTAGATGCCGCCGCAGGGGGTTCCCCGGCCGGTCTGCATATCGTCGAAGATTTCAACAGCCGAGTTGAGGTAGTCCGAGTCGCCAGTGGCGTCGTAGGCGTGGATCAAGGCGAGAGCCCACCATCCTTCATCATCATAAAAGTCATCGACGAAGTTGGCAAAGCCTCGTTTTGAGAGGCTGGTAGGCAAAGAGGCAGCAAACGAGGCTGAGCACCCTCTTCCATTGATGCAGTGGAGAGTCGTGGGAAGGCCCGCAGCGTTGACGAACTTCTGCACGGAAACGCTCACAACCTGGGCCTGAGTGTAGGTGTTGCGGAGAAAGCCGCCGACGTTGAGCTGGTTGGCCTCATCAAGGCGCAGCAGCGCAAAGTCGGCCAATGTGGTGAAGGCATTGGCGCTGTTCCACCAGGCAGCGTTCCAGAGACCAGTCTCGACATCGTACCAGGCGTTGTTCAGCTCCCGAATGGCTGTGACGGAGTTGGCGACATAGTTTGTAGCAGAGAGGGAAGTAGAAGGAGCGGCATGGGTAGGGTGAAGGAGTGACGAAAAGACGGCCGAGTAGGCTAAAGCGTGCCTCCAGATCCAGCTAGGGAGGGCCATGATGTAAAGAACGTTGCTGCCGTGGGAAGAGAAAGGGGATTGCCCCAGCTGAGAAGCTGGTAGTTGCGTCTTATAAGAGAAATGAGCGGAAGGGTTAGTAATGTAAATGGGGGGAGAAGAAGAAGGGGAGGAAGAAGAAGAGAAATAGGATACCGGAACATCAGGAGGAGCTGCATCGAAACCGGGGACGTGGGTGGTTAATAAAGCAAATGCCAACAGGCCGGAGACGAACAAGGCAATGGATAGAAACACGAGTACCGAGCAAAGCTTGTGAATCAGGGACGCGAGGGAGGAGCTCCGTGGCGGGTCTGGACGAAGCTTAGCACTGGCAGATGAAGGGCCAGGGGACAGGGGTCCGGATTTGGATCCACGATGGTGATAGCTTGGCGGCTCGGCATGCCTGCCGCGATTCTTTTCGGCCTGGCAATCCGTCGCGTAGCTAGAGCTGCATGAAACTGGTTAGCAGCAGCAATGGGTTCAGGCTTCACCATGTGCCCCTTCATCAACCATTGCTACCTTATATCGCACAAGCATGCTTGCTGGCCGCCTGTATCGCCGCCAGCGGTTGCCATTTGCTGGGTCGGCGTCAGGGGCACACAGGATTCAGGGCCCGGCGAGCCAGGCACTGTGGCGTCCAGGCCGATGGTGGCTTCACAGCGGCCGAGCCACGCCGCAGCATCGGCAGTGGCGTTTCGGAGGGGCATTCTCGATGATGATGTGACCGTGACCGCAGCTTCGTGTGCGTAGCGCTTTGTCCGCTGTGCGTTTGTCGCCTATTTTCTGGTGTTGCTGCTCTCGTATGAGACAACGCGTGGGCCTGCCGCCAAGATTTCTAGCAATAAGCGCTACCAGGGTTAATGGAAGGGAACCTTTCACAGAGCACGATTGGACTGAATTGTTTATTTTTGCCTTTTTCTCGGTGTGTCTCTGTCTCCCTCTATTCCGTGTGTAAGATGTAAGACAAGGCGTTGTTTAGCTCCGACCGGCGCATAGATTAGATCAGGGCGATATGCGGTGGGATGGTAGCCCATTATTTAAGCTGGATCTAGCCGGTAGCACTCGATGCAAAGTGCTTGGTGTGTAGGAGAATACTCCATTGAGGGGTCGAAGGGCAGCTGATCGACGCCGATCTGCTCTGGGAGAGCATCACGAGGATCGGCATCTCGCACGGTATAACGTCGAAAGGGTGAGCAGAGTCGTAGAAGCGGTTCACGAGACGAGTTGTGAATGAGGGGAAGTTGAAGATGGAGGAGGTAGAATATCAGGCAATGAAGAAGATAATTAGGTAAGGCTGGGGGAGCGAGCCTCAATGAGGAAGCTACACAGGTGTGGTCTTGCCGTGTATGACCGTATAGAAAGGCGGTCACCATCAACTCAATTGAGGCAGTCCCGGCCACCGTGCTTGCCTTGCGTCTTCACAAGTGATGTGCCTTGTATGAGTAATTGGCACTGCGATCAATGATGTCACCGGAATCGCAATCATCACGATGATATAATTTGAGATCTTCTTCCTTTTACTCCTCCTCTTCGGTTACAACCTTTGATCACTTCTCCTCCGGGCAACCTCAGCTCGTATAGAAAGTTCATCATTATTTCACACTTTGTCACATCCCGATATTGATTCTGCGTGACCATGATGCTGTCCTCCAACTCAATTTACTGTTCTCTCCAATTCACCCACGCGACCTTGCCGATATCGTTGGTTGTGCCGGCAATGGCATCTCAACAGCAGTGATACAATGATACAGCCTCACAGAGCCACGAGACTTGCAGTTTGTCCATCTCCGCATACCCCTCATTCACAAGGCTCGCGTGCCGTTTCCGTCTCCCTACTTATGCCTGGGTCTGAGTGTCTGACTGTCATCTCCGAGGCACACAATCCTCAGCGATGAGCGGAGCAAGCTGATGTGTCTCAGCTTGGGGTTGAGGTATGTAAAACGTTGAATGAGGAAAGACAATGAATGCTGTCATTTCCTTCACATATGTCTTGTGTTTTGTCTCCATGTTTTTCTTTCATACGCAGTAAGAGGATTTACGGCTTCACACTCATCAGCAAGCCTTTCATAGGCATAGCAGCACCCCGGCATTGTGATCTGGCACTCATCTCAATAACATGCGGCACATGGCATACGCCACAACACCCTCTTCTTCCGGAATAATCACTGGCACCAGATTGCTGTCGATCACACGATGCTCTCACATTGTCAAAGAGAACAAGGCAAAGATACAGGCAAATTCAGCTCACACTCTGAACGACGGACGCAGGCTAGCCGCTGAATGAAACATAGGATGATGAAGCGTGCGTGCCTGTGTGCCCGTTCTCTTTTGCGCAACACAGCCCCTCTGTTGGACTGGGCACGACATGAAGAAACGCATGGCCAGGTGAACACGAGGATACAAAACAGCACAACGCGAGCTCTTGTCCTCTCCTTTGTTCAACGCCCAGATTAAAATACGTCGTCACAATGTGAAACCAAGTGACTGCATGCTGCTGTGGTGGTACCGTTGGAAGACCAATGATCTGATGGGATGCAGCACGCATACATGACAGCCAGGCAGCCATTTTCTCTTTGTTGAAGAAATCGAACCAACAATCGAAGCCTCAAGACTTCGCTTACAGTTTCTCAGCACGACCCTGCTTACAATCCCACAGCTGTCATCCTCAACTCCAATGCGCAGCTTCACACCGAGCGCACAGCGGTTGTTTACCCCAACATGCCGCCCAAATCCATCTGTCAGCACCGAATCACCAAACCTGTGGATCAACCACCTGAGAAAATTGCCCTTGATCTCGAAAGCCCAGCGCTTAAAAATGGAAAATTCCCCGGAGAGGCCCAAATAGTGCCCCCGGACAAGACTAAATTTAGGGCCCCCTTGCCTCTTTCGTTCTCTTACCTGCAACAGACAAGAAACCAGGGGGTTTTCCCAGATTCCAGGCCCCCCATTTTCTTCATCAGGGCATTGACGCCTGCGTCCTTTCATTTAAGGAACAAGAAGCAAGGAGCAACCATCCCACACCCCTGCGTCTGCCAATCAACGTCCCCTGTCTGCGTTTGTTCGATTTTACTCGCCCAACGCCATATTTGATCTTTCTTGGCACGCTCGGGCATGCTCGTTACTTTCGCTTGACGTGGTGATTTTGTTTGGATACTAACATGACGGCAATGGTTCATTCGCGCACTTGGTTAATTAGCTATTTCACGGGCGGACGGATGCATTACCAATCACCAATCTCCTCCCCGCCATGCGGAAAGCAGGGGGAAAAAAGAACAACAACGCCCAAAGGCTGTGTACATGCTAAGATCCGGACTTGAATCTCCTCTCTGAAGCTCGGAAAACGAATCGTTGGGTTATTGTAAAAGATAAGCCAAGCACTGCAGACGCCGTGCCTTCGGACTCAGTGTCCGCGTGGGATTGGTATCATGATACAAATACTTGGATTACCGAGTAATGACGAAGGTCCTCTCTTACGGAGGTCATATAGAGGATAGTATCATGATACAAAGCTGCAATGTGCCGAGTAATGACGGGATCTCTACTTACATGAGCAGTGCGTGCTATCTCGGTCACTCCGCCGTTCGAGTGACCATTTCTTGCGGTCAATCTGTATACAATTCCGACATGAAATGCTGGTATTACTCTTCATCTAGCCTTGATTTCATCACTATTATGTGTATCATAGACATGACAGAACGTAAGTGGACAAGAAAGCAGAAAAAGAAATCTCTCCAACGCTGTCTTCAGCGGTGTCGCTGGGGACGTCTCCCATCCCTCCAACTTGCATAGCAGACGATAGACAGGAGTGAAATAAGCGAAGAGAAGATCAAAACCAGAATGTGCCCACGGCGCCCAAAAGCAACTCCCAATAAACCCCCCTTTTGCGGAGCGATGTCGAATACTTGTTCCACAAGGTGAGGGGACTCTGTAAAGAGTCGGTGTCGCGAGCCCTCCAAACGCCCGCTATCATTATACAGATACCCATTGGTGCCCAAGTTTATACATTACTTTTCATACAATTTGCTGTTGCTGTAGTGCTTCGAGGTAGTCGTCCGTTCAGTATTCTCGCGATCGGCGCAAGCTCCGCGAATGCCCAAAGACGGATCTCTCTCCGCTGCTCGTCGATCCGGCGACACTCGGTGGCCGCGCGCTCATGGTGCGCGTGGGAAACTTGGACAGAATGGTTGACGACTTGTTCTTATCGTTGCTGAGGATGCTGGCGCGGTCCGAGCTGATGACCGACGCAATCTCTTGCAGCGAGTTCGAGTCGAGGAACGCTTGGGGGAAGACGCCCCATTTGCCCTTTGCGTTGGTGCCTGCCCAGCACCAGTATTCGGGATAGGACCCTGAGCTGCCCGTTAGCTTCCTTTCCCCTGACAGCGTACTTCCCAGAGGGCACTGTAACTTACAAGTGATGTTGCTGATGATCTCGTCCTTGTCAAACTTCAGCCAGTCCTCGTTCTTTTCCTTTGGTGCAAACTTCCATTTGGCCTTGGCCCGGATACGGCTTGTAGCGTTTCTCTTGATCTGACCAAAGGGCGGTCGATCCAGCTTGATGATATCAGTCGGAATCGATGCGTGAACGCCGTCATGCCATCCGAACGCCCACTCTCCGTTATATCGAGCGGGCCAAGTAATGCCCGTGATCTTTGCTCCCTGAATAAACTCCAAGGCTGGAGTTCTGTCAGGTAACAGTCTCTGGCCAAAGAGTCTTCGGGCGGATTCTTTTGCGTGGGCGGTAGGAAGATGGGCAATTTCTGCAGCTCTTTCGCGCACCGGATGAGGCTCGGGAGGATTCTTGAAATACAGATCGTAGTCGTTGACCAGGTGAGGCGGAATTTCGGTTTGATCCACCACGGCGATGCCAGGAACGTCTGGCAGCGGTCGAGGATGGCGGGCCAGATGGCTGAATAGTGCCGCTGTCGAGGTGAAGACAGTGGCATCGCTCTGGTCGAGGGTCTGGCTGGTGTGGATACAGAAGACGCAGGCATACATGATGTCGTCGACCCGTTTGGCGTGCAAGTGGCTCTTCTGCAAGAAGCGCAGTCGATATCCGACACCATGCTTGGTATAATTGCCCTCGTCTAGACACTCAAGTTAGATATCTGATACTTGGGCTTGCCATTCCCACCCACTTCCTTTTCGAAAGACGGCGACATTGCTCGTAGTGGACGTACCTTGCTTGTTGATATCATACTCAATGTGCTTAAAGTCGAGCTCATACAAACAATGGGTGCATTTCGCAACAACGGCTGTCATCGAGAAGCCCTAGAACAATCGAGTTAGCAAGCAATTCAATCACAGGAGGGAGGGAGTACAACCACGGGTTTCTTTTGCCTCTTTACTCCTACTCCACCATTGATCACGTCCGTGGCTCCCGCACAGAACTGCTTCTGCAAGTAAAAGGAGCTAAAGTTGTCGATTGAGAGGTCCTGTGGTGGCAGATTCGCGAGAGCAGCTCCGGGGATGGAGGTATCTACGGGGATCAACCCGCTGTCTATGCCGTCGGCCGGACCCGTGTTGCGCCGAGCAAGCTCGAGCCCTGGCTGCTGCTGCTGCTGCTGTTGCCGTGATAGCTGCTCTTGATGGGCAGTATCTGGCATTCCCCTATCGGCAACGGACCCCCTTGTGCTGATTGGAAGGGGGTTCGGGTCAATCAAGCTCTCGGCATCTGCCGACATTCTTCGATCCGACGATTGTTGCACATCGTCGCTCACTGAGTCGCCCATACGAATGGTCTTTGCATCATCCATGCGCTCATCCGAGGAGGCGGGGTGCGATGGCTGGCGCGGACGCTGCGCTCTGTATGGCATGGGTGAATACATGACGGGCGCGGGACGTTGCCGTGACGAGCTCCTTGATCTCATATCCTTGGCCCGCGTCATCTCTTCCGGTATGGTCGGGGTGCTGCTGCTGTAGGTGGTGGCACTTTGGTTGCTTGGTGCTCGAGGGCGCGAAGACTGAGTAGGGCTCATGCTGTAGTTTGACAACTGGCTGCTAAGGGTGCTCTGAGATGAATGCTTCTCGTCTGAATCGGGTGGATATTCCTGTAGCATCCCAGAGCTGCGAGCACTGTCCGGGTAGTTGGGACGTGGAATCGAAAAGTTTCTGGACGTGGTGTACGGGCTAATTGGCGAGATTCCCTCAACCGGTGACAGAAGTGGTGGCTCGACAGGCGGCCTCCGGCGCACTGGGGGTGTATCACGCGGCCGTTCGTCGTCAGAAGCAACAGTCTTGACCCTAATATCCCACGGATTCGTTGATGGGGGCCTTGGTGGAAGCTGTTCCAGAGCGGCCGGTGGCCGAGGAGGTGGTAGAGGCAAGCTCCTGTCTGGAGGTGGCATCGGGGGTGGCTGAGATAACAGATTGAGGCCGTTACTCTCACTGTTAAACGCCTTATCGATCATCACGCTCAACTGCTCATTGGCGGTCTCAACCGGAGCCGTATCTGTGGCGGACCTGTTATCGGTCTTGGAACTTGACATGGAGTCTCTGCCTGCGGAGCTTGCACCAGTAGTCGAAGGCGGCGCCGTGAGCATCGGTGGCATCAGCATGGGCGGCGTGGGATGCGGCGACGAAGGGGGCGACAGCTGCGACATGAAATGCTCTTGGTTGAAATGAGCAGGCGGCTCAAGCTTCATCTTCAGCAGGATGTCGTAGATCTTGGGTGCAGCTGTCCGTGACATCATCTGGAGCTCAGTGAACTTGTCGGCATCGAAATCGTCTACTTCGATATAATCGTCAAATTCCCACAACAACTCTGTAAGTTGGACTCTAAATTGGGCAATCTCCTCTGTGTGTTTCGTACAACGTCAGCCTCCATTGGTGTGCAAGCGAATGGATTCATTCTGTTAACCAGGTGAGCTTACCATTGTCCTTTACTGCTTCGATGAAGTTCGGCCCAAAATCGTCAAAGTGTTTCTTGCACAACGGCTCTATTTTCTTGAGGGCTCGCTCGCCCTCCTTGAGCAGGGCTTGAGAGGCCTTGAGCATGGGCTGTGCATCACCCGCATTCTGAACAGCCGTCCTACCCTTGTCAACAATGTCCCTAAATGGGGTCAGGATGAGGTCGACAATGTTCTCCATGGCTGCTATCCCGGGACGAATTGCTCAGACGAGCAGTCTCGATACGTCGGCGGGGCGAGGGACTGGGGGGGTTTTGTATGATGGCAACCTCGCACAGCCGACCTGATATGAATCGGGTCCGTATCGACACGTGCGATGCCAAGCGTCAACGGGCTCGATGCAATGGATGGCGGAGATTAAAAGAGGATAACGACTGATATAGAAAACCGATAGTCCAAGTCGGTTTCGTTGCTAGGCGTGGCGTTCACGAATAAGGGTACCAGCGAGAGCCTTTCCGCGTGGGGCTCAACGGTGAGCTTTGGAAGTGAGAGTCTCCAGGATGGAAAGAGACCAGACCTGCTTGTTGATATTGCAAATGCTTTCTAGAGTAGCAAACGAAGGGATGGGGAGGATGAGGCTCGAGGTACGAAGAGGGAAAGGAGAAGGAAAAGAGGCATACAAAAGGGAAAAAGGAAGTAGAAGAGAAAGAGAATGCCTCTGGAGCCTGGAGGAGTGCAGGAAGAGAGGCGTATGTACATTGTCAAAGAGCTGAAAAGCAGCACCACTTGTGAGCAGTCCTAGTCTCAAGGCTGAATGATGAATGCCAAGGGCCCCGGAGCCAGATTATGGCCATGGCTGCAGACACCCAGGCGTCGATATAGCATCCTTGGTGCTTGGTCCATGCCTTTGCGCTAGATTCGTCACCTCGAAGGCCGAGGAACTGGCAAGTACTGGTTCATCCAGAGCACTTGTCACCGTTGCCGCATTCTTTGAATGGACAGGTACCCGCCTAGGGCCATATGGTGCATGCAAGCGGCACGATTATGGGATAATGGGACGGAGACCGATTGCCCAACCACGACTCGCCGCTTTCCAGATGGTAGGTGACATGCTCGTATGCCAGCCAGGCGTCAGGTCCTCCCATGATAGAGGAGCTGTCAGGGTAGCTGCGCAAAGCATAAGTGTATCGACCGAGGGCCAGCTAGGGGATGCAGCCAAGGCTTTGTGTGTCTGGTCGAGGTCTTTTGAGGCTTGCGAGCACGAGGGCAACATCGATTGGACAAGGCTTACAGTCCTGCCGGATGGGCTGATTCGGAAGAGGGCTTGTCTAGTGCCGCGATCCTGCCTGGACCCTTGTTCGCTCGGAGTCGTTCACAGAGCTCGGGACCCCAGGCGTCCCGTCCACGTTGCGCAAAGGCCGCCTTGCATTGGTCGGAGCTGTCAAAGAGAGGCTTGTTCGGGAATAGTGGCCTGGCGCCGGTAGCTTGACCGCGCGCATCATGGGGAGCCGGGGCTGCGGCAGCCTCACGTTTTTCTGGCCGTCGAGTGTCGCTAGCTCGTCCATCTGCAGGCCAGGGGTAGCCATTGCGGATATGCTTCCCCTCTTTGGAGCCGTTTTTGTCTGGAACTGCAACTTCGTATCGTACGAAGCATTTATCTGTGTTGAAATCGATTGAATTATGATGGAGCTGGTCTTACTCCGTCGACTGGAGCCATACAAGTCAGTAATAGTACAAGTATGTACTGTTGTACGAGGCATGGCACCTCGCGTGGAGATGGATCCTGCACTCCATATGCACTCGTGGTTCGTACCTGGATGGGTAGCACGATGCAGTATACGGCCAATGGGTTCGTTCATACAATCTGCGATTGCGTCTCATCTCGTCATGTTCTGTCTTTTACCCAACAGGATACCTACTCCAACTCACTGGTACTTACTTTGTACTCTCAAGCAGGGGCAAGCGGCAGAACAATCCATCGGTGACTGCCAGTATTCTAAAGGCCTGTATGAAGCCTCCAGTGGCGTCAACGGTTCTCGATCTTCGTCTTGGCTCAGATGCCATCACAACGGCGCGGTGTAGCAAACGGCAAAGGCTTCAATAGCTCTCGACGGGGGGTGTGCGGCCGTCCAATCAGCCACAGGGACGCCATTGAGATATTCCTTGTAGGTGCCCTCGCCACGGCCGCCCCTTGTTTTAAAGCCGGTCCCTGGATTCTGGATGGGCTGAAGATGGAAATCCGTGAGTGAGATGAAGAGTGGAGAGGAGCGAAAACATTGATGAATGAGAGAAAGAGGTCATGTCGTGTACTAAGGTAGGTACAAGGACCTAAGGTAAGGCAGTGACACATTGAAGGAAGGAGGTTGATTTTGTTGCCGAGGGCAAGTGCTGTGGTTGCAGTTGCAAGAGCCCTCAACTGAGGAATGACACCGCTGTAGCACACATCGAGTTCCCAGAATATGGACGGTCATCGTCACCGTAACGCTGGAGGCCAATTAGGTTCCGACGCGACCTATATCTCGACAATTGACGACGCCGAGAACTTTTGGATTGAATCAACTGCTTGTAATTGCTCTACTAGCAGTAGCAGCCCAGGGCAAAAGTCCGATGATTACATTTAACGCAGTCTCGACTTCGCACCAGTCTCACAGCGGTAATGTTCCTGGCACGGGTAACATGAATGTTCCCCCTAACCAACCTCTAGGTAGAGAGACCGGAGGCACACTTCGTCTCTTCGCCACATTCCAGTGATCACTCATACATTAGCTCAAACAGGCACCGCTGCTAGGCGATGCAATTGACATGCCTGATGCGATCATATGTGCAATGTTTGTGTACTTCATGCGGTCTCGCGTATGACACTTTACAACTACAGCTAACCTACATTCAAGTGCCATTGACTCATCTAGGCTCTCCAGTCACGCCCTTGAACATGATGAATTCAAATCTCAACCCAACCTGTACCATCGGAACGTATTACTGAATCCTCCAAGGCTGTACCTTGAAGCTTCCACACGTACAGGCAGTGCTACCCACCATGTCTCGCTAGCCCGCATGTCGTCCGCATGAACTGATCACGATCCTACCTCTTGGGAACCTGCTAAACACCACCACCAAGTCGGCTACGCTTCCTACATGCGGGCTAGGTAGCCACCATCATCGGCAAGGGTCATCGGCCGCGTCAAGGGTCTCGCCCGAAGGCTGGTCGGGAGTCCGGACACGCAGGGCCGGCCTTTGTTAGCATGCCTCTCAGGACCTTGGAACGCAATGGGCCGAGATGTGGCCACTCGGCTGCATGTACTACATGTACTTTAGGCTTGATAAAGCTCGAACATCAACTGCTATAGACTGTCCAAGGCTGACAGTTTTTCAGGCCAATATCATCTGCACCGATTGGTGTTCTAGATTGCATGTGCCTCGCCATATTAACGTCGCATGTAGAGTGCGAGCCTAACTCTCGACCTTCGTCAATCGCCCATTGAAGTCGTCCCCCCTCCACTATTCTCAAATGTGACTCACTTACACGCAGATGGTGACTTACATACCAAGCTCCTCAATGAGGTTGAACAAACTCCAATCTGTCATCCATCATCCCAAGTTTCTTCCAAACTCGCCATAAGGCTCGAATCCTCTACATTCAATTCCACTTACGTAGCTACTTCAGAGGCTACAGGTATCACTGTTACTCTTCCAACAAGACATTAGCAATCCTGCATCGATCCTCCAGGCTGACGTGCCTCAATCACAAGCAGTTTGTCCCAACTCACAATCCAAACCCACGCGGCAGTTTGTCTTCCCCCCCATTTCTCTTCATGTAGTCTGACATGTGTCCAGTTCGTCACTGTCATCCGTGCGCGCACCATGTATCTGTACATGTTATCTGGAGTCACAACCATGGGGTCCGACACGTTCTCCGTCCTCGGTGAGATCGTCACAAAAGACATGTGGATCGTGGATCGTGGATTAGCGGACTCGTTGCCCCCTTGTTAACAGAAAAACCTCAAGAATCAAGGAACCTCAGCAGAACCACATTTCCCCGAGGATCACATGTGCCGTGCATCGTCAACTCCCAATGTTTCCAAACTCTGAGCCTAGGGATTCACCGTGCCGGGTCTCACCGACTTATACTAATACCCAAGGTACCTAACGTATTGATGCAGCTCAGATATCCATGTCCAACCTATTGTTATGTGAATATGTACGGACGCCATCTCTATCACATCAAACCTCCAGCGCATCGCATTTCACATCCCAAAACCGCCCAAAAAGTCGGTGACAACGAGCCTCTGCTCTGTAACCCCCTCTGTCAACAAAAATCCCGCCATTTTGAGGGGGGGAAGAAACGATAACTTGAGATACCTACTAAAACAAGTTCTGCCGGCACCAGTTCGCTGCATTCAAGATCGCTCCCTAGTCTGTGCTCCCCGCGTGGCGTGAGGAGATGATATTTATATGCCCCAAGGCAACCCCAAATCTCATCCTATAAATCTTCTAGCTGCGTCAGAATCTCGTACTAAATCGTCGTGGCCCAACTCCGTATTGTCCATACTTCTGCCGATCCGATCTCTCTGTGATGCCATGTTCGTGCATAGTATTTGTTTGCTCGCTCTCGAGACTTTTCTCCCCGCCTTTTCCCCTCGTGACCAATCGCCTTGTTGGGCAAAGGAGATGGCGCATGGCTTACCGCACGGGCTTCCTATTGTTCAAGAGGACCCAAACGCAGCCATTTCCCCTCTCTCTTCTCTAATGGTGGTCCTCGGTGGAGGGGCGTCATTTTAGGCCAAGGGAGGGTGTGCATTCACTTACACCGCATTCATCGTCCAAAGTCCAACGACCAACGGCGGCAGCAACACAACTCGCTTCCCGTCATTCCATACATGGGAACATCCCGGCATGGCATGATATCTCCAGTTGATACAGATCGGACACGAAACACAAGATAGACTCATGGCTTGCATAGGAAGACGCCAGATAATTCGCAAGTTACCATTTCAGCTGCTATCCAAACCCAGTATCCGGTCCCCAGTATCCGTGGACCAGCACTGACTCCTCGACGAACTACCAAAACAAATAGCCAGACCCGTAATCAATCTCTGATCCCGGCTCCGGCCTTCCGGCTTCCGTCTTCCGTATCGGTTGCGAGCTTCGAAGCACGTGTTACCGCTTGAACATCCCCAGCCCCACCTCAGCAGCCTCCACATCGTCCCCTGTTCACGATCAAAAGGGTTTTCGGTATCGTATCGGGGTATATCCCCATTCTCAGGGCCAATGTGTAAAGATTAGTCGAGCTGGCCGCGCAGGGTATGAGTCCTTCGTAACTCCTCCGCTGTACGACGGCTGCAGGTCACCCAGCACCTCCGCGTCGGTTAGATTACCGCAGATGCTCCTTATGCAGGTTCATCAACCTCAAGACCGGCCACTAAGCTGCTCTTCGATCAATTTCCGTCCGACCAGGATTGTGTCCTGCATGCCCCGTTGACGCTGCCAGAACCTGTGAACCATGTCAGCCACAACTGAAATTCGCCTCGACTTGACATGCGAGTCTGTCCCAGGACCCAGCATCAAATTTGAGATGAAGCGCCTTACCTTTCTTCGGGTGATCCATGCCCATGGATCGAGGCCAGCCTGGCCTCCTCCTCCAGGGTTTCCCTCGTAATCTGCTCCGTCTTCTCAGCCCCTGGTACGGCGACGGTAGCCTTTTCGCTCGCCACGTGGCCGACCGTCTCCTCTAGGAACTTTTTCTTCATTTGGAACCGTTCCTTGCGCTCTCTCTGGAGGCCAGGGCTCTCCACCTTGCCCATGACATATCTGACGGCAAGCTGAGCGGCAAAGTAAAGGTGTTCAGCTAGAAGGATGCTGAGGAAAGCTCCGCCTGCAGTGATGTAGGATCCGGAACCGGCTTGCCTGTTCTTGCTGCAAAGGTAAACGACGGCAGCGCTGGTGATGCTACCCAGCCACGACAGAAAGCCCAGAGCAGTCAGCCACGGTCCGATGGAGTCAGCTCGCCACGGGACGGGTCTGCGACAGCCGATGACGATCTTCAAGGCATCAGATCGGAGTTCAATCCAGTTGTTGATGAGGAAGAAGCAGGCCGTAAGGGGCCATGAAACAGAAAAGAGAGACAGATAGCCTTATCTTTGTCAGTTGTGTTCTATCAGGCCAAAACGAGGAAACACTAGCCAACTCACCAAATTGCATCACCATCTCGCGGTAATCAGCAGTAACGTCGTAGTCCTCGAGGCCAGCTTGGTCCCGTACACGTTTCAGGAAATCGGCTTCATCAGGCTGGTCGTTGGTCTTGGGCGTGTGGTTGTTCGAGAGCTCCTTGGCCTTGACAGAGGCCTTGTGCTTGACGTAGGGAACGACGACTTCGGTGAGAAAATTGATGATTTGGGCCGTGACCGTGGTGTAATACATTTGGTTGGCAATCCGCTGAGGGTTAGACTGGAATTGGTTCGTCGTCAAGGGCTTCTCGCTCATCGTAAGAGTCTGTGCCGTCTTGCCCCAGAAATTGAGCAAGGGGTGTAAGACATGGCCGAAGGGAATATAGACGAAAGCCGTGAAGATTAATGCCATGTAGGATGTCATGAAGTTGAGCACAAACTGTTTCTGGACCAGAGCGGCGTTGTGTGCTTGAAGATGATTCTCGTTAGTTGCAGCCCAAAGCGATATTTTCGATGGTTTTGATCCACAACCTACCATCCATGGTATCATAGTTTTCCATATCTGTCAGCCTCTTGGCGGCAGTCATGAGAATAGTGGAAAAGGTTGGCGTCAGGACAACAAGCAAGATAGTAGGAAGGAAACCCTATCGCATAAAAGTCAATATATGTCACGATAACGAAGGAATTCCAAAGTTAGAAAGACGCTCACCAGATACTTCTGTCCTGGACCGCTGTACACTTCATTGATGTAAATCTCCAGGGAGTTGACCGTAGCGACCAGCGAACCAAGGACAACAATACAGACGAGGGCGAAGGGGATCTGAAGGAGTTGGGTCTGTAGCCGCTTGATTGGTGGATAAACCTTGATCGGCTCTCCCGTGACTGAGTCTTCCGTCTCAAACTCCCACTGAAACTCTGGGCGGTGATGCTGTATCTTTGAGACGCCACGGACACCCCAGGTGACGGCCAAATCGGCCTCCTTACGCTTCCAATACTCGAAAAAGACGACGGACCAGAGACAGCTGCAGATGGCGTAAAACGTAGAGAATTGGCCCATCAGCATCCATGCGGCAAAGCCGACAGCCGCGGGGAATATCTGGAAGCGGAGGTAGTCCATGAGAAAGGCAAAGTAAAAGGCAACGCCCTCGCCAAACCTGTCACGGATGTCGTCTAGATCGGACTGTTCCAGGACATACTTCTTGCTCCATTTTTGCAGCCACTTCTTGTTGAAGGCATGGTCGTGAAGCGGGAAGATGGCCTCGACGTACTTCCACTGCCCTTGACCTTGGGAGATGCCCGCGCCGCCTTCATTTCGAGACTTGGTGATGAGGAGATAGACGAGACGGAGTCTCTCGGCTTCAGTCACGGGCTCGTCCTGAATCGCTTTGGAGATATCGCTACTCGGGCCGGAGATGCGCACGCCCTGCAGCCAATCCTGAAGGCGAGAGCTGTAGGCTTGCTGGGCCAACAGGTCGTTTGAAGCCAGTCTGGTGAAGACGAGGAGGGAGTCCTTTTCCCCGCTGCGAACGGAAGTAGTGAGGCCAATGTTTGTGAGGGCTTCAATGAGCTGGACAAAGGCGGCCTCTGCTTTGGCCCTTTCTGGAGGTGTGTGAGCGATGGAATAGACGGCATTTCAGGTGCTTGGAAGAGGGGCCTACCTTTGGGTGGTATCCGGTAGTGAATCACATAATCGACCCTGGCGAGCTGTCAGCTAGATGATCAGAGATCGTAGGGAGATCGTACTGTAGATGGAGACGGCAGATTCAAAGCACATGCTTACCCAAAGTTGCCCTCGGCACCCTGTTCGTCTCCTTTGCCGTACAGCCCCCGCAGGCTCGACATGGCGATGACGTCGGACACGCGGCAAGCACGTGTGGTGAGAGATCAGACGGAGAGTATCTTTGTCAAGAGCAATTGATCGTACTGATGCAGCACGAAAGATGATGCGCGTAAGGTAGTATTCCAGGTGGCTATGGGGAGTTGGTTATAGGGACTGAAGAGAGAGGGCAGAGGAGGATGAAATAAGGTGACAGATGCGTGTTCAATCGATAAGGAAGCAAGCAAGATTGCTCAGGAGCTGTTGTGGGGAACCGCGGGCAAAGACGTCACTGTCAACGGCTGTGCAGCTGCCCTGATGAGGATTAGCTTTGGAGAGACAATAATCGGTGATATCAAGGTCAGCTCTACTCCGTATGCAGAAGAAGAGACGAAATGGGCGAGGTTTGGTATTGAAAGAACCAGGGGAAAAGAAAATCAAGGAAAGAAATAGAACGAGAACAAGTAGGAAAAAGAGAAAAAAAAGATCGTCTCAGCTGAAAAAGACATCGTCATATGAAGCCATGCAAGCAAGCCATTGACGATCCGCCAGATCCCCGATCAACAGCTCCAGGAAAAAAGCCGGGCTAAGCCTCTCGCGGGAAGGGCTGCCCGCCCGCCAATCAGCGCGCCGCATTGACACCATGAGCTCATATGCGTCATCCTTGCAGCTTTCGATCGTGTCCAGTTTCTTGATCTTGATATTCCACTACCTTACACCAAGCTGAGATGATACCATTCACCATCAAAATGCCGGCCAATCACTAGCAAATCTCCTGCCTCTGACAGCCATCAACTCACCATCCTCGCCTCATCATGGGCCTGCTCACGTTCCTCGGCCTGCGCCGGGAGCACCAGTGGGAGCGCCTCACCCTCCTCGACCAGCTCCTCCTCTCGCCATTGACCTTCATCACCATCAGGCTCTACCACATCCTGCTCTTCCTCCGTGGCCGCCCCTTTGTCCCGCCCCGTAACAGACCGCCCATTCGCGTCGTCTGCATATCCGACACGCACGACCAATTCGTCGACATTCCTCATGGCGACATTCTCATCCACGCCGGCGACTTGACCAATTCCGGGACCGCTGCCGACATCCAGAAGCAGATCGACTGGCTGAAGAGCCAGCCTCATCAGGTGAAAATTGTCGTTGCCGGAAATCACGACAGTTGGTTCGATTCGCGAAGCCGTCTTGACTCGGACGTCAAATCTAGTGCCACGGTAAACCTGGATGGACTGCATTATCTCGAGAGCGGCCTGACTGTGCAGGAAGTCAAGGGCCGGAAGCTCACTCTGTTTGGCGTACCGGATATCCCAGAGTGTGGCCCAGACAGCTTTGCGTGAGTTGGATCGAACCCGGTTTGGGCACACGGAGTGCTGACTTGGACATAGGTTTCAGTATCCGCCCAACAATCCCCCGTGGTTTAGCAGGATCCCACCGCAGACCGATATCCTCGTAACTCATTGTCCTCCAGTACGCCGTCTCTCTTGTCATTGTCCCGTGGCTCTGGCGTGCTAATGTCCCTTGTGTCTTAGAAACATCACATGGATCTCGGTCTCGGCGACCCCCATCTTCTCCAGGAAGTCTGGCGCGTCAAGCCTCGTCTCCACGTCTTTGGCCATGTCCACTGGGGTTACGGCAAGGAAGCCGTCTTCTTTGATGAGATGCAGCTAGCCTACGAGCGGCTGCTCTCTCGACCGCCGCGCGGCCCCTTTTGGGATTTCGTTCCGAATGCTGCCTGGTGGGACCATCTGTACGTGCTGTTGCATGGTGTTCATGCTGTGCTGTGGAAGTGGCTCATGAGCGGTCCGGGGAGCAACCAGGGCGGCTGCTTGATGGTAAATGCTTCGCAGATGTACGGGAGCAACGGCAAGGTGAAGAATAGGGCTGTCGTTGTAGACATATAGCGAGAATTGCTTACCGCGTATGAGGCTCCGAGACGCTACATTATCCAGTTCTTCTTCATGACTGTGCATAAGGGTGGGAAGCTTCAGCTTGTGAAAAATCCGTTGATTATTACTATCTTGTACTAAACTGAACGCTACATCCTAAACCATCCGAATAATGCCTGTCGATACAATGCGCAACTTTATGCCAAGGGGTATTCTGTATACAAAGAAGATATTAGTCGGTTCCGCATGTCAGTGCCGTTAAGATATATAAATCTTATAGCAAGCTCATGACGAGAACCAGTATACTCAACCCCATGATTGCAGAGTATCTTTCCAGTTCACCGTACACCGTCGAAGCCGCTGCAACAACCACGAATGGGCTGTTAACAGGCGAGTCTGATGAGGTCGGCGGTGGATGGGGGTGGCTGTTGGTCTCGTTGTGTGAAGCGTGAGGCTGAGAAGGGTCGTGGGGATGGCCGCCACCCTTATCCTGGTCGTAATTCTCATGTGGAGGTGGTGCTGCCTCATGGTGGAAATGATCATGCTCATCATGCTGAGGAGGCGGAGAAGGGGGAGGAGAAGGGGGATCAGAAGGAACCCAAGGCTTCGGCTCGACAGGCGGCAGCCACGTCGGTGTCACGATGGCTTCCTTTGTCGGCTCTCCCTCAGGACAGTCAACCACCGTCTTTGTCACCGAAACCACAACTTCCGAGACTTCGGGCTCATCACCCCACTGCTTGTTCCAGTCATTTCCGTCTTCGTTGGCGTTCTCCTCGTCGTGGGCTTGTTGATCCCAATCATGTCCGTCCTCGTGCTTGTCCTCCTCTTGATATTCTGCATCATGCTGCTCCCACTCGCCCCCCTTCCATCTCGAATCATCCTCCGAGACCGGAAACACCGTCCACTCATCCTCGCCCTCCCCCTCCTCCGTCCTCCACGTCCCACCACTCGACCCCGGCGCCATCGCCGGCGGCTCCTCCGGCCTCTCCCCTTCCACGAACGCATACACAGTCAGCGCATGCCTCGGCGTCTCGTCCGTCGCAAACTTCTCCCGCGGGCCATCATTATCACGAGGCCCAATCAGGCCGCCGCACAGCTCGCCCCTGTCGCCGGGGCACTCGCGGTTGCAGAGCCCCTCCCTCTCGGCGGCCCTCGTGCCGGCGTCGAGGTCGTCTGCGCAGAAGCAGTGCGAGTCAAAGACGCCCGCGTAGGTCCGGGGCCGGCAGAGCTCGATGCAGCGCTCGAGCGTCATGTCGGCGGCGTCGGCGACTTCGGTGAAGCAGGGGAAGTCGGTGCTTGAGTAGAAGCAGCCGAGGTAGGAGTAGTTATTGATTTTGACGGGGTTGACGGGTGCTCGTGTGGCGACGGGCTCGATGGCTGCGGTCGTGTGAGCGGGAACGTCGTGGTCTCGCCAGTCACCACCGTTTCCGCCGTCGTCTTGAGGACCGTGAGGATGGCCTGTGGCGTAGGCGGTGACGGTTTCTGTCCAGCGCGTCGTCATGGTTGTCGTCGTGGTCTGTCCATCATCCCACTCCCACCAGGGATCTGGTTGACTAGGACGATCCGGGTGACTTGGACGGTCTGGATGCTCTGGATGACCTGGGCGTGGTCTGTGGCCCTCAATACGGAGCTCATAGGCGTCGATATATCGCACATCCCAGTAAGCATTCGCAAAGGCTTCCGGATGACTGGCCACATATTCAGGGCATGTGGCCGCGAACTGATTGCACTGATCCGAGTTGCCCCAAACAGCATTACCATAATCACCACAAAAGTTCTGGTACAAGATGTCAGTAGGCTTTCTTCTTCTTCTTCTTCTTCTGACTGTCTGTCTTTCACTTATAGACAGGGGAAGGCATTTGGACTCACAATGTTCAGCACCAGCCTCATCCTGTGGAAATACTGATCAACATCACAGCTCTCCCCCCCAAACACCGCAATCGGCAGCCCCCACGTCTCGGGATCCGGCCTCTTCTCCTCGACATCCCTCGGGATCGAGCCCCGCGCGAAGTGCCAGATGCGAATGTGCACGGAATCCCACTCCATGGCGTACACGCCTCCGTGCGCGGCGTTGAAGCCGTCGCCGTACGACGAGGTGTCCTCCCCCGAGGGGTGGAAGCCGCAGCCAATGTTGTTGTCGCCGACGGCGCACTCGGCGTTGATCAGCGTGCCGCTGTAGAGGCCGTCGATGGTCGGGCTCTGGGTGCAGCCGTCGGCGGTGTGGGCGGAGAGGATGTTTGTGTGGGCGGTGTTGACGCCTTCGATGATGTCGATCTCGCCGTCGTACGGCCAGTTGTCGCCATATGTCCAGACTGTCCATATCAAATCGTCAGCAATCAGTATCATCAAGGGTTTCATATCCTATATGGGGGCTGTATGTTGAGTTCGTTCGACTTACACGCTGGCCATAAGCCGCAATGCGAAGGCGGCATGTGCAAGAAGTCGGCAATGAACAGGCCGTGGTCATACGTCGCCTTGCTTTCGATGCGAATACTCGGCCGGCCTCGATCAGCGAGTGAATACTCGTGCGTGCTGTCCACGCCCAGCCTGACGACTCCTGTTCTATCGTCGATGCTGTAGAGGCCCAGGGCCTCGGCATCGCGTCTGCTTTGATAGCTACGCGCAGCACATGTTCATCAGTACAAGCGAGAAACATGAGGGGATGAGGTGGGAAAGCACTTACGAAACAAATCCATGCGAAGGATCCAGTCCATTGAACCAGTTGAAGCCAGAGAGAAGAGCCTCTCCAGCGTAGGATGTGGTTAGATGATATGACATCTTCACTCAGCTGATTTATCACAGCGTTCGTAAAAGACGACTTTCTGAGAAGAAAACAAAACAGAAACTCCAAGTACTGGAAAAGAGGTCATCACAGCCAATATATACCACGCAAAGTAAATTATAAAAAGAACAACTCATTAACGCGTCTGGAATGCCATCTCCAGGCACAACTTATTCCACGGCTCTTCTGCTCCGAGTCCACGTATAAGTGAGACAGCTTTAGCAAACCCTCAATCCGGAGAAGCATCGCATCGCCAAACGCATGACGACCAGCGATTGGAAGACAAATCCATTGTTTCCCCGGGAGACTGAAGATCTTTGTGCATTGTCTCGAGCGCAATGAGAAAGGACAAGTCCAAGTCACCTCGTTGCCAGGCCATCAGAAGCGATGCTTTCGGAAACGCTCACGAGAAGCCATTCCAGACGGTGAGACCTTTTTTCAAGAATCGCTCCGTCGACTATTCATCGCTCATGTGAAGCACGAGGCCAAGGCTTTCGACGCGTGCCTTGGGGAGGCTTGGGAACTGAAACAATGCATTTATTCTAGTCTACTCAGCTCAAGTATGTGTCCCCAACGTTAACGCCTTAGTATGCATCCACCAACTATCTCCCAATACTATATCCCAAAACTATGTATATCCATCTGCATTCGCTTCTCGCTTGCTGAAATCTTGAGTGTACATTGTGTCCATATCGTACATGTCGATGATCACCCGGCCATCATGCTGTCTTATGTTCCTTGATCCACCTCTTTATAATCCCCCCATGATCCTCCACCCGAATATTGACAGTCACCCTCTCACACCATGATCCTTCTCAGACCCTCTGTGCCACCCAGGACTCGTTTCCCGGTAACGGCACAGCGGCCCTGTCCGCTCTCCCACTTGCCTTGCCGATCTTCCATGAATTCCTCCTGCTTGGGGTGCATGCCCTCGATCCATCGGTGGATGCACGTATAGCAATAGACAACACCCGTCTGGCACAGCGTCGGGGTCACGATTTCGCCCACGCAAATGGGACACAGCGACGAATCCTCTGGAAATCGGACGACGAAGATGGGCAGCATCGACGGCGTTGCAATTGGCGCCTCCTTTTCCGTAATGGCCTCCTCCTTTGTGTCTTCTTCTTCCCCTCCTTCCTTGCCCTCCTTCTTCTTCTTCTTCTTGCCAAAGGATGCCTTTCCAGACACAATCGGGGGAGGCAACTCGATGCTCTCGGCTGCCTTTCGCGACAGCTGCTTTGCAAAGTCCGACTGGTACCACCACTCGAGGAACTTGAGCGCAAAGATGCTCAAGGGCAGCAACATCGACAGGCTTGACATGGCCCTGGACGCCAGCTCCTTGGGCGTCGACAGCAGTGATCGCGGGCCGGGCTTGGCAGCATTGCTCGCCACCTCGGACAGCTTGTCGATGGCCTGGTAATCCGCCGCCGTCATCCTCCGTATCCTCGTGCCAATGAGCCACATGAGCGGGTTGTGATATTTGGTTCGGTCGAACAGGTAGGCCAGGTTGAAGGCCAGCATGGCGAAGCAGTAAGCCGCGTTGACGTGCGGATAGACGTTGCGCAGGAACCATCGGTAGTAGTGCGTGAAGCGATCTCGCACGCTCGGGTTGTCGGGCATGCGCGTGTACGCCGCGCCCAGCAGCGCGCGCGGCGCGTTGATGTCGTACGACTCGTCGAGCTTGCGCTTGAGGTAGGGCACGCCGACGAGGACGGCGAGGTTCTGCCAGACGTCCCTGGTGGTGAGCTTGAGCGTCTCGCGGACCAGGTGCGGCGCGGCGAGGCTCGCCCGGGGGATCTCGCCGTGCAGCGCCTTTTCGCGCTTGAGGCCGTAAAAGTTCTCGGTGAAGGAGCCGCCGCGGGTGCGCAGGTAGTGGCGCTCGACGGCCAGCATCAGCAGCGCGTACAGCTCGTCAAAGGAGTTGAGGATGCGCAGCAGGTATCGCGGGTGGCGATGCGTGGCCACGGTCAGCAGGTACCGCAGCGTCGGCGGCAGCAGGCTGTTGAGCTGCTGCTCGGAGAGCACCTCGAACAGCGACGGCTTCTGGCCGTCAAAGGTGCCCCTGAGGGCCGTGATGAACTCCATGGCGGCGGCCGGCTAAGCTGAAGCTGCTGCCAAAGGGCGATAGGAGCAGGCGGCTCTCAATGGGATGCCGCCGCCCTTAATGAAGATCGTCTACCGTATCGGATGTCGTAGGAAGGGAATGGCGTCGGGCAAGGGAGGGAAGGATTCGGTTATCGGTCGTGATTTCTTTGACGGCGACGAGTGGATGATGGTGATGGTGATGGTGATGAGATGAAGATGCTTAGCTGAACCCAGCACGGGAGTCTGTAATCTCAATCCGGCAAAACGCTAGAGCCATGTGAAGAAAGAGCCTCGGCAAAACTACCGCCATCAGCCCCGGATTCCCCAGAAACGCGCTTTCGGAGCATCAATCCGTTGGCGTAACAAAGCACAACTTTGAAAAAAATATTGAAAGCGAAAGGATGTGTACAGATATAGTAATCAAATACTCTGGAGGACTATAAGAGTCTAGGAGAAGAAGAAAACATATTGGATTCACAAGCAAACGGGCAACTTAGCTGCTACTCTCCAGGGTATGATGCTTCACCTGCCTGTGCAACCTCGAGAATACTACGGTATTCCTTCATTTGTACCACAGGCTTCCTGACATTGGCTAGAGTACAGATACATACTCTCGGGATATTACATCTACCAGTATATCTACATACTAATTTTCTCACGTTGCGCAATGCAGTCCGCAGTCTTTTCGTGCAAATAGATTCAAGCATGGACTTGGCTCCGTATACCGCTGACAAGTGCGTGCAGACAACGCCAATAAACCGAGGTTCATTCATCCACCCCCATTCAGCCTCCATCCGTTAGTGTCCCTTCTGATACTCTTCCATCTTACACTTGAACTCACACTCATACTTCCATCCTCTTCGCCAGTCATCTATTCAAATCGCCATCTCACTCAATCAGAGCGCAATCGAATATCGCATGAGACATCCATCATAAAGCCCTGGTTCACTGCCCTCAATAACCCGATTGAGCTCAGGACACAGCGACACTCTCCGTGCATCAAAGCCGAGCCAGCACTCCATCTCACCTCATCAGACAACATCCTCACACAACGCCTCATCTGCCATTCCTCAATATGAGCAACGATAAAGACATACCCCACGAGGACACAGACCTCGGAAAAGTCGAAGCCTGGTTCGCCCTCTTTTCCCGACGAGACCAAAAGGTACTTCCTCACCATCCCCCTCCATCTCAAACCAACCCCCCTATCAAACCAATACAACCACAAAGCTAACTCATCAATCCAAGGGCTGGATGCACCACCTCCTCCCCCACCTCAAAGTCCTCTCCGCCTCATCCCTCCCCAACCCTACTATCACCTTTTCCTTCACCGTCGACCCCTCCCACGCCAACGGCTTCGACAACCTCCACGGCGGCGCCGCCGCCTCCCTGCTCGACTTCTGCACAACCATGCTTCTTGTCCTCGTCTGCAAGCCCGGCTTCTGGCAGACCATGGGCGTCAGCCGCACCCTCAACACCACCTACATGCGGCCCGCGCCCGTGGGGATGGAGGTTCTCATCGAATGCGAGATGCTGCAGGTCGGCAAGAGGCTGTGTGCGCTCAGGGGGACGATGAAGAGGAAGAGTGATGGGCAATTGCTTGTTGTTTGTGAGCATAACAAGGCAAATGTTGACCCGGATCCCAAGCTGTGAAAGGGATGAATTGGTTTGATTAAGAATAGACAGCTTTTGTTTAGGAACTTGCTACAGTATATAACATGATAGAATAAAGACACAGAGCTCCTTGTCAACCAAATTGCGTAAACACCGATATTAAAAAATGACACTTAATTTCCTGATGACGGTCCCGGTTCCTCCATGTGGTGAGTAATCTCGATAATCTCCAATTCTGCGTCCATTAGCAGCTCCGGCAGCTCGTTTGCTACAGGTTCAGACTCGGAGTCCTCCTCCTCGTCCTCCTCTTCATTCTCCATGGTATACTCCATGTCGCCTTCCGGGTCGTCCGAGTCTTCCATTTGGAGCAACGCGCTCCATAGAAGAAAATTCCTCGGGAGAACTGCGTGCGTGCCGTGAGCCGTCTCCGAGTCGCTGGCCTTCCAGAAAGCTGATGGACCACAGGGACCATGAGGGTCGTAGTCTCTGGAAGAAGGACCGGAAGCGTCAGTTTTGTCCGGATGAGATCTGCCAAAATGCAATTGCCTCACCTGTCAAACCAATTTCCTACCACTCCACGAGCAGACCGCGGCCCACCAATCTGCACCCCCTCGCTCTTCCATCTCTCTTGACCCTGGAAAATGGACACTGACGTCCATCTTACCTCGCCCTCCTTGGTCAAGCCGACGGTTCCTTTCGAAGAAAAGTCTTTAGCTTCAGCATATTGGGGGAAACTAGCAGGCGGAGACCAGTACACTTACCTCGCAGATCGGAGGATGCATTGTCATCCCACGAATCGTCGAGCGGGCGAGATATGCCCTCGTAATGGACGATTGGCAGCTCCGAAGAATACTCCGAATCCGGCCCAGGTTGCTCGATCTTGGTGACGTGGATCCTCATGATGATGAGACGGGTGGCTTCGCCAACGTCAAGAGTGTGGAGAGGGGATTCGTCTCGTTCGGGGTTGGTGAAATTGTAGCTGAAGAAGTCGTTGTAGTCAAGAAAACATACAATCTGTGACGGGTCAGCATCTAGAAGCGTGAATCCATCCGGGCCCACGATAACGTACTCGGTACCAAGTCCCCGTTACACCATATGGATCCATGGCATCTAGCGACGTCTTATCAAGGTTGGGAGCAGAGATGAAGCTGCCCTTCCATGATCCCGAAAAGGGGTTATCCCATATATCGCTAAACAGCCGAGTGAGCTTCTTGACGTAGATGTTGTTACCGAGGACAATCTGGATGGCCTCGACTTTCTCCCAGTCCACATTGTCGCTTCCATCGTCCATAAAGGGACCCCATCGGGTCCGAGCGGTGTACTCTCGAATATCGTAGACTTTGGAGCAGGCGTAAGGGTACGTTCTCGCAGACCGCAGTCTTCCGGTCTTGAGGATTGGCCTGCCGTATAAGCAGTGCAGCTTTGCACTCTGCTGCCGCTGTTCCTTGTTCAGGACTGTAGAGGGTAACTGGTGGTGCTGGGATCTGTACACTCTTTCAAACAACGACGACTTTTGGAGAAAGGCAACCCGGTTGGGCTCATCTTCAAAGAGGCCCTTTAGAAAATCTGCGTTCCGCGACGCATGTTGAGTGTCGGAGGTCTCTACAGCACGGCCTGCAGGAGAGGCGTGCTTGAGCATCCTGTTGACCACCTCGTACACAAAACTCAGCTCATCCTCCTGCGATGTGCGAAAGGACGTCAGTAAGTGTCTCCCAACAGATAGAAAACGCCAAAACTTGCCTTATCTTCGACGTCGTCACGGAGGCAGATGTTCTCCAGCCTGACGACGTCATGAAGCTCAGTCTCCCAATCGAGCCTCTCATTAGCTGGAGGTGAGTCCTAGCCCCCTTCATTAGCTTGTGTTTCTTGTATATAGAGCTGAGAGCCTATTCCGTTGATTTCACTTACGAAATTGTGCAGATAAATGTCTTCGCACAGCTTCTGGTTCCCTTTCACGAAGCCGTGAAGCGCCCGGCAGACGCGGGGTAGCGATCCAAGGTCCCTCGGCGACATCCATTGAAGGATATTGTGAAGAATCTCGTTTGGCAGTGTCGTCAGATGATCCATGGTTATCGTCAGTCTTGACTGCCGACCAAAACAGCAGCTGTGGCGATGTCGAGGCTGAGAGTAGAAGCGCAAGGAGCTCTTAATCAGAGGCGCTTTCGGTGATGATGCCATATCAGCTCCCTCGGGAGGTGCGTTGACCCGCAGTCGTTATCTCCGGAGACGACACACAGTATGATTGGCACTATGCGGAATGGTGTCGGCGTGGGGAAACAGGCCAAGTCCGGTCCACGATGTGGGTGTTAAGCCCGATGCGGAACCAAACTCCGTGCGGACCTATAAGCCCCGTGCACAGTACGGGCAATGCCTTCCTTTTGTGTTACCCGTAGACTAATACTTCGCGCATGCCGTTTCGACTCTGGCCCAACCTCAACTTACCTTGTCTATAGGCCTGCTTATCAGGGAAGGCAGGCTTCAGGATACCTCAAAATGCGGTTGTAGTTAGGAATCAGGAAAAAATAACCCTCAAGAGGAGGAAGCAAGCCCGTGACAAACTGGATTGTGCTTGAATTGAGCAGTGAGGACACAGCAGCATGGTGTCGAACTTGCTCTCCGAGCCTATCCCTGACCAAGACGACCAACGCTTCGAATCGGCCAAGACAGAGAATTGTGATTCTGACAATGGAACATACTTCGAGATGTCATCATAAAAGACAACAAGGAAGCGCGACTGAAGCGCAGTTCCTTACAGTGGTTGTTACAAGATGTGAGTGTCGCGGATCGTGCTCTTCTGCCGGCACCGTCTATGCAAATGGTATGCATAGCCCAAAGGCTTGTCACTCTGGACTCATTCGAGTCATGGGCCCTAATAGATATGAGTGGTAGTCCAAATTGCCAGCACCCCTTGAGCAAGACATCCGATTAACAACAAGGCACTGCCGCCTCGCCTTATTGAACAAAGATCGGGGCTTGACGGCACGTGTTGCTGGCATCGCGTCGATTGACGGACACCAGCTAATCACTGAAAATATTCGAGGCCGGAAAGCACGTCCCCAGCGTTTAGGGGTGTTTGGCGGCGCAGCTTGGATCCGGCCATAATCGTAATAATTGGCATGACGAACCTAGGTAGACAGCAAGGATGATGTTCGACCTTTGATCGGGAATTACCTCGATAAGAAACGGCTCAGAGTAAGCGACCCGGATACCAAGAAGCCGTCCAGATGCTGACGCAACTGAGAGTGCACGGGAGGGGCGCAGCTGTCGGAGGGCGAACTCTGGCCACCCGATAGGATAACACCCTTGTTCTGTCCGCTTTCGAGGTTTCAGAGCACGAACTCTAGCCGCCGTGGCATTCTCAAAGTCGTTGTTTGCTCTTTGCAGGATTTCGTGGCTGCTCTCGAGGTTCACAGGGACCAAGTCAAGGCTGAAATCCGTGCCGTGGCGTGCATTGTTCTAACATGGCTCCTGGAGCTGAACCACCTATTCCTGCGGACTGCGTTAAATGCGTTAATCGTTTCGAAAGGGAGACAACTGCTCCTTGCAAGATTAAGGTTGTCGTTCGGGCGAGACTTGTAAAAGCACAAGTGACTTGAGATTCAACCGGATGCCGAGCATTGAGCAATGATGGAAAAGTCGAGTCCCCTTGGGCAAGCCATGTGAGGCTGATAGACGGTTTGGATGTCAATCTGGACTCGCCGAACCCCTGCCGTTTTGTAGGTATGTTGCCCCGTCGCCCCGTCGCCCCATCGCCCACATGTCCGGCAACGACGATCCCTATGGCTCAGCGACAGAGCGTCCCACGGCATGTCTAATTAAGCTCCCAAGTCAGTTTCTCGACGTGCGAAGCTTATTCGAAGAATACCACCCATTTCCCTTGGCAAGACTCAAAGGGGGTCGCATTGGGATCAACCCGCAGCGGGGGGCCTGAAGAGAGGGGAAAAGATCATCGAGGAGGCCCAGGAGCACTCAGATAGAATTCGAATAGGCTTGTGTAGCCTCTTGCCCGCCCATTGGCTACATGAAACATTTGCGCACGAAGAGTTGACCCGACTGATGCCGCAGCCTAAGAGATTCCAGTCTGTTAGCGGGTGGACATTGACGGTAGCTCCAAAGGCACCTACTCAGGGCGGACTCGTGCAACGTCTTTGCTACTATGTCAACAGCTAGCCGCGCTCCTGAAATGGCCCGAGCATTGCTGGTAGTATGGTTGCCGAAAATGACCATCCAGGCTCAATATTGAGGATGGAATTAGGCAAAATAGCAGTGCTGAGGCATCCTCGGACAGCAGCAACAAGCGACAAGCCAATCGAAAGAATCGCGGCGTTCTTATGTAATCTTGCTCCATTGTCATATTGATTTGGACCGAAAGCTCCTTTGCTCCTATGAGATAGTAGCTGCAGTCTCTTTTCCGGCGGCGGCGGAGGAGGTCACCAAGCCAAGTTGTCTCCGTACCTTTTTGGACTATGTGAGACACTGCATTGGGCGTCGGCTAGAGCACCCAGGATGTCCTCTCGATGCATATGCAGCTCACATTTGGGCACTTGTTGCTGACCGCGGGATATGGATTCCAAATGCTTTCTATCGCGAGACGAGTTTGGCCAGAATCCGAAGAGTCTGGATATTGCATCTTGTGTTGGAACTCGGGAGTTGACCGCGACTAGACCTGGTAGGAAGCAACTCCTCGTTATGCCTCTTGCCTTGTTCCCCCATTCAAGCGCCGGAGCCACTTCGGCCCGGCACGGCGAGATCCGATCTATGTGGGCGAGTGGACTTTTGAAGAGCAGCATGACACTTACCACATGTGATGGCTTCGTTCTACGAGTACTACCCAGGTTATGATGAGGAGGTGCTGTTAGTGCAAGTAACAGTGCACTTGGGTACTCTTAGAGCCCCATTGCAGCAATAGAATCGCTTACAATTGCTGACTGAGAGCGCAGCCAAACAAAGACATCCCAAAAGCATCAACTCAACCAACCCATTCAGCTGGCGTGGGCTCAGCCAGGCGGATCCCTGCCTTGCTACTTCGGACATGGCAGCGGCACGGATAGTATTACTCCTCCTCTAACAGTCAACCTCCTACAAATGCGTTCTCTGGCCTATGAAAAGACTCGCAGTCACCGGGCTGGCGCGTGGCTTCATTCTCCTCGACCGCTAACCCCCGCACTTTGCTAAACGCCCCCAACGTGCCTTGTGCCGGGTCGCTAGACAGAGCTAACGTCTGTCCACGCGGCATCCTTCCTTGTCTCGACCTCCCTGATCAAGACGACGATCCACGCGAAACGGAGGCTTGGTCCTCGGGAAAACGTTGATCTCGGCGTCTTCCGCGCCTTGGGCCGGTACCGACGGCCTGTCTAGACTCCATAGGCTCTTTCTAGGCGCATGCGTGGTGGTCCGCAGGCGTAATCGGCGATTAGGTATCTCGGCCGGTGGGATGCTGCTCCGCACTTGTCGACGCTGCTCTGCAGTGATCGTATATGTATGGCACAAGCGGCAGATTGGTACGGGGCATCGCGAGATCTACCGAGCATCACGGTGCTACAGGTGCGAGTACCCTCGAGGGACGGGAATTTCCCCCCATGGCTTTCTGGCATCTGGCGTTTGGGGGTTTGTGCGTCTTACTTCCGCCCGATAAGCTTCAGTCGGGCCCGCTGAGACACATGCTACTTTGTACACCGGGCTGCAGCCACTCAGTTTCTTCTGCATCTTTTTGGTCATCCGTCTTGCCGTCCCTCGAATATGAGGCGTTGCAAATGGAAGGCTAAACTCCACAGCGGGCGGGTCAAGCCGCGCCAACCGATGAATGAGCGTGACATGGCGAGGCTGAGGACAATGTGCAAGTCCCTACTGCTGGGTGAGGTGCAAGTCCTGCAGAGGATGGTGCGCAAGCGAGTACGGCGTCTCGTGAACGGTGCGATTGGCGCGATGGATTTTGGCATGAGAGTGCGGCATCGACTCTAAATTTTCGAACGTTCTCGCATTGGATACTTTACTTGTCTTCAACAGGCCCTACAGCGAGCACGGCCTATGGGACCACGGCATGGCTGGAGCGGGCGTCTCTGGGGTTGGCATAACGGCTCGTACCTACGTGACGAGTATGCTGTGCAACATGACGGGTTCTGCAAGGATCGTGGATGGTACGGCCGTGCTAGGGTATCCCTCCCTCCCTCCCAAGGCAGAGGAGCATGGATCATAGCTATGGAGACTTGCACCGACCGTCCCGTGCTTGGACACATACAACATGGTATTCCTGTCTGCATACAGACAAGTACGGCCAGCATAGCATCGCAAGACGGCCACATTCGGTTGGCGAGGTGCCGCCACTGCAATGCGAGGAAGACTGCAAGCTTGCATCGCTTAGCACTAGTACTTCTGTACTTATACGAAGCAAACGGACACGACAAGACACCAGTACCATCACGAGTTGCTGGCTTGTTGGCCTCGATGGACGGCTGTCGCGCGAATATGCGGAGGATGTGTCCCTTGGCAAATCGGTCCATGTCGAGTGCCAGACAAGGGGCATCAGCCGTTCGTTTACGCGCATCGGCTCTCTTTACTTGCGTCGACTAATAAGGCTCTTTGCGGGCTCCCACGCCCGACCGATACCCGCTTTGCAAGCTGCGTTCCGTCGAGGACGAGTCCCAGGCGGCGAAATCCAGCCCAGCCTCCACACGGCGGTTGCGCGGTTAATAGTGCCTCGCCTTCCCTTGGGCATGATGCAGACGGAATGATAAGGTAGAAGTCGAGAGGATACATGTAGGTACACGCCTGCACGCATGTGCAAAAGTCTACCGAGTGCTCTATCGCCGAGCTGAAGGGCAAGACATATTATGCCATTCCCATTGAGATGTTCTTCCTTGTCTGCGGCCTTTGTTCTTTGACGTCCCATTGCGTCTACTAATACAAACACATCCATCTCCGTGGGCCGCCTCGGACCAAAGAACAGAACAGAACAGAACAGCTTTGCATCCAATCCCGTCCGATGCAAACCAGCCCTTTTTTCCCTCTGGCACACCCAATCAGGGGTCCAGGCTACATCGCTTGCAAAGGCCCGCCCGGCTCGCGCTCACTGGCCCAGGGGCCCAAATGGCGCTCCGTTGTGGGTGCATTTAGCAATTACAGTGCAGCTGCAGCGCTGGAGTGCATGTGCTAGGCCTCCACTGCGCTGCTAGTGCCGCTGAATCCTGGACCCCATGGTTTCCGTGGCCTGCGCTTTTGGGGCTTGGGGGGCACTTGTTCCATGGGGGTCCCTCCACTGTCCATCGCCTCAATCTTTTGCACCCAATCTCCATCTGATCGCCCACGGTGTTGCCCGCTCCATCTTGTCCCGTCCCATCACCGTCTGCAGAGGAGAAAAAAAGGGACAGACGAAGAAAATCAGAGCTCGGGCTTCTGACTGGCCGCTGCTGCATTCACCAGCATCACGCAGCCGACGGTAAGGCCTCGCAAAGGCAAGCCCAGCACTGCTCTGCTGTGCTCTGCTCGCGTACGGCCGTCCGTGCTTGGACCGAGTCCCAGCTTTTTTCAGCTCTGAGGCCATCGTCGAATCCGCCTCAACGCAGCCTTTCTCCCTCAGCCTGCGTCATCTGCCGACGCCAAAGTCCATCGTTTGAGCCTCCATCAGCCTTGCTGCAGCTCTCCTTGCCAACGCGCTCATCTCCGCACTGCTTGACTGCTCTCCCCTCAAGTCTTCTCTTCTCTTTCATTCCTGGCGTCTCGGTGCCGAGCTGAGCTGAGCTGAGCCCTGCTGCCAGTCCCACGACAGTGCGCTATCGGTCGTCGTCCATCGTCTTTGTCCAGTCGTCGCCGAGCCTCTTCTTCCCTCGCATGACCGGACCCGGATCTTATCCGCTGGCCGGGTCGTTCCGTTGGGCTGGTTTGGCAGCCATGTTGCATTGAGCGCATCCTTATCATCGCTTCCCAGAAGGGCTGACACAGGGACATCGTCTCGCCCAGTCCAACACCTGGCTTATTTCATTCTGTCCTCTCTTTTATTGTCGAGTTCTTTGCATCCCGCTTCCGCTGCCGGTTCCCTCGCGGAGGTCTCGCAGGGCTATAGACCAAGGACGAATAGTCGGAAAACCGGGGAGCCACGTTGTGGAGGAGAGTCGTTGGAGAGCTTGTTGATCCGAGTTGTGCAACACTTTCTCTGTTGGTCTTTGTTTCTCTTCATTCGACCCGGCTCCCTTGCTTTGACACTGCCCACCTCTTTGTTGGTGGGCCCTCGAGTCCTGCCCCCCCTTGACTTCTCTGTCTAGGAGAGAAACGGTTTCACGTCGAGCGATGACTACTACTGTTGGGTCTACAACGGCAAAGCCAACTCTACCCATCTCTCCAGCCAGTTCCGCCGCCATGGGCTCCGCCCGGGATGGAAGCGGCGCATCGCCAGAAGACTCTGGACAGGCTCGAGCCTTCAAGGCGGAAAATGGCGCTCCCACCCGCGACGAGGCCCAGAAGAGGCCTGGCGATGATCAGAATGAAGCCTCGTCAAACTCCGAAGAACCAACACGCAAGCGGAGGCGGAGCCGGAAGGGCCTCGAGAAGAGGTTTGAATGCAATGCCGAGGGCTGCGGGAAGAGCTATTCAAGAGCCGAGCATTTGTGAGTTGACCCAGTCGAGTCTTTGCGTTTTTATGGTGCTTCTGCATTCCGCGGTGGCTGGGTCAATGCCGCGTCTAGCTGCAGCACCATGTAGCTTGATATGCCACGTCCGAATCCCTCAATCAACGTCAGAAGTCCGCGACTAACGGCAACTCAGATACCGACATCAACTTAATCATAATTCCAAACAGATTTTCCGCTGCGAGTATCCGGACTGCCCCCGGACCTTTGTTCGAGGGGACTTGTTGAAGCGGCACATGGACCGGCATACGGCCAAGGGCTCGCAGCTCAACAGAAGGGACTCCATGGTCAGCCATGCGGCGTCTGTTGCTTCCCCCAAACTCGCCCCTGCTGATTCCAGTCGGCCAGTGCCAGTATCGATGCCAGGACCCGGACCCGGAGCTGGACCCGGACCCGGACCCGGGCCTGTACCTGCATATCACGACCCCAGACCGCCCCCACCGATTCACCATCACCACCCCTCTCCCCAAGAGCCTCCTGGGGACCCCTACCCGCTGATGAACAATGTCGGCCCTCCTTTGTTCCCCAGCAGCGCATCGTCCGTCGGGCACGACGCGTTTGGTCGTGACCCCATTGCACTGGCGGCGACAGCGCCTCGCAGGCTGGGCACTGGCCAGCCTTCCCATGGACCCAGCCGGCCATCGATTCAGACCAACGTCGGCCCATATGGCGTCATATCACCGGCCTCTAGCCACCATGGCTATCATAGCCAGTCAAGCAGCACCCCGCAAACCGCCGGCTTCGTTTCCCAGCATAATGTTCTGCCATTCAGCTTGCCGCCGGCTCAATACTCTCACCTGCAAACAGCTCCGCCACCGCCGAGAGATGGGGCGCCGTCTCATGCAACCACGGCTGTAGCGTCACATTATTCTGACGCCCATCACTCGCATCAAAATGAAATGATGATGCTCGACCACATGGAAATGTCAAGCAGTGGACCGGTATTTGCTGATGATGGCGTCAACAAATCTCCGTATGTAGGGATGCCCGAGGATTTCATGGCCTACTTGTTCAACTCTTTGCCGGCGAATGGCTCTCCCCATCCACAGGCGCTACCCCCTCCTATGTTAGAGTAAGTCATGATTCTATTTATCCCATTCTTTTCGGGGCTCAATATACAGGCAAGCTAACACTGCTTTCAGCTATGGCAGTTCGCACAATGACAGTCACGGCGACCGCTATTTGGGCGAGCCTTCACCTGTGGGACTATTCCCCCCTGACCCCCAAGATGTTATGGCTGTTAATAACATCTTGGAGCAGCATGCACCGGAGGCCAGTCTCACAGAGGAGCGCAGCCAGGAGATCTTTGACCTTATCAGCGAACGCTTTCAAGAGGACAGCGATGACATTTCAGCGAGGCAGCGACGAAACAGCATCCTTGGCGGCGACCGCTCGTCCGGAGAGCACATGCTGAGCAGGAGGATGATGCAGGCCTACGTCGGCTCGTACTGGTACCACTTTAACGATCAGATGCCCATCTTGCACAAGCCCACCTTTGCCACGGAGAAGACGCCTAACCTCTTGCTCATCGCCATCATGGCCATTGGTGCGGCTTGCCTGGATAGAACCCACGGGACCAAGGTGACAATGGCGGGAGCAGAGGTGTCTAATTTTCTCGCAGAGCACCTGCGATGGGAAGTGTTTATGGAGCGAAGTTTCAAGCCTCCTGCTAAACTTTGGGTTTTCCAGACGCTGATCCTACTTGAGCTGTACGAGAAGATGTATTCGACGAGGGAGCTGCACGAGCGAGCTCACATTCACCACGCCACTACGGTTACTTTGATGAGAAGGGGAAGGTCGCTTATCGGCAAATCTACACTGGACTCGCCGCCCCAACATAGCTCCGACGGGTCGCGAAAATCGTCGGCCTCTGGTATCGCTCACACAGCAGATGAATGGTGGAACCACTGGATCACGAACGAGGCGACACGGAGGGCCGCCTTTGCCGCGTTCATCATCGATGCGACTCATGCTACCATGTTTGGCCATTCGGCAGTCATGGTGGCTCACGAGATGAGGTTGACGCTGCCCTGCGACGAGTCTCTGTGGAGAGCTGCTAGCAGTGCCGAAGTAGGCCGAGTAGAAGCAAATCTCATGTCCCGCGGTATCAAACCCATAACGTTCCTTGAGGGGCTGAAGCGCACGCTGAGCCATCAAGATGTACGGACGACACCGTTTGGTCGATCGGTTCTCATGGCCGGGCTTCTCAGCATCACATACCATATGCACCAGCGCGATCTCCAGGTCAATGTGCTGGGAGGAGGCGTCATCCAAGCCCTTGGAGGGCGCGACAAGTGGCGGGCGACTCTCACGAGGGCCTACGATTCGTGGAAGTCACACTTTGACAAGGCGCTTGAGCTGAACGACTCCGATCCTTATAGACTGGAGATGCAACAACAAGACTTCAACGTCGTGTTCGAGAGCCGTACGGTGCTGCACCACTTGGCCCACATGGCCATGCACGCTGATATCGTGGACTGCCAAATGTTTGCGCGTGCGAAGAGGCTGCTTGGTCGCTCTATCGGACATCAAGAGTTTCTCAGCGCCCAGCGAAGAATCAAGGAATTTTGGGCTCCGTCTGCGAGGGCTCGTGACGCCACGTATTACGCGCTCAAATTTCTGCTGTCTGTCCTCGTTCCTGACCAAGCAGGGCCTCCGTACTCGACGGGTCCTGACCGCGACAAGCCGTACGAGACCCGCGACGATGTGCTATTGAATCGGCCCTGGGTTCTCTACTTTGCGGCGCTGGTGGTCTGGTGCTACGGATATGCCGTCGAGGGACCTTGTCTGACGGGATCAACGCCGGTTGGCCACCATGAGCAGTGGCAGCAGATGAGGGCCTACCTCTCCAAATACGGGGGAGTGACGGACCCGAACGAGCTGAGAAACATGAGGGGCATCAACGGAAACACAGCGCTGCTCATGGTACTCAAGGATACCTTTGACAACTCTCGATGGGAGCTGCTCCACGAGGGGGCGAACTTGTTACACAATTGCATAGTGCTCAATTCTGGTGGCAATGTCCTGTGAAGACACCGACAAGCGATTGAATCATCATCTTGAATCTAGGCGACATATTCTTATCAGTTATCATCTTGGGGATCTGGAGTATTTCTTTATTCATCTACTATACATCAAGATGCCAATGGATACATCTGCCTGGGGCGGGAACGGCGGGCAGTACAGCTGAGAGATTTTGCATGCGGACGGCTGGCGGATTCGTCTCTGATCTATGGGACGGCGCTTGAATTGCTTGGTTTCATATACCCCTTTTTTTCGTGTGGTGGCATTGGCGGACCGTGTGCCGTCTCTTCTTTGTGTATATGAACGATATCTCTGGGTTTGGGGTGGGATATGGGGAAGCAAAAAGGACTGGAGAAGAGCGGTTAGAAAAAGAAAAAGAATGAACGATTCATAGGCGTTGGCTTTCATATTGTGAGATATATAAAGAAGAGAGTTCCGGACATGCTACGCCTTCAACCAACAACGCCAAAACTGTGACAAGAAAATTTTCAAGAACCAAGGTGAAATATGTACATCCAGGCCGTCGATATGCTTCATGTTGGTCCTCCCACCCAATTTATGCCTACTCCCGAGCACCCGCCTTCTTAGCCTTTGCCTTTTTGACAACCACCTTAACATTCACCTTGTTCGCCTTCTTCACTCTGACCACCCTGACCTTCTTCTCTTCCTCATGCTCAACGTTGGTTTCCATCTCTTTCCTTGGCGTCTGCGCTTCGGCAGGCTTTCCGCGCTGTTTCTTCGGAGGAGGGCTTCCATCGTTTGCCTTTTTGACGAAGATGATTTTGCGCTTTGACGATGTTCGGGGGGGCTGTTCTTTGTCCTCCTTCTGTTTGCCTTTGCCCTCGTTCGTAGGATGGCTGTCATCTGCCAATTCCTCTTTGTTCTCCGCAGCACCACCAGTCTTTTCCCCATCCTTCTTCTCGTCTTCCTCCTTCATCCCCTCCTCACCCAAGTCATCCCAGTCAAACACTCCATCATACTCGTACCCCTTCCTCTCCATCAGCCTCCGATACATAGCCCTCAGCTTGCCATAGTTGGGCCTGTCCTTGTACCCCAGCGAGCGCACGTACTTGAGGTGCCGGGCGAAGGCGGAGGGCAGGCCCTCGCAGAGGACGTCGACGGGGATGCTGAGCTTGAGGCGGGTGATGCGCTCGCGCATGGCGCTTGTGGGCTCGTCCGGGTCGGCGTAGCCCTGCCAGGGGAGGGAGCCGCGGGCGAAGTAGATGAGCATGTAGGCGAGGGATTCGAGGTCGTCTTTTGGGGATTGGGACTATATGTTGCACATGTTGATGAGTTTTTTTTGTCAGGCGCTGGGAGGGGAAGGGGGAGACAGTGGAGATTCACTTACACGGTCGAGGTGAGCCGATATAGCAGCCCAGTAATAACTCCCGCAAAACGCATAACTCGGCGCCAACACAGTCCTCTCGTCGTCGTGGTCGTTTAAATAATCACCCACCAGCCCAAAGTCGAGGATATACACCGTCTTTCCCTTTTCCGCACCGAATCCCATGGCGAAATTATCCGGCTTGACGTCCCTGTGCAGCAGGTTCCTCGAGTGGAAAGCCTCCAGGCGGGTAATCAGCTGGTCGGCCAGCATGAGCGTCGTCTTGAGCGAGAACTTGTTGCCGCAGCGGAAGAAGAGGTTCTGGAGGGTTGCGCCGAGGAGCTCGCAGACCATGTACTCGAATGAGGAGGAGGAGGAGGAGGAGGAAGAGGAGGGTAGGGAAGGGATGCTGCGGCCGTTTGCGTGAAAGGTCGCGATGCCGGGGTCGTTGCGGAGGAGGGTGTAGAAGAGGGATTCGTGCTCGAGGTCGTCGACTTGGGAGGGGTTGTGGGGGATGGGGAGGGATTGGAGCTTGATGGCGACGATTTGGTTGGTGAGGATGTCGGTTGCTGAGAGGGTTTTGATATGTTAAGCGAGGCGATGTAAGAGGGTCAGAGGAGGAGGAGGAGGTCATACCGATGTAGACGCTGCCGAAGCCGCCTTGGCCGATGATGCCGTCGAGACGCCATCTGTTGTCGATGATGGTTTCCTGGAAATGAGGCCGTTAGATTTGAGTATTGCGTGTTTTCTGGCCGGACAAGGGGCTGTACTTTCTGCTGAGCCACCGGGGCTGGTTCTGGTGGCATATCGGGATGCATGGTGGTGAGCAGTTGAGGTTATTCACACAGCAGGATGTAAAGAGAAGGCAGCATGTGGGATGGAAAACGCAGAGTTGAAGATGTATGCATTCTGGTCGTCTTATAAGAATTTGAAGATATATACGATCTATGAATAGGTAACATGTTTCTATATCTGGATGCAAGAGACTGTTTTCTTTGTCTTTTATGTGTTCTGGAAGGAAACGGGACATTTGCTCGGAGAATAAAGAAGAACTGTATGGGGAAGTGCGTGCTGCAACAAAGGATGAATGAACAGCATTTGGACAGCTCCTGGGTAGAGATTGCTTTTTGTTGTTCATCAATGTACCGCATGAATTCAGGTTTGACGATGAGGCTCATTAAGAAGGATGAGTCGCTCTCATACTCATTGACAGCTACGACGCAGTTGCAGAGTTACTGTTGCCGAGGTTAATGAAGTGGCATGAAGTTGAGACGAATGACTTGAGCCAAGTCTCAGCATGGCGTGGCGCTAGGCCGAATTGGCTCTCGGCAGGGTAAAGCGCCAGTGACATCATCGATAGCTTATCGCAAAATCCAGGGCTCAACTTTTTTTTCGGAATTCTTTATCGCAGCGCCCATCCAAACAGCGTGTATGAAACAAGTCTCTTGTTTGCATCTTGAAACGAAACATCTTTTTTCTTTTTCCTCCCTTTGTCATCTATCATTTTATCGGCAGCTAAGCGGGCAGATCCTTGACCCTGCGCGCGTGTCTCCCTTGATCCGGCATCAGGCGCTTTTTTTTTCTTTTTTCTTTTTTCCTTTGCCCCTGCTGGTGAGACGATGCACAGCTTGCTGCCGCGCTTATACGGGCTAGCGCTGGCACCAGGAACAAGAGACAGGATGAAAGAAAAAAATTCAGCAAAAACTCTTAGCTGCTAGCACGAAGCTAAGAAAGTAAACAGCAGGAAAAAAAAAAAGAAGAAGAAAACGAAAAAGAAAACAAAAAAGCGTCTAAAGCAGCCGTACATACGATCCCGTCAAGTAGCTCCGCATACTAATTCACTGTCCGCCGCCCAGCAACGATCCCGCGTCCATCGCGCCGGTCCTCGAGCGAGCCAATCAGAAAGAGTCCCAGGGCCCGTTAAACGGGCTGGTCCCTGGGCTTGCGAAAAAGGCAGGAAGAGAAAAAAAGGCACCTCACACCCTCTTTACGCCAGTTCGGTGCACGCGACGCATTAACCGGACCCCACCAGCTGCCTCCCCCACTTTGCAAGGTACCTCGCACACTGCAGTTTGCCGGCGGAGGTACATGGCGCTCTGCCCGGTCCGTCCTGTCAAGGCCCGGTAGCGCGTCATTCCGCCACAGTGCAAAGAATGCCGGGCTGTCCAGGTGCCTGTGAGCGCTGCGAAGCAACAAAAGAAGGTCACTGCAGCAGCTGGACCGCACAGTGTGAACAGCGGGCGCAGAGTCAGGTGCTGCAAAGCCTCTCCTCTGGCTCTGGCTTTGGCTCTCCCTCCAAGACCAGACCAGACCAGACCCTCGCTTCTCTCCTCCGAATCTCGCAGCCCACACAGAAGCATCCCGGCTAAGCACGTTTTGTCCGAGAAATGTGACGATCGACTCTTCTCCTCACTTGTCGTCTTTCTCCTCTTTCAGCTCCATTACATACTCGGCGTCCTCTCGCCTCCAGCTTCTTCCTGCGCGCCGCAGCTTCGCAAAGCCACAGCCTGCTTCGCCCATTCTCGCTCCGCCTTTCTCTTCCTCTCGTCTCTTCCTCTCCAGCAAACCCACCAACCCGCCTGCCATGGCTCCGACCAAGAACTCCCGCAAAGACCACGACGACCACAAGGGCGACGCTCCGGCCAAAGAAAAGAACCACGGCTCTGCAAAGATGCGCCGCGGGGCCAGCCAGCAGCAGCACGCCGCCAGCCGCGAGCTGCCTCCCGCTCCCACATCTGCGCCCGCCCAGCCGACCGAGCCTCTGCTCCCAAGCGTACGTCAAATGGCCACCCCATCTTCCTCTTCCTGTTTCCCTTCAATATCGTCTGTACAATGAGGCAATGGCCTCTCGCAACACGTTCCAACAGCGTCACTGACAGACTCTCTCACAGCTTCCCTGGTCCTCCTTCGAGCGTCGATCGCTCCACGCCTACGTCCGCGAACACGAACTGACGACACCCGCCTCCTACTCCAGCTCCTTCCACAACTGGGTGCTCTCGCGACCTGGCAGCCTGGGCCTCCACTCTCCCACAATGGTCCGCAAGCAGCAGATCAAGCGACAGTCCAAAGACCAGCTCGCCCTGGCGGTGCGCAAGCACTTCAATGGGCTTGGCATCCAGGAGAACGACGTCATTGTCGACTTCATCTACAAAGTACGGAACCACCAGAGTCCGAAGAAGCAAGCGCCGACGAAACAAGCCCTCGCGGCAACCGATTGAACCGATGACTGATACACGAACGGCTCTGGGCGAGCGGCTACATGATTAGGCTGGCATGGATCGGTGTTTTTGGCGTTACAAGGTTCTTGAGCACGACGCACCAGACGTGTGCGTTTGGGTAGATACCCGTGAGAGTCGTTTGACACTCTAATCTCTTTGTCTTTTTTCTTTTGCTACTGCTGTCTGCTTTTCCTGCGATGCATAGGGCGGTGTGGTCTGTCGCGCCGCTTGTTACAACGGCCTCACGGCGAATAACCCGGTCGGCCTTGGGTCTGTCTCTTCCTTTTCAACGCAGTATATCAAACAGGTACGGGTCTTGAATTCAAAGCGCCGCTCATATAGGTAGAACAGGACGAATTAGAGTTCTTTTATTTCTTTTCAGAGTTCCTTTGCAAGGATTCGAGAGTACCAGCATAATGCTCAATCAGGCTGCTTGATTCTTTATACGTATTCTATCTCTCTTTTACCGTTGTGGGATGCGTAAGATAGCTGGTGAAACATTTCATGCAAGACAGAGGACGCGAAACATGCATGTAGCTGGAGGACTTTTCGGATCCTCCAGGGCACGGGCTTAGCTTTGACGCTCCATGTTGTGTCACCGCATTGGGCACACAGTTGAAGCGCCCTGTAAAGCAGCAACTGAACTTCAAAGTACTATGTATGTATTCGATAGCTACATGCTTCGGATACACAGCTGCATGTAATCAGTCCTGGTTTGGGATGCATGAGGTTGTCTGACAGGCCATTTTCTTTCTACCTCGAGTCTATCAGAAGATTGCGTACTGGGTACATGCGCGTTTGGAGTTGCTGCAGGTCGACCCGACATGAGCTGAGCTCGGACATGTCCCTCGTGTACAGAGTGCCTTACATTGAGGCAGCATAGCGCCTACAGATATGGTCAGGTACCGATGCATACACTGTATGTGATGTATGTATGATACAGAATGATGGATGCATTGGATGCTCTGTCAACTCCGAGGGGCCACTCGTGAGCTTCTCGGTAATGTCATCTGGGCCCTGTTGCTGCTTGTGGGTCCGATTGACTGCCTAGCTTACCAATTCTCGGTGCGACAAGAATGACAGAAGAGATCTTGTTACTCCGTCCAAGCAGGAATTTCGAGATACTATGAATTAAAGGTAATCCTCTGCAGTATATTTTCCTTCAAGTGACACGACCATCAATTGAACTGCCAAAGCTTCATACATACTAGAGCCGACAGCCTCACTTCAGAAAACGGCAGACCGAGCGGGATCGGCCGGGTTATGACGGCATAACCAAGGCGCTTGTCCAGATCTCAAAAAAGGCATCCGAGCGAACTCGGCTCAAGATCGGCAAAAACGCGGCGTCTTCCTCCCCTGTCCAATCACACCCACCCAATTCATCGCTTCGGCGTAAGTTCGTCTAAATTCTACGGCCTTCATTCGTCGCAAACATCGACGCCCGTGGAAGCTTTTTTTGGTGGAGAGAGAGCTTCTGTTTAGTAGCCTTGCTTAATAACTTTTTTCAAGACGAACTACACTAGAGGGGACAACCTTTCGAGGCGATTCGATACTACTACTCAGTTTCCTTACCTACCTAGCTTTTCTCTTTACTCTGTACAGTATTGACTGATTGTTTGACTGATCTCCGTTCTCGGTGTTACCCTCTTTTACGTTTTCCTGCGGCTATTTTCACGTGAAGCATTGGCGATAAGACGAACGTTTGGGAGGGGAAGAAAGAATCATACGCAAGGCAAGGACGAGGCAGCGAATACGACCCGGGATATCACAACATGTCCAACCTCCTCTTCAAGGCCGCGGCGCCGGCGCGCGCTCTTGCAAAGAGCCAACACCTCTCGGGATCGCCAAAGATCCAGCAGTGCCTGCGGAAAGGCGCTCGGCTTCACACGGCTTCCTTTGGAGCGCGGGCTGAGCGGCCCAATGCCCGGAAAGAGCACAGCCCTCGGATATCTCAGCGGGTAGGTTTTATCACAGGCGGATCAATGACTGGGTGAATGGCCCTGAAGAATGCTGACAGCTTTACCATGACAGTCTTTCCATGCGACGAATCCTCTGGCGCAAAAAGACCCGTACAAGACCCTCGGCGTGAACAAGACGGCGACGGCCGCCGAGATCAAAAAGGCATACTACGGCCTGGCGAAGAAGTTCCACCCGGACACCAACAAGGACCCGACGGCCAAGGACAAGTTCGGCGAGATCCAGAGCGCCTACGAGATCCTCTCCGACCCCAAGAAGAGGGAGCAGTACGACCAGTTCGGCGACGCGAGCTTCGACCCCAACGCCGACGGAGGCAATCCCTTTGCTGGCGCGGCCGGCGGCAATCCTTTCGCGGGATTCGGTGCGCAGGGCGGCTTTGGAGGCGGATTCGGTGGAGGCTTCAACTTTGAGGACCTGTTCTCGGCGTTTGGCGGGGGTCGTCGATCGCATCCTTTCCAGCAGGAGATCCTGGTGGGCGACAACATCGAGGCCCATGTCAGCATCAGCTTCATGGAGGCGGCCAAGGGCACGAGCCAGACCATCACCATCACGCCCGTGGAGACTTGCAGCACATGCACTGGCAGCGGCTTGAAGCCTGGCGCGCAGAGGTCGCCGTGCTCGTCCTGTGACGGAACGGGTACGAGGGTGCATTATGCGCAGGGCGGCTTCCAGATGGCGTCGACGTGCGGCACTTGCGGAGGAACAGGTTCGACAATCCCGAAGAGCTCCGAGTGCCGGACGTGCTCTGGACAGGGTGTCGTGCGCAACAAGAAGACGATTACTGTTGACATTCCGGCGGGCATCGAGGACGGCATGCGACTCCGGATAGACGGCGCCGGCGACGCTCCCATCACCGGACGGTCGTCGAGCCCCAATGCGCGGGCCCAGCGCGGCGACCTCTACGTCTTTGTGCGGGTGGCGTCGGATCCCAAGTTCAGCCGCGAGGGCTCCAACATTCTCTACACGGCCAACATCCCCCTGACCACGGCCATCCTCGGCGGCCAGGTCACGATCCCGACGCTGGACGGGACGGTCAACCTCAAGGTGCCCACGGGCACCAACACCGGCGACAAGGTGACTCTGCCCGGCATGGGCATGCGACGGATCAACTCGCGGAGACCGGGCACCGGCGACCTCAAGGTCGAGTTCCGCGTCAAGATGCCCAAGTCGCTGAGCGCCAGCCAGCGCACCATCCTCGAGATGCTCGCCGACGAGATGGACGACAAGACGGCTCGCCGCGTCATGAACGTGAAAAGGTCAGAGGGAGATTCCAAACCGTGAGCTGCTGGCGATGGTGGACGTTGCTAACCCCTAGCTTCTTTTTGACGACGTGCAGCTCCGATCCCAATGACCCCAACACGCACAAGGACGAGGGCTTCCTCAAGTCCATGTGGCATACCCTGACTCACCATCCCGCCCACGAAAAGGACGCCTCCGGGGCTTCTGGTTCTGGATCGACTGGCGAGTCTACGAATGACGACAAGGGGAAGAAGGAGAACTAGAACTGTGTCTGAACGAGCCGCTATGCGGAACGGTGACGATGTATAATCCATCTTATCTCACTCATACCTTTGCGACGATATTCGACTGCTACAGATCATCGATCTGAAATTGAGAAAACCCTAACGCGACCATGCTTGATCTCGACAGGAAGGAAGGGAATTTTGCATAGAGCGGGGACTGGAACACATATCACCAAAGGCGAAAAAGTGTGACAAAAAGACGGGAAACACATAAAAACCTCATGTATATTACTGATGGCGGCGTTTTACTAAGATTGGGTTACGGAGGTAGATGCATTTTGCGCAATTCGTGTACATTACATAGCTTTTGGATTGGGAAAAAAAGGGGGAAAGGGGGGAGGGAGAAAAGGGACGATGAGACGACTTGTTTCGCGGAGGCCAAATCTCAATCTCCTCACTTTTTGATATAATATGGCGTTCTTGCCGGCTGTCTGTTTCATTCCATGTTCATGTGCTAAGCTATCAGGAGGTATGTTGACCTATATCATAGAATGTGATGGACGATGACACCACTTTAGATCAATCAACCTCTTTACGAAAACTGCACGTTTTGTGGTATATTCATTCATTCTTCGTGTATTTGCCGTGAATAGGCTCAGCATGATGACCCCCTTATCATCGTCGATGGCAGCGACAGCCTGATGGGGTCTGTGTGTGTGCCGACGAGGTATCCTTGGCTATGTCAGACCCAAACGATGCATCAAACTCAAGCAACTCACAAGATCAAAAAAAGCCTCCCAAACTGAGAACCTTCCCATATCCCCATCATCCATTATTCCTCCCTCATAGAGAAAACTCGATCGGGAGGAAGAGACAGGGAAGGGAGCTCAACTTCTCCAAGAAGAAGGGCTCTTTTGCTCCCCTTTCCCCCGTCTCTCTTCTCTCCTCTCGGCCAAACAGGCCTCTCTCTCTCTCTCTCTCTCAACCGATAGGCTTAAGCTTCTTCTTCTTCCTCTTCTCCGGATCCCCGCCGCCGGACTTGCCCTTCTGAAACTGCCGCCAGCTGTTGATGCGCACATCCCGCGTCGCCTCCCAATCCTGCTCGTGCTGCCTCTTGCGCTTGCGCTCCTCCAGCTCCTCGTCCTGCCTGCGCTGCTCGCGGCCCTCCTCCTGCAGCTGGGCCTTCATCTGGCGCCGCCGGCGGTGCTCGTTGTCGATGAGCACCTCCCTCGTCTTGGCGCGCCACTTCTTGGCGAAGTCCTCCGTCTTGAGCTCGGGGCTGTCGACGGTCCACTTGTTCTCGCGGATGAGCAGCATGCGCGCGTCGGCGATGGCCTCGTCGAGGCGCTCGCGGTGCTTCTCGTCCATGAGCTCCGTCTGGGCCTTCTTCAGCCGGTCAAAGGCGTCGGGGGCGCGCGGGTTCTTGGTCTTGTCCGGGTGGATCAGGAGGGACTTTTTGCGGTACGTCATTTTGATGTCGGACTCGGGGACGCCGGGCTGGAGGTCGAGGACGGCATAGCTGTGTGAGGTTGGTTTTTTTGTTAGAAGGTTGATATGTGGGCGTTGGGGGATTGGGGGGAGGGGGGAGCTTACGCATCGAGGCGGAATGCGTTGAGGATGCGATCGATTTCGGCGTCCTGGATTGCGAGATGGGAGTGTTAGCTTGCTGGTCTGTCTCTGATTGAGCGCGACGGGGAGGAGAAGGGGGAGGGCAGAGGGTAGCTGCAGCGGACCTTGTCAAACTCCTTGGCCTCGAGCTCGAGGGTATCGAGGGCATCTTTATCCTCCTTGGAAGTCGCTTCGGCCATGGTGAACTGCTGTGTCTTGTGAAATGCCTCGACTGGAACAAAAGGAGTCTCCTGCAGAGCTGAGGCGGAAGAAGAGGAAAGAAAAGAAAGAGAAGAAACGAGCGCGGGGCAAGAGGTGGTGAAGCAGCTTCTCGCGTCAATGCCTTTTTCTTCGTCAATTGGAGATGCGCAAAGGCCCGACAGTGTCAAGCAGGTGAAGACGAAAGTGGATTCGATGCCGCAATAATCGAGTCCGGGGAGCCATAATTCTGGCTACTTCGGGACTAGTGCGGCTAGTCTACCTGTCCCCATTTGGGGCGATAAGATAAGCTTGAACTTTTAGATGGAGCAAGGAAAAAAGTTGGGCTTGGAGGTTTGACAAGTTTGAGAGAGAGACATGCTGAGGCCCGCGATTGTACAGGAGAATCAGCAGATTGTTCAACGATAGAACACGGCGCACTTACAGAACCATCATCATGCCCGGTCGCCGTGCAGCCTCGCCTACGCCCTCCGAGCCGGAGCTGGATATCCTCGACTCGCTGTATCCCGGCGACGACGACAATGGCGAGCAGGGCCTGGGCAAGGACGGCCAGGACGGCCTCGACTTTGACGGCCTTTTCAATGCCGGCGCGGCTGGAGGCGGCGAGGACGACGACGAGGCGTACATTGCGCTGCAGCAGGCGGCTTCATACCGAAAGGCTTCAAACTTGAAGGGCAGGACAGTCAAGAAGGGCGGTGGCTTCCAGGCAATGGGTGAGTTACACACAGCTGAGCTGCGCGATGCCCTCATTGGTGTCCATACAAGGGAGTCATATGATGCTAACAACTTCTGCAAAGGCCTCAATGCAAACCTCCTCAAGGCCATTGCCCGAAAGGGATTCTCAGTCCCGACGCCGATCCAGCGAAAGACGATCCCCCTGGTCCTCGAGCGGAAAGACGTCGTCGGCATGGCGCGAACGGGTTCCGGAAAGACGGCGGCCTTTGTCATCCCCATGATTGAGCGGCTGCGCGCCCACAGCTCCAAGTTTGGCGCGAGGGCGCTGATCCTCTCGCCCTCGCGCGAGCTGGCCATCCAGACGCTCAAGGTCGTCAAGGAGCTCGGCCGAGGAACGGATCTCAAGTCGGTGCTTCTGGTTGGTGGTGACAGCTTGGAGGAGCAGTTCGGCTTCATGTCGGCGAACCCCGACATCGTGATTGCCACGCCCGGTCGATTCCTGCATCTCAAGGTCGAAATGGGCCTTGACCTGTCGTCGATCAAATACGTCGTCTTTGACGAGGCCGATCGGCTCTTCGAAATGGGTTTCGCTACCCAGTTGACCGAGATTCTACATGCACTCCCTCCTTCAAGACAGACGCTTCTCTTCTCCGCGACGCTGCCCGCCTCATTGGTCGAGTTTGCTCGCGCCGGTCTGCAGGATCCTAGTCTTGTGCGACTCGACGCAGATACCAAGGTCTCTCCCGACCTCGAGACTGCCTTCTTCTCCATCAAGGGAGCCGAGAAAGAGGGATCCCTGCTCCACATCCTCCACGATGTCATCAAGGTCCCTCTGGGCCCACCCGCAGGCGCAAACGAGGAGACAGAGAAGAACTCCAAGAAGCGGAAGCGCCAGCCGGAAAACGGCGCCGGAAAACCCACAGAGCACTCGACAATCATCTTTGCCGCTACAAAGCATCACGTCGAGTACCTGTACAACTTGTTGAAACAGGCCGGATTCGCTACATCCCACGTCTACGGTTCCCTCGATCAGACCGCTCGACGGATACAAGTCGAGGACTTCCGGATGGGCAAGACGAACCTGCTCGTCGTCACCGACGTCGCCGCCAGAGGTATCGATATCCCCGTGCTGGCCAACGTCATCAACTACGACTTTCCTCCCCAGCCAAAGGTGTTCATCCACCGAGTTGGTCGTACGGCTCGTGCGGGCCAGAGGGGTTGGGCCTACAGTCTGGTCCGAGACGTGGATGCTCCGTATCTGCTCGACCTGCAGCTCTTCCTAGGCAAGAAGCTGGTTGTCGGCCAGGCAGAAAAGGAGCCATCCTACAGAGACGACGTCGTCGTCGGATCTCTGCGGCGAGATGCTGTCGGAACCCATGTCGAATGGATGAACAAATTCCTGGCCGAGAACGAAGACATCGACGCCTTGCGAGTGGTTGCCACCAAGGCAGAGAAGCTCTACATGAAGACGCGAAATTCGGCCTCGAGCCAGAGCGCAAAGCGCGCAAGAGAGGAGGTGGCGTCCAAGGGCTGGTCGCAGCTGCATCCGCTCTTTGGCAAGGACGTCGACGGCATCGAAGAGGCGCGTGCCGCCATGCTGGCCCGGATCAGCAACTTCAAGCCCCAGGAGACCATCTTCGAGGTCGGACAGGGCGACAAGGCGACGAGCGCGGCGGCGGAAGTCATGAAGCAGCTCCGCAAGAGAGTCAAGCCGCGCAACCAGCAAGAAGCCGGCCACGACGAGGAAATGGCCTATTCAGACGACGACTATGGCCGTGCTCCTCAGGCCCCAGACAGCGACAACGACGACGACGACGACGACGAGGATGCGAACATGGACGACGACGACGATGACGAGCTCGAGGTAACAATCACCAACACGGGCAACAACAACTCCAAGTCCAAGAAGGAAAAAGGCCGCACCGACTGGCGCGACAACGACGTCTTCATGTCCTACACGCCGCGCACCGTCAACGCCGCCGAGGAGCGCGGCTACGGCGTGCACTCGGGCGGCCAGGGCTCCAGCTTCGTGGAGCTCGCCCGCGACGCCACCATGGACCTGACCAACGACGACACGGCCAAGGCCTTCGGCGCGCCGACCCGCCCGCGCATGCGCTGGGACGCAAAGGCCAAGAAGTACGTCAACAGCGCAAACGACGAGGACGGCTCCCGCGGCGCAAAGATGATTGTCGGCGAGAGCGGCGTCAAGATCGCCGCCAGCTTCAGCAGCGGCCGCTTCGACAAGTGGAAGAAGGCCAATCGCGTGCACAAGCTGCCGCAGGTGGGCGAGCTGGTCAAGCCCGGCAGCGGGAACGGCGTGGGCCAGCTGCCCTCGGGCGTGCGCTACAAGCACAAGAAGGAGCTCGCGCCCAAGGAGGCGGACAAGTACAGGGACGACTTCCTCCAGCGCAAGAAGAGGGTCAATGAGGCGCGCGAGAAGAGGATCGGCAGGTTCAAGGACGGCATGGGCAGCAAGAAGGAGGTCAAGGGCGTTACGGACATTCGCAAGGCTAGGGAGGAGAAGGAGAGGAAGAGGGCCAAGACGGGGCGGCATGCGAAGGGACATGACAAGAGGAGGTGAGCGTGTTGACGGGGGGCTGATGGGAGACGTAATGATTTTGGTTGTTAATCTCCTGGCGTGGTCGTCTGAAGAAAGGGGCTTCACATTGTTCAGTCACCGTACCTGTACAGCATTCACGCATATGAAGATTATAAAAAACTTAGAACGGAAACACATGTGCGTCTTCAACATTAAAAGCATATCTATCAATGTTCTTGTTCTCCGCCATGGGAGAGCTCTCGTGTGGTCAAGTTCAACGTAGCGTCATAGCCCGTCTGATCTGTCTGTCCAATTCCATCCAACGCCTCGCTCGTCCAAAAGCAAACGCAAAAAAGCAAAATCAAAAAACACTAGGCCAAAGGCAGGTGTAGCAACGAGACGAACCATAGCCGTGTAGATCGCCCGAATTCGAGCAAAGGTGTACTGGTGTTTAAAAGCAAAGAGTGAGGCGCACAATCTCAGCGCCAGTGGGGTATCATATGTGGTGTTTGTAAGAACCAGGCAATTAGTGTGATGGTGGTACAGCTTCGTATGGTCGTTCGTTTCCATCGTAGAAAGCAAGGTCCATAAATATCGTCGTAAATGGGAACGCCAGAGCATGTTACTACTGGAAAGAATAGCAAGAAAAAGGGGGATGATGATACAAGAAATTGTCGTGGCTCATTCGCCAGAGTCAAGACGGCTTGCCCACTGCCTGACCGCTTTGCGCAGCAGGCTCTCATTAGCTGGGCTCTGTTGCTTGCGCCCAAAGGTGTTGCCATCGTCATGGTCAATCACCTCTCGGATGGTGTCCTCTAGGGCTGACAGAACCACCGTCTTGCACTTGATCCGCGGTATCTGGACAGGAGGCTCGGGCATCTGCGTCACCTCAGAGAGCGTATCCGGCATGGTGCTACCGGTGCGCTCAAGAGGGTCCAGTACCTCGACGTGGACCTGCGAAGAGGCGGAAGAATGCTCCTTACTAGAGTCTGGGATGAGGTGAATGACCTTCTCCAAAGCTTCTGCCAAATTGTCATCAGGCACAGACACGGTTTCCTCAATCCACTCTTCGCCCAACATGGTCTCATGGGCCAGAAAGGAGGGAGTGGTGACAGACCCCCCAATCACGGGCTTTTCCGCCTCCGGCTTTGGCTTGACAAGTCGGCGGTAAGTGATGCGGACAATCGAGTCCGTGGTGGTGTCGGCGATGAGAGCAGAGCTGACATCAACCCAGCGCTCGGCAACGTCGTTGGGGCCGGATTGCGCGACTACCGGTATCGGCTCAGCCTTGAGCGCCGCCTTGACCTCGTCGATGAGGCCTTCCTGAGGAGAAAGCCCCTGCAAGATGAAGTCGCGATGGAATCGATTCAACCAGCCGGCCGCATTAAGGGGCAGATCACCATCGATCGCGATGCGTCCAGTCTGCTCAAAGGAATCAAGGCCGGGCAGGCCTGGTGTCGAAAGATATCCGCTGCTGGAGGGCGAGCTGATGGCAGACTCGAACGAGGCAATGTAATCGGGAAAGGGAACATCGACATCAATGACACCATCATCTGCGTTGATGGACGTCTTGACGGGAGATTCAAAGGCACCGGTGGGATCAGGCGTCCTGTCGAGTTGAGTGAACGACTTTCGGCCGCGATCGGCGGGCTCCCGCATGACGTCGAGATCCCTAGCATTGCTTGAGCGGCGCAAGTTTCCGGTCCGTCTTTCAGGTCCCTCAGGCCCTTCCTCGTTGAGGCTGAGCTCCCGAACCATGTCAGTCAGCTTGCTGGACTGAGAGAAGCCCGTCTTAATCGGAGACCGGAGATCACTGGCTTGGCTATACGTGCTGCCGCTGTCCATCGACTCGCGACGACGTGCGCTCCACAGCCCGCTCATGATGTTGCCCCATCGCAGCCCCTGGCTTGGTGGCCGGGCATTGACACCTCCGCCGCTTTCCCCCCTTTTCAGGGACCGCTTCAGGTCATCCGCCGCCGCACTGCCGCTGCTTCCGGGCCGTCGCCACCTAAGACTGTCGGCCCGTTGAATAGTCGAGAAGTGCGGAGTCGTCGAGTCCTGCACGATGGTAGAAGTCGCAACGCTGCTTTTGCGGCTCATCAAGTCGTGGCCCGGAATAGGGAGTCCGGTGGTGCGGATTGAGGCAGCGTCGGAAGCGCGCCTGTGATGGCTGGATTGGTCCGCCGCATTCAGATGGCCCGTCTGGGACGCGACCGCGCCGCCCCTGGTGCTTTGGCTGGCTGTCCTCGAGTGCGAAGCCCGCCCAAAGCCGGTGCGACGGTTAATCTTGCGGCGAAGGGACTCTTCACGGACAACGGGAACCACATAGGAGGGAGGCGAATTGGAGAAAGCGCCAACCGAAGCCGACGTGCTGGGCCGGTGCACTCGGGGACCGTGGGCGTGCTGGTTCGCCGGCAGAAACGCAGAGAGCAGAAATATGATGCGTCGTGCGGCCATCTTGTCGTCCGCCACGATAATGGTCCGCGCCGGCAGCGACAGGTCATCTTCATTCTGATTCTGTCTTCGAAGTTGTGCTCGCCTCCTGTATGTGGGGGAGCTGAGTGCCTGAAGCCAGTCGATGTGGGTGGCCAGGAACCCGGTGAGAAGGGTGTGCAGGAAGAAGCCTTGGCTCAGTCCGGCCGCCCACTTGCAGGTCCAGATGGCCTCATCGCGCCATATTCCCCAACGCCCTTGTCCAGTGACGACTCGGGAGGCGCTCAAGCCCATGACGATCCGTGACCTGGCAAGGCCAACCTCGGATGCAATATGCACGTCATCGGAGAGACAGTTGGGCAGGAGAGAGACGAGCTTGGTGGTGCCCTTGGGCGGCTTGGCTCGGGGCTCGTCAGAACGCCTGTCAGTGGTAAGAGACGGCCTTCTGGAGCCCGCGGTTGCCCAAGAAGCCGAATAAGGCCCCGGGGAGGCCATGTCTGTTTGCTTGAGCATGGTGTGCAACCTGAAAGCGACGACGGACTGGAGATGAGTCAGGGTGCGCATGATGATGTCCCAGTGCTTCGTAAGCGAGTCGATGCGATCCTCGACGTCAATGGAAAAGGACGAGTCGGTATTTTCACCGTAAAGGCCCGAGCCGGACATGTTCCAGCCAGACATACGAGTCGAGCTGTAGGACGAAGAGAACAGCTCTTGGTCATTGTACGATCCTGACTCGCGAAAGGCAGGCTTGGGGGGTACGGCCGAAGAGATGCGTGACGGTGACGGTGGAAGCTGTACCACAAGCACGACGGCGTACATCGGCGTGCGCCGCTGCTTGGGCTGCAGCTTCTTCTTCTTCAGCGTGGCCTCGTCACCGGTGGGCGGGAAGGGAAAGCCGCCGCCATTGTCATCCGAGTATCGGCTAGGGGGTGTGACGGAACTATCCAAGTCGTCGGCAGCCAGGGTCACCGGGAACAGTCGAGTGATGAGGACCTTTTTACGGTCACTCTGACGCGGAGTAGAAGCGCCAGTGGGCAGCGGCGGATTCGTTGGAGACACGGTCTGGGACGAGTAAGACTGAGACAGCTTGCTTGAGCGGCCAGCGGCACGCCCAATGGAGCTGCGGCCGTCTCCAAACACGGAGCTCGCGTGATCTGGGGCGCGAGGCTCGGCAGGCACAACGTGGACCTTTGTAGAGGTGCCCTTGTAAGCCATGAGCTCCGAGTTACCAAAGATGCAGCTGGAAAAGGTGGCCAGCTCCTCTCGGTACTCACGCGCAGCCCTCTGCCCATCCGTCTCTCCAAAGCTGTGGCTACGGCTGTGCACTGAAGCCCGGCGGTCAAAAGCACCCTGTCGAAACTGAGAGCTCTCGGTATGAGTGACGGTTGGCCGAGGGGCCTGGCTCTGGCTCCCCTTGCGAGGCGAGAAGGCGGCTGTCCTCTTCGCATCCGGGGCAGCAGTGGAATGCCTCTCAGAGGCGGCCGCAGACTCGGGAAGGGGGTGGCTATCAAAGAGGAGAGATGCATTGGTAGGGCCTAGCGCATCTTGCATGATGATGACGCGGACGTCCTTGACATCGAGCTCGATATCATCGTTGTAATCGAAGGCGTTGGCCGGAGAGGCGGAAGAAGCCGCCGGAGCAGTGAAGAAGGGAAAGACTTGGTCATTGCGATGTTGGTAGAGATCCTGGGCGTCGGGAAACAGCAGGTTGCGGGTGTGCGAGTCTTCTTGGACGGATTCCAGTGAGAGGATGGGCCGGGAGCCGTTGTTGGACTGAATAGGACCACCCGTAGACTGGCCGCCGGAGCCAAGATGCAGAAGCCGTCCTAGCATATCGTGTAGCAGCGGCAAGTGAGAGGAAGAACCGGAGAGGCGTCAAGGAAAAGAGGCGGGATATCTGGATGACGAAGTGCGCAGCTAACGAGGGCGCGGAAGATGCGGGATATCAGCTTCGGTGAAAGTTAAACCAAGCGGTGCGCCATCACCAGTAATAAAGTCGGGACATGGCGGCACATGGACATGATTGTTCGTCTTCCTGCTTTGCTTGCTTTTCCTTTTTTTTCTTTGTTTCTAGTCCTTCCAAGTCTCGTGAGGTGCCGGTGCGTTCTAGCCTCTGGAAAATGGATGTGTGAGTCGCAAGCCGTGTCACCAAGCCGAGATGGTCGCCGTCTGGATTTCGCTTATTTCCAAGATACAGCTGGAGCGCTCAGCTGCACACAGCCACGGAGGCGGTCCGGATGCCAGGGAGAGATTAGCCTGGGCGAGACAGGAGGTTCAAGGAAGGCAGCGGGAGGTGGTTCGCCCGTCGAAGCAAGACGAGACACGCAGCGCGCGCCGGTGATGGACAGCCGTCCCGGAGGTTGTAGTTGTATGTATTGTATTTGCCTCCAGACGTGCCTCCGGATGCAAGGCACGTGCGTAAAGGGAGATGCTGGGGACGCAGGGGCGACGGCAGCGCTGCGATGCGACGGTTCGTATATGTGCCGGACGGCGGTTTGGGCAACGGATTGGCTGCGAGGGAGAAGCAACAGGAACTGGCCCCTCCAGAGGCAGGTTGTGCGTCGGGACTGAGGCCTATTCGCGAGGCAGCTCGAGCCTTTTGTTCGTGACGGGCGAATGGTGAGGGAGAGGTTGGAACCCAAGAGGCCGGGACCAGCAGAGGAGCGCCTTGGTGCTCTAGGGCGGTGGGGGGAGCCACTGAAGGGCGACCAGCAGCAGCCCACAGCGCCGAGTCCACAGCAGCCCACAGCACGGCCAACTCCCGCTAGCTCTCAGCAGCCAGCGGCCCAGTGGCGGGCTGGCAGTGGGCTGGCCAGTGGGCTCGCTGCGCTGTAGTGCCCTGTAGCTGCAGGAGGGGGCCGCTCTAGGGCTCTCGGGCGCCCCAGCACGCTGGAGCCACTGGGGGGCTTCTTGCCTGTTCAGGTGGTGGCGCGAGCACAGCGCTAGAGCCACAGCGCAGTAGCCGCGGCGGAGAGCGCGGGGCGGCGTGTGCGCAGTGGATTCGGGGGAGTTAAGCAAGTAGAGGCGACGTGAGGAGCGTATGGGATCTGTATGGGTGCATGAAGTCGTCGCTACTTGTCATGATCAGGTCAACCTCGAGTTCTCGATCAGTTTGCATTTTCAATCAAATCAACTCGATTCTCCAGACAACTGAAGCTGGTGGGTTCCTCCTGCTCAATCAATGCTGGTGACCAACTTGCCAAGAAGAACCGGCCAGCGTCCTGTCATTCGCAATGGATCGCTCCTGTCTGCGTTATTAAAGCGCCGCCGCTGATTGGCTGCGCAGCCCAGATCTCGAGCGGGTAGGAGCGAACAGCTCCAGTTGCCGTTTTGCTGCACGTATGACGGCGCACTGAGACGATCTTGACAGACGAACCACTGCCGCTTTTACAGGAGGAAAACAACACCATGTTTCTATTGTCTTGCTCCAAATCCCGAGACACGAAAGACTCCAAATATCTTATCAGATACTATACTTCTGACTCTGATATTAGTATAGGAACGAGGTTTGTGCTCATATGCTAGTTCGGGACTTTTGACTCGACCTTCAGCCCAGCCCGTCAGGTACAGTACTATCAGCCCGAAATTGCTTGTTCCTCCCCTTGCTTTGCCGTCCTTTGCTGTCCAGTGATGGCAACTTCTTCACGTCGTCGCAGTTGACGCAAACCCTCGGAGCCGTTCGGTCTCGAGCTCGATCCTCATCGGCCACTCAACCAAACAGCCCCGAAGGCATAAACGTCACTCGACTGTTCATCGCAAGGCGCACCTCCAATCGATCAACAGATGCCACCGCAGATACAGGCTATTCTGCCCTATCAAGGCCATCATCACATCTGACAATCTGCGCATCTGCCACCCAATGATGCGATCGACCTTTCTTCTTTTTTTTGCTCCAACAAGCCAGATGCTCCAGCTGCGGCAGAGCTCCGTCTCAGCCCATCATTCCCCAGCCCACCCACACTGTTCGGGCAGTCGAGTCACCATGGTAGCGTCAGCGCGAGGGATGGGATGCTCACATGCCACATACACGCACATGTAGCAGGGAAGGGCCTTGCTCTCTGAAACACATCTCCGAAAATGCGGTGAATGAATTTCACACAAGCGGCAGACGTGGACGTTCTCAGCATGTCCAAGGACTCTCTCCGTAATGCTCTCCATAGTACATGCCTGTTGCTGAAATCAGCGGCGCCTTTCTTCTCCCTTCCATTGTTGCTTTTTGCCCTTCCACCCCCGCCTGGCTTGATGCGCGCTAACTTGCCGTTTTGTCTTTACAAGGACCGAATGACCAGCTTGCCAGGCCAGCCCGCTGTTTGGGTGACCAGGCCCAGGGACGGCGCATCGGTCTTGTTCGGGCCATGTCCACAGCAACGCTGATCTTGCGAGGGGGCCAGAGCTTCTTGATGATGGAAATCCAGGGTCCCCGATGGGTCCCGTACTGTATAAGAAGCAAATCTATACTTTGCGGGAACCAAAAGCTGACTTACCACTGAATCCTCGGAACCCTTTGAGCTTGCTTGTGTGCTCTTTGCTTTGTCAGTTTTTGCACGGCAACCTATTGCGTGCCAAAGTATGGCGATCCGCCGCATCATCACCAACAGATGTGCAGAACATCGCTGGGAGATAATGATTGGGTAACCTTCACTGATTGATGCAGCTCTGCAAGATCGCCTTGGCCTTGACATCATTGTCTCGTCCTCCAATCTCTGCACCACACAACACGTCAGTCTAGACCAACGGGACAGGGGCCAGGCAGCAAAACACCACACATCCACCTGGACAACCGCATGTATGTACGAAGTAGGAATTCCGTATGTACTTGCATGTACAGCGGACGAATCAGACGAGCCGGGCAGCAACGGGGCCAAACGCCTCGCGATGCCCAATGAGCTGGCGGGCGCCTTTCCCTCAACAATGAGGGCTCACGAAATATCTTTGCACGCGCCTCATCCGCCGTACGAGCCAAGTTTCGGAAGTGCCGAGTAACAGACCGTCTTTTTGTCCTTCGCTTTCACATCCAATTACCCAGACGCACGCTTCATGCGAATCACTAGTGCTGGTATCACTTGGACGATCCTCCAGCCGGTACTGAAGATCATCTGGGCGCGGTCCTTGGCCTAGAGCCATCTGGAAGCTCATTTGCTGCGGTCCGAGGTCATGCCTGGAACAGCAGCTTTCCTCTGTACCGGCCCGGCATGACATTGCAGACGGGCATGTCGCACAGCATGCTGCGGGTATTAATCACTAGTTCGGTATGTATGTAAAAGTCTGACTGTCGCCTGCTTTAGCGAGAAGCAAGCCCCATCTTCGACATTTCAGACATCGAGCGCTAACTTGGCTCATTGCCTAGGTACGCGCCCAATAATAGCTTCTCACGAAGTAATTCGTGACATCAAAACGGGGCGCGAGATGGCATGGTTCGTGCATGGAGAACACCATGCAGTTTACACACCACCAACAATGTGAGTCCTTTGTCCTTGTGGAAGCGACGACACTCTCGTTGCAGCATGGAAGCAAGTCTCTATACTCGTAGTAGTAGTATGCATAACGCGGGTTTTGCAATGCTCGGCAGTCCAAGCAGGGATCTTCTATTATCCCAAGCGTTCTCGCGGGCAGCTATGTGGGTTTCGTTGAGGGCTGTGTGAGACGACGTGTTGAGTTCGAGCGGAGCCGTTGTGAACCTCGGAGAAGTCCTCCGTATTAACGACCAAAACTAGCACTGCTAGATCATCACCAATTGCTAATTAGTACTATTGCTCCTAGCAATTCTACCCATCAGAGACGCGCCGACGAGGTTTCAATCACACCCAAGGCGATATCATTGTGAGATTCCAGAGGAACCGCGTGCTCTACGTGGTTAGGGCCCGCGTTGGATTCCCGTCCTTGCTTCCAGCTGGTGACGAGCGCCGCCAAGCCCCCGTCTTAGGTATTTCTCATGCTGCCAAGAGGTGAAGCAAGGGGGGTTCGTTGGAAGTGCCAGAGCAGGGTTCGCCGCTACATGAGTTTTCTGTAATCGAGACTGACGCCGTATTCGTGTCTCCGAGTTACGATGTCCCGTCTTACAGTCCAGTTCAGAGCTGCCCGGGCTTTATCCTGCAATCGGATTTGAAGAGCGAGCATTAATGATTGTCATCGACTCGCGTCCACAAGCCGTCGGTTGTTAGCCTGGCTTCTAGAATTTACAGATTGGAATGAGGCTAACGCCTGACAGAGATCAAACGACAATAGCGTTCCAAGCTGGGATCACCAATGTCCAAATCTATCATCTCCGGAGCCTTCCGGACAGGTCGTCGAGCTGCCAAAGCACACGTCGTTGGCTCTTGTGCTCCTTTTCTCAACGAGGAGCTAGAGAAGGCAGAAAATGGCCACTACGATGAGCCGGGTCCCACCAACCGTCCAACGCCGCGACTCATTGCCGTTGGCCTCCTCCAATGAGAAGCGCAAAGTTTGTTGCCATTTGCTAATAAGGTATTCTTCTAGAACGGTTCGTCGGTTCGCCGGTGTGCCGAACGAGGCAGCTCCGGTATAAGATGAGGCCTCTCAAAGAAAATTTCGAAGCGCCTGTCAGCGGTGTTGCGGCACAGGCTGCTTGGCCAAATGGTTCGCTTCATGTAGGATGATGTAGTTGTGCGTCACATCTCTTTGTACATACAATGGGCGGCCGCTGTCTGCGCGCTCCCTCTACTACCACTGCATGCAACATGCGCATGTGATGATTCCAAGGAATGCAGAGGCTACATGTAACTACATGTATGCATCCGCCCAAGACCTACATGACAACGGCCGGCTTGCAGGAGGTCATTTTAGCCGGAATGACTTGTTGATAGACAACTGTTATCAAGATGCGTTGTCTTGATGATGTCTGTTCAGAAGGCATCTGCAAGCATGTGCCTGGCTCGCTTACACCGGCCAAAAAAGCTTCCGTTCAGGGGTCTCTTACCCAAAGTCAACATTTAGAGCCTCGGCATAATGGTGAAAGCAAGGGGTCCGTTGAAATGGCCACAAGGCACCGACTACGTAATATCGGACAAACCTCCAAGCAGCCATTGTCGAGACTCAATTCGAGAAGGGCTAAATGTCCGAAGAGTCCGCCTCCGCCACTGTGCTAGACTCCTAGTATTACATACGAGTACATACTAGAGCTGCCGAGATCAGCCCGGCAGTTAGACGGTGCTGCGATTCATGTTTTACATTTGCCGCTGGCCGCTCACCGCGAGTCGTGCAGTGCTTAAGCACATGCCGTGGAGCGCATCGACATGGCAATGTTACATGCTAATACTCCGTACATACGAGTCCAAAAGCTCTATGAATTACATAGCTTTCTGCCTGGAGCGTTTAGGCGAAGAGTTTGGGGAAACGTGTCCATCTAGATACTCCGTACTCCGCAGTGTCTCCGGAGAGTATGTAAGTAATGGCTGGTTGCGGTGTGTCGATCACGATGCATCCAGTCTTGCCAGTTTACAGCAACTTACTTGTGGTAGCAGTTGAAGGTTTCATGTCGAACGAATGGTCGACTCGGATCGGATCGAAACCGAGATGCAGTTCAGTTTTAGATATGAGCTTCATACATCAAGGCAGCCTCAAAGGGGGCAGGTGACGCGAGAACCTTGATGGCCACCCTCATTTACTAAGGCAGAGCTGCACCAAACGTGACTTCAACTCTTTACAACCTCACTCCTCCATGGTCTTATGACAAAATGCGAAAGCACATGCTGTCCTGCAAAAGAAGTGCGTGTCGAAATTATTCATTAAATCGAGAAGAAAAGCTCGAATACTTTCAGAACAATCTATGTTTTACGCGCAACGTCTGCTCGCACGCCGCGAGTCGTACCTGATTCCCAAAGACAAACTCCCATCGAGCCAAATCCCCAGATTGAACAACCTATTAGACCCAATTAATGACCATCAACTTGCCACCTTGGAATGAAGACGACACTCCTGACCTCGCTACGAACGAGCCCCCTTGTCGGAAGCTGGGAGTGCTGCCAGCCTAGACGTCTGCCTGCGTGCAGCACCTCATTCCCGCACAGCGAGTTCCGCACGGCATATGGCAGTCCGAGCTGCCATTTGGTGTGTATATGGACGAGCCGCTGTCTGCAATGGGCGCTACGACGCCTTCTGTCAGCGCCTTGGTGTCGTCCGTCGGCATCCCGACGCTCCCCGCAGTGGCTCCGTCATCTGAGCCCCGAGAAACCGATGTGCTCAGAAGCTGAGGCTGGTTGGAGGCGCGCTGAGGGCGTACTTCGGGCTGCAGTGTCACCGAGTGGATGCCGTACGCGTGTAGACATTGCCTGATGGTCCTGGCCTTCTCAGTGAATCTGCTGATATCGTCGACAATGACATGGGCAGACGCGATGGTTCTGTGCTCATCGAGCTGCCAGATGTGAAGCTCGTGCACAGATTCCGGCCCAGTGGTCTGCAGAACAATCAACGTTAGCCTTCATCTTCTTCTTACTATCACCAGCAGTCTGGAGAAGAAAACACTGGCTCACCATCTGTATATCATGCTTTACGTCTTCTGGGTCTACCGTCTTGGGGGCAGTCTGGAGCAGGATAAGACCGCTCTTCCATGAAGCTTTCATGCCGGTATAAAAGATGATCATTGAGATGAACAAGCTAACAGCAGAGTCTGCATAATATCTCCTTTCTCCGTGGCATTGCCAGATGATGAGGGCCGATGCTATGACGCCAATATTACTGATCGCATCTCCAATCAGATGGAGGAGGACCGCAAAGGCTCCATGGTTCCTATGTGGAAGAGGTCGGTCGAAGGAGAGGTGCCTGTGCTCGCGGTGGTCGTTGAGAGCCTTTGATGGTCGCTTGTTAGACCGGCATGCTCATCGTGTCTAGGGCCGAATTCGAGGACTCTACTTACCGACGTGGACCCAGATCGCGTTGTCCCATCCCTTGTTCCTGTGGCAGCCTCCATCTCATCAAGGGTTACATGATCCTCTCTGGCCTCTGAACGATGATATGTTAGCCATATATAGGAGAGGTTGCAGGAGATTCGCTCGACAGCAAGCTTACCATGGACGATCATGATGGTCACTAGGTTTAATCCTAAGCCAGCGCATCCCACAATCATCACGATCATGGGATGTTCGACGGCTTTCGGTGAGGCCCGTTGTCAGCTCCCCTTGGTCGTTTTACAGAGTGGGTTCTGAAAACTCACCGGTCATGTTAACGAACCGTTCGATGGCTTGGATAGAGATGCTGACACTGAGAGCCAAAAGGAAGACGCCATTGAAGAACGAGCCCAAGATGGGCGCCCGGGCCCATCCAAAGGTGAAGGCTTTTGGCGGCGTCCTCGAACTTTCGGATAGCTGGAGGGGAGGCATTAGATCATGCTGGGCTTTCTCGAGTCAAGGAGAGGGAAACGGACCACGACAGCCTCCAAGGCCACCACAAATCCAATCAAGTCGTTCAACTGCAATGGGTTAGCGACTCTCTCGACCAGCCATTGGGTCTTGTCATACATAGTGGAACGCATCGGCAACCAGAACGAGAGAGTGAGTGATGAGTCCGGCTTTGCATACACGTTAGAACGGCTGAGACGCTGGGGCCATCGCGAGCAACGTACCAAAGAGCTCGGCCACGAAGAACACGAAGGAAATGGCTATAGTCGCGATAAGCCGCTGTTTGCGACTCATTCGGATCATCATCTTGCCCTGGAAGGAATAGACGCAAAGTGTATCGTGCAACACTGAGGGGTCCGGGCTTTTGACAATCGAACAAAGGGCGATTTCGGGCCACAGCTAAGGCTCTGTTGAAAAAGAAAGGAGAAGGGCGGCCGTTTCTCAACCGAGCACAAGGTACCGTATGGCTATGAAATATTCGGTAAAGGAATGGTGTCCCCTCAGCTCGATATGCCGGGAAGGAGGCTGTACTAATACCTCGACGTCTCTGCTACGTGGCTTGAATTGATGCAAGTAACTTGACTTGAAAACTGTCAAGGCCTCAAACTCAAACCACCTGCAATGAAGCGCTCGATGGCTCAGATTTCCCAGTGCCATGCTTCGTTTGCCGGCGGACACTCCGTATACCGCACGGGAAGGGCCTACTGCAAACAAGAATCCCACCAAAGCATAGCATCAGGCCAGATTCAACGTACAGCGATTCAACATGATTCCATTCACTCGGTGCGCGCTATGGGGAACACGGATGAAAGGGCTCCGTCTCTGGAGGAACCGCTTGTTCCCTTCATGGCACCGCCACTGTTGAGGAAGACCGCGGAAGCAGATGGCCGGGCTGATGGCGGACCCTTTTTCTAACGCGAAAGGCGAGAACAGTGGCATTCTTTGACAGAGCGACGGAGACCGGGGGAAAAGCAGATGCTTCCGCGGACAGTGAATGATTGCACCGTTGACAGCTGCTTTAAGCAAACGTGGTGATGGGCTACAAGGGTTTCTGGCGCGGGCGATTGTGTGCATTCAGGAGGAACCGCCCGGTGGGAGCTTGCGCTCTGGATGGGCTTTGTTTCAGACAACTGCCGAGATATGTGTTGAGCAAACTTGAGCCTTGTGTCACAGACAGGAGGAGGGAATGGCGTAAGGAAAGGTAGGAGGTTGCAGAGAGGAGGTCGACCAAGTGGGAGTTCGAAGATGTTCAAAGCGTCATGTCAACATTGGTTCCGGTCACTGGCGTCTTCTATGCTTCATCTCGATGATTGAGAGGCTGGTTGAACTACCATGGGAATCCGGTGATGAATTATTACGCCGCAGGCAGTTTACAATCTCTGCAGACGTTTGTTCATACATCATAATCTATGGAGATGCTGCCGGATCCCGAGTCTTGTATTGTTTGTCTGTCGGCATCTCCTGTGAGACAGACAGGCCTGACTGTATGATTCAGGCCTGGTCTTCTGGGAGCAGGCGGCTATTCAAGACGAAAGAAGTTCGAGGAGTCACAGCAACGCAAATCTAAGATTTGTGTCCGATACTCCATTCTTTTTCTGCTTTCTCTTGAGAAAGCCTAGGAACAGCTGATATGAGGTCTGATACAACAAGAGATGAAGCTGTTTCTCGTAGCAAAGACTGCCTGAGGTAGGAGTACAGCGTGTAGTTGTAAGTCTGTCTCATCCGGAGAATTGCAGTTGATCGAGAAACGAGAGCAGAAGTATGGGTACCTTACCAAGCGCCCTGTTTGTCTGCAGCTGTAGGTAGCGGCTACATCAAGTCCTCATCTCCACCATTTCCATGACAAGACCCCACCGAGACATGTCGCTGACGAATCAAGCAGGCGGTGAGACCGCTCGTGCTGCCATCAAGCTCCCATTCTGCCGCCATCGCTCAGCTTCACCCATCCAACTGCCATCCTCATCATCAGCCAGCATCAACCACCGCCAAACTGTCGCGCGACCACGCATCACCACCCGCACTGGCAGACAATCCTCGCCCTGGATCGCGGGCTATGATCCCATAACCAGACCCCCTCTATGATACTCGTCTCCGAGCCGATTCCATGTCCCGAAATGTCGGCGCAGCACCATCGGCTCCGCGGAGGGGACCGGCGCAGCTGTCCCGTCACCTTCGACAGGCGAGCTCAACCGCCTCGGATCGCGCGTCGGAGCAGGCGCCGGCATCGCCCAGGAGCATCTCTACGCATTCGACCGTGAAGAACGTGCAGGATGAGAAGCCGCGCAAGGCTGGGCGCTATTGCACCGTCACGGTGAATGACGGATATGCGCGCGACGAGGTGCTGCTGAACCTGGACCTGATTGGGGGCGACGTCAAGCCGGGCACCTTGATGTCCATCGCGGTTCTCAAGCCAGAGTTCTTGAAGTCGTCGGGAGGCATCGGCAGCTTGAAGAAGCAGGCGCACGACGACAATGGCAGCGTGCGATTCCAAAACATTGGTCCATGCGACCCGAATGCCCTGGGCCACCAGTACATCTTTGTCGCAAAGGATATGCCCAAGGAGACCAAGGCGCGGAACCCTGACGCAGAAGTACACGTTGTCAAGCACATTGCGGATGTCTTCGGGATGAAGAAGGGATCCATTGTTCTGCTGAGAGCGGTTCGTTTATCTTTATGTATACCGAAGTGACTCGTGATAGACGTGGCTGACTCACATACTTTTGACCTTAGGTTGACAACGACCACCCAGTTACCGAAGCCTCGCACGTTGAACTGATATTCAAAGACCAGTACCTATCGCGGGCAGACATGTGGAGGGTCGCCGTCGGAGAGCTCACGCAGCGGACGGTGTACAAAGGCCAATCCCTTCTCTTCATGGGGACTATCAAGGCCCAAATCTCGACGGTCTATGTCGACGGGAACAGCGTCCACTCCGCCTTCTTCAGTCGCGAGACGAGGCCCATATTTCGCAGCGAGTCCGCCAGATACGTGCTCTTCATCCAAATGTCCAAGGAGATGTGGGACTTTGACTCCGAAAGCTCTGGCGAAATCATGTTCAATAAGGTTGTCAACGGATTTCTACCGGCTCTCTTCAAGCGGTGGGCTCTGCTCAAGGTGAAGCACTTGGTCAGTATTGTGCTGTTTGCCCGCGTCGAGTATGACACAGGCTTGACGAACGATCTGGAGGCGAGCGCGCTCCAATCGGACTACTACACAGGGGTCCAATCCTACGGGAACCGGCGGCCCTACAAGGACTTTTACCGAGTAGTGGTGAGCGAAATGGCGAGCATAGAATGGACCAGGATTTTGTACCAGCTGAAGAAGGAACTCAACTACTTCCGAAGAGACATCACTCTGCATCACTTCACGGCATATCCGTCTACTCAACCCCTATCGGGGAATGAGCCCATCAGTCGAATCAGAGCTGAGTCTTCCTTTGCCATCCATGGCAATATTCTCGAGGCCATCAATCTCGCCTGCGCGCAGTTCTCCCACGACTACATCGATCGCGACTTGACCCGGACAGGCATCTCCATCGCCGTCATTAGCCCCGGCGCTGGCATCTTCGAGGTGGATTATGAGACACTGCGAAGAACAACAGAAGCCCTAGTGGGAAACGGCATCGGGATTGATCTGATTTGCATGGCTCCGATGCCTCTGCACTCGGTCCCTCTGTTCAGATATCGAAATCCGCGATTCTCATTAGCGGAAGACCCGTCCCAGGACCGGCATCATTCGCTGTCAAGGTCGTTTCACAGCCGTGACAGCACGCCAAACCAACCGACACCAGTGATCGGAAGCTACCAGTCCACCTCTGGCTCTTACTCGCCGTCAAAAAGCAGAGACATGATGCGCCGCGTTGAAGGCCTGGATTCCCAAAGTAGGCGTGACGAATGGTGCTATGTACTGCCTCAGTGGCTGCACGTTTCCTTCTGGACGGGCACCTCCAACGAAGCGCTCTCGTACGCGGGTGTGGCCTTGTCCGTATCAAACAAGGTCGACCAAGACGACGACGAAGATGACTTCAGGATAAGATGCCGCATGTACGATCTTCAGATGCGGAGTGCACTTGACACGAACGATATTGAAATCACCCCGCTGCACATGGATCCTCACTACCCTAGCAATATCTTTGAGAATAGCAGCCTCTCCAAGAGACGCCAAGAGGCGCTTGGTGATCTCTGGTACAATCCCCCGGCCCGCCTTCCTGATCACTTACTCGAGAGCATCCATGGGTTCCAGAGGTTCACGCCCGAAAGGCTTGCGCGCCCTGCTGAGCGGCCCTCTTGGAAGCAGCTGCAGGAGTTTGATGATTCCAGAATCATTCTGACCTACCGCAAGCGCCAGCAACATCATCACCACGGCTCGGAAGCAGGTCTCAGATCGGATGACAGTCGTAGGCACCATTTGGAGGACATGAATGTTCTGGGATCATCACTCCCGGAAAAGAAGTTACACACCAATGTTCCTTCCACGAGGAAGCTCTCAATGAACCAAGCAGAGATTGAGAAGCCTAACATGTTTGTCAAGAGGAGGCTGCCAGACCCGCCGCCCCTGAAAGAACCACCTTCTCCTAATCCCCCACCGCTGCAATCGCCAGCTGTCACCAAGGTCGCTTCGGCGTCGAAGGCGCCCAAATTTATAAGACAGATCAGCCTCGGGCAGAGGGGATTTGGCATAGCAGCCCCCAAGATTGCGGCGGCCGAGGTCAAGGCAGAAACTGTTAACGCGGCTGTTCCTGTTTCGAGGCCAAGTGCGCCGACTACTCCGCGGTCGCGCCCGGCCCTGAGGCCGTCTACGCCTCTGACTACCAGGAGCCAGTCTCCGTTTTCAATCAAAAAGTCCAGGGGAGAGGCGGGTGATCCTGTCATTGAGAGGATGTCGTCGACGCCGAGTATCCCCATCCTGGTGAAGAACGGGTCGAATCGTCACGAGATGAACCTGTACGACCTGAAAGCGGGAACTCCCGCTCATCACGGTTCAGCATCACGTACTCGCAACGGCAGCTTCGAAGACGAGGGCGAGTTACATCATAACATGCTCCGAACGGAAGATCACAAGGTCGTCCTGAGCAAGCTCCGGGCGGGTGTGGGCGTGACGCCGGAACCTTCGCAGACGATCTCGCCGACATCAGCCATCAGTCCCTGGCTGGTGCTGTTGAATCCGTCGGATCCTGATAAGAACCAGATCGACCCGGCCAATCTATACACGCGCTGGCAGCACATTTTCCCTCGCATATCCGAGATGAAGATACAAAAGTGGAAAGCCCTATGTTGCCCTGCTGCAGTTCCGTTGACAACGGAATACTTTCCCACTAGGGCGCAATTTGATACCGAGTATCAGAGGCATCCCTACAGCGTGGATCAGAATGCGGATGATGAATCATCTGAAGAGCCCAAATCGCGGCAAGAGTTCATCAGCGAGCTCATCAGCCTGCGGTTTTCGCAAGGTTTCCAAGTCGTTGTTGGGCCGGCAGTTGCGAGAGCGTTCGGCCAAAAGGTCATTAAGCTGGGAGACATCTTCTCGCGCGACCAAGTTCTCGAGGATGGCACGAGCATATTCATGTCTGTCGGCAACATCATTCATCAGCTCTCATGCGTCAACGGGACAGAGGTCGACGTCAACATCTACGTTAGGAAACCCACGGCCGATCTGTCCGGGCTGCCGGAAGGGTTCTCTCCCATGTACAGGCCAGCCATCAGAACGCTGTTTGACACAGAATATGAAGCTCGACAAATAGAACTGCTGTCGATTCCAAGGCCCGATCTCAACTGGAACCTGATCGACTCGTACGCTGCGGGGCATCACGAAGAGATGATGGAAAGCTTGCGCTTCTGGCGAGCCAGGTTCGTCCTCATTCCGCTGGTGGCCCAAAACCCTTCGGTGCCTAGGACGCAAACCGGTTTGTACCCCGAAGAAATCAGGATAGAGGGAATCAAGCGCCTGGCGCAGCTGTGGCAAAAGAACCGCTACATACCGCCCTCGGAACGGCGCTTCCAAACCAAAAACAGGCTGGATCGTAACCCCTTGGACATCATCTACAAGACGGAAGATCCCTCTGTCGTCATTGCGGCCGAGCTGGAAACACTACCTCTGACCGAGGGCCTCGAGGGCGGCATGGGTAAGAAGCATCAGCTCGTCACGAGGAAAGAACGGTTTGAAAAGTCCAACTTGAACTTTGCTGCCCTGGCGGAAGCCATGCAGCAGCCTGTGGAACAGGGCGGCGTTCCTCTGCGCAATCGTCGCTGGCATCTCCGGCTGCATTACCACTCGTTTCTCGGGTCTGACATGACGACGTGGCTATTGGAGAACTTTGACGACCTTGAGACGCGCGAAGACGCAGAGGAGTTGGGCAATGCGCTGATGGTGCCGCCAGAGCCCAAGGGCAAAGAGAAGGACAAGGACAAGGACAAGGACAAGGACAAAGATGGCACCGACAAAGACAAGGACAAGGAAAAAGAAAAGCCTAAAGGGCTTTTCGTGCACGTCGAGAAGCGCCATCGGTTCCGAGACGGCAACTACTTTTACCAGTTCGCCCCTGAGTTTGCGAAATACCAGTCCGGCTGGTTCGGAAGCAAGAAGAAAGACGGCCCCCTGCCCCTGACGCCCATGACGGAGGCGTCGATAAGCTCGGGCAGGACGCGATCGGTGCACGACGACCACTCGCCGTCGTCGCTGACCAGTACGCCCACGCTGTCGGCGCTGCATGTGGGCAAGAGCCGGCCCAGGGTCGTCCTGAGCAAGGTCATCAAGTACGACGTGGACCCTAGGAAGAGGTCATATCGTCCTGAGCGGATCGACCTGCACTACGACCGGCTGCACAACCCGGACAACTGCTACCACGTGAGGATCGACTGGATGAACGCGACGGCCAAGCTCGTGGAGGACGCCGTCGACGTGTGGGAGCGCGAGGCCAGCCAGTACGGCCTCCGGCTGGTGGAGGTGCCCATTAGGGAGGCCAGCAGCATCACGGAAGTGAATCCCTTTAGGAAGGCATATCCCATCAAGCTTGCGGTGCAGCCTCCGGACAAGAAGCCCGAGACGTTTTACGACCCAAACTCTCTCGGGCCGCAGACGGTGCCCACTCGACATTTCTACCAAAAGGCCATCCTGCGGCACTGCGACTTCGTGCTCGACACCGAGGCGGCGTCCAACTACCCCAGCAACGTGGACATTATCTACTCCTGGGGCCGTCCGGACTACAGGTACACCCAGTACATCCACCGCTCGGGCCTGCTCCTCGCCCAGGTGACGGACGAGGGCGACTTTCTCGTGCTAGCGAACCGGCTGTACGGCAGACGGGCCACCAAGGAGCGAGACATGCCCGGCAGAAGCTTCACGCCGATGGAGCAGCAGCCCCCGCCTCATCTCATGGCGGACAGGCTCCTCGGGCGCGTCCCCTCGTACGACTCGTTCAACCTCTCCGAGTCGGTCATGGCGGGATCCTCGATGCAGCACCACATCGGCCATCACCAGGGTGGCGGTCTGGTAGGAGGAGGAGGAGGAGGATATTATCCCGCTGCGTACATCCAGCAGCACGACAAGCACCATCACCACCCGTACCACTACCACCACCAACATCACCACCCTCACCACCACCAACACCACCACCATCACGCCTCGCCCAGCCTCAAAGCCGTCAACCCAGACGACCCCCTCAGCAAGCCTCTCCTCCAACAAGGCTACCCATCCACGTCAACATCATCATCCGCCCACCAAACCCTCGAGCCGGAAACCATCAAATCCGAGTTCGAAGCCTTCTGCTCCGACGCCCTCGCCCTCGAGGCGTTCTACAAGGAGACGCTCGAGCGGGGCCAGCACATCCAGGGCACGCCCGCGACGATTGCGTCGTCCACGGCGCCGTCCGGCCTCGAGGCGGTGCCCGAGGCGAGCATCCCGTCGCTGGGACTGCCGCCGGGGGTGCTGGCGTCGCTGGATGCCGCGAATGGCGGCGGCGGTGCTGCCGGCGGGCCGGCGGGGGCGGTGAGGATGGGGAGCCCGATGATGTTTTTGAGGAGGGGGAGCGTGCAGTTTGATGGGTTGGGGTTGGGGTCGGCGGGGGCGAAGAAGTGATGAGTCTGTTTTGACTTGGGGGGGTATTGTCTGGTTGATTGGATCTGGATGGTAAGATGGTGATGGGCTGTGGATGATGTATAGGGGGGGTTGTGAGATGTGGAGGGAAGATGAGGTGAATACCGGGAGTAATTGTAATGAGCCATGTATATTATTGTGTTTTGTCAGGCATTGTGTATTAGCGGCAGTCGAATACCAACGACCAATTAATCTATTGTCCGTATCATCCTTCTCAATAGGCTGCGACAATCACCACATAGAAACTGATACAACTGCAAAAAAGGCGAAAAGAAGCCCAAGGAGGAGGAGAGTAGAGAGCAGCGGTAAGGGACGTCAGAGGCACCATTCTCAATTTCACCTACTAGACTTTATATAACGTAGCAAGATGAATCAAATGCCATGGTATTCCACTCTATTCCACAAAGATTCTCTTCAATCTACCTACTTACTCTCACATGTTCCATCCTCCTCCAACCAACCATGCAAGAAGGAACTAGTAAAACAAAAAAAAACACACACAGAAATGCGGCGTTTTATGTTGCACGTTCCAGAGAGTTTCTGCAAATATAGTACAATTGAACGAAGAAGCAAAAGCCCAATTTTTAAGCCCCCCTTCCAGGTCGATATGCGTTCTAAAGTAAATGCGAAAGAAACAATGAAGAGCGTTCTCGTGAAGCTCTAGGTCATGAATAAAACAGAACAAAAAGTGATTTTTGAAAAAAGGTAAGTTTTGATGATTTTGTTTTCTTTGTGTTTATGCATCGAATGTAAAAAGTAAGACTGTCCTCATAAAATCCCAAAACAGACATTAAAAAACGGAGACAAATTAACCGTGAGGCAATAAATGCGAGTGGTATCAAAGAAAAAAATAAAAACGAGAAAGCAAAGATGCAGAAAATGAAAGGGCGGCAAAGTCTCTAAGACTCAGCGCCAGTGTCCTGGTCGGGGTACCCTGGGGAAACATGTTAGTAAGGGGATCTTGTAGAATGGACATGATTGTTGAGACTTACAGAATGCGCAGACGGCAATAATGGCGTACAGGCAAATCAACAGCCAGCCCTCGAGCCAATGGCTCTTTCCATCGCCAATCAGGTAGTTGACCAGCAGCACGGCGACAAACATGACGGCGACCTGGAAGGTGTCGAAGCTCAGGTTCATCTCCTCAATGCCCATGCCCCATCCAATGACGACCAACAGAGGAATCAGGAACAGGGCGACCTGCATGCTGGAACCGACGGCAACACCAATGGCCAGGTCCATCTTGTCCTTGACGGCGACGGTGACGGCGGTGGCGTGCTCAGCGGCGTTGCCAACAATGGGGAGCAGAATGAGACCGACAAACTCCTCGGACAGGCCACCATTAGCAGTGATGGCGTCGATGGAGCCAACCATGAACTCGGCACAGAGGGCAATGATGGCGGTAGCACCGGCGAGAAGACCAACGGCCACGTAAAAGTGCAGCTGGGGCTCTTCCTCCTCCTCGTCATCCTCGGGGTTCACAAGCTTCGGCTCTCCCTCCTTGTTGACGATGCCGCGGGTGACGACGGAGCCGGGCAGCAAGAGGCCCTGCTTGATATCGTGGTTGGCGGATCCGCTGCTCCAGGGCTTGGCCGGGACCTTTTGGCTCTGCTCGGAAAAGACGGCCTGGTGGGTGCCGAGCTGGAAAGCCAGGTAGGCGGCGTAAACGATGAGCAGGATGACGGCAGTGCCGCGCGACAGCTTGGCGACCTTATCGGTGGGCGTGTTGGCGGCGGCGTCAAAGACGGTCGGGACGATGACGGAGGCAGCGGCCAGGGCCAGCATGGAGGCGGCCGTCTGGGCGACGGTGGTGTTGAAGTACTGCTCGGGACGGCGCAGGCCGCCGAAGAAGAAGCAGAATCCCATGACGAGCAGCAGGTTGGAGAGGATGGAGCCGATGAGCGAGGTCTGGACAATGGCCACCTTGTGGTCGATGAGGGCGATGACGGCGACGATGAGCTCGACGGCGTTGCCAAAGGTGGCATTGAGCAGGCCACCGAGCGTCTCACCGGTGCGGAGGGCAATCTCTTCGGTTGCGAAACTCAGCAGGGCGGCGAGCGGGACGATGGCGATGAAGTTGACGACGAAGACGGCGATGCGGTCGACAGACTTGATGTAGTTGAGGGCGATGCCGACCGGGGCGGCAACGAGCAGCACGTTGATCCACGAGTTGAGCAGGGTGCGCTGCAGCTGGTTGGCCACGGTGAAGGGCTCCTTGGGCTGGACATGGCGGATCAGGCCCGACTTTTTCTTTTCGGGCTTGGTGTTGTTGGGCTCCTCAGCAGCGGCGGCGGCGGCGGCGGCCGTCTGGGCCTCGTCGCGGTCTCCCTTGCCGCGGTTGCGCAGGCCATCGGCGTCGGTCGCGGGCGGCGCGATGAGCGGCCGGTCGTGGTTGTATTCGCCAGACTGCTTACCGGTTCCCGAGGTCGACGTGTCTCTCAAGGGTATGCTGTTGTTGGCCGGGTAGGTCGCCGCATGGGTCAGATCTTCGCCGGCGACATTGTCCTCGCGCTGGGCCTCGAGTCGGGCGCCATCCCAGGTCTGCGACCGTCTCTTGTTGCTATCCCATGACAGATGGCGGAAAAAGTTCCATGACTCGCCGCTCTGACGGCTGACGAGGTGCGCCTTGCGCTTGATATCGGCGTGATTGACTGGAAATAGGTTGGTTAGTCGGTTTCTCGCCGGTTTGCCATCCGTCGCCTCGTGTGACGACATTCGCGATGCGTGGGCAGGGAGCAGAAGCGTGCAGCTTCGAGGGCGCGGAGGGCAAGAAGCATGAGATGGCGAGGTGAAGGAGGGTAGAATGAGGAAGAGGAAAATCCAAGGAGTGACGGGTCAGAGGAAGTGAGTGAATGAATGAATGACAAGGGCAGAAGCCGTCTGTCTAGCCGTCTGTTGGTGTTGGTGAAGAAGATGCGGCGGTCGCAAATGGAAGAGGCCCGACGAACCACATCCACAGAAGACCCAGTTTCCTCGAAGCAAGGGATGGGGATCGTCGAGCCCAAGTAATCAACAGGAAATTGGATGGGCGCATAAAAGACTGCATAACAGTAACACTCACATGATGACATGGTCCAGTATTCGACTCAGCCCCAGTTCTACCAAGACCTGTTCCCCCACTGAGCGATTAGTGCTCCCGTCAGGTACAATCAAATAAAAGGGATCGGGTTGCGGCGTTGTCACGGACTTGGCGCGCGCGTCCGTTGGATCTGTGTTCGGTGTCGGAGAGTTTGCGTACCGAGGATTCTGTCGTTTCGTCCGCGGAGAGGATCGATGAGCGACTCTTTGTATCTAGGATCGCGAATGGGCGGCCTCGATCGCTGATACAGCAAAAAGCTTCGCCTCACGCCGCTCCTTTTCCTTTTTGCCTCGGTGGCTTTGTGCCTTGCGTGGACTGTGCGTGGTCGAGCAGCTTCGGCGCCGTTGATTTGGAACCGGCGTGGGAAATTCTAGCAAGCAGGAGTTAATTCCACTTCTCCTGGGGCTGTGGCTTGAATGGTGCTCTTGGGCGGAGAGAGCTAGTCCCGCAGAAGTAAAATAATGTCCTGGGGACCCCCTGGCAAGGCTCCAAAACACGCGTAACTGGACGAGGCACGGAGGAAATAGTGTGATTACCTTCGAAGGGCTATTCGCAGCAATCTGAGACTGTGTAGTCGCAACAGAGAAACAGGGCAAATCTGGCCTTGTTTCGGACTTGAGATGTGCGACCGGCGAGGCCTGGATGTTTTGTTTGGTTCTGTTGGTCGAATGCGCCGCTTCTCAGTGCTGCAGGCGTCAAAGCTTCTCGAAAGGCGTTCGTTCGTCGGGGTCACACAGCAGCCGCTCGCTCGTTCGGATCGATGAACCGGACTCTTGGCTCTGGCGTTTCGTGAGGCAGACAGGCCGGTCGAATCCAGGCAACCAAGACAGAAGTGCCGGCAATAGGGCGGGGGTTGGTGCGTGTGCGTCGTTGCGTCGGTCGGGATCGAGAGGCGAAGGAGGCTGTGCCGGTATAACGAGATGCGTATTGCCGTAAGTCGTAATGAAGATTGATGAGAGTGGGAAGAAGGAAGGCTATGCAGCGGAGAGGAGCTGGAGCCTGTGCTTGTGTTTTGTATTGGCGTTGGAATTGGAATTCGCTTTTTCCGCCTGTGCGCGTTTGAGTGAATGACGGAGGGGGGAAGCAGTCAGCCGTGAGGAATGGAATCCCTTCGTTTCTGTCTCTTCTCTCTTTGGTTGCAGGAGCACAACAAGCGAGAGAGGGGGAAGAAGAGGAAGAAAACAAGAAAACCGGCACACGATAATAGTTTCTGCAACGGCGCACCCTCGAGCTTTTTGACTTGTGGGAATGGCCAGAGGGAGATACAACCAAGTCAATGACGGCCTGCTGATCCCCTAAAATTCAAGGTTCTTGTGCCACGACAAGCTTAAAGCTGGCTGTTGGCGCTACACTGTTTTTTAGGGGGTCGCAAAGAGGGCTGCTGTTGTGCTGCTGGAGCACAGCAGTAGGCGGGCCAAGTGCCGAGCAAGTACCGCCTGGGTACTGCGGCCAGGAGAGCCAAGACAAGGGGTTTCGACTTGGCAAAATGCTTCAAACGATCTCATGAGGCCGTCCTTGTATGGAGACTGGGGTCCTCAGTCGATACGAGCATCTCGTACTCGTAGTACAACTACGCAAATAACTATTAAAACAGGTACATTCCTCATCTATCTTTGTCGTTGTGCTGCAGGCCTTCTCTCTCGTCTTCCCAACAGACAACACAGAGCATACAACTCCTCCCAAAAACAGCACACTCTGCCAGCGCCGCATACAAACTAGAGGTATACCTTTGTCGAGCCACAGCCAATGAATCGTGCAAGGTAATGAGGTCAAGTATCCCCAGGTAGCGCACGGAGGCCTCCTCTCACCGTCTTGAGCGTTGTTTGCCCCAGAAATGCCGGGTCGTAGCTGTTCCGTGGCCCGTCTCAGCCACCGCTCGCATCATATAACCCAACTTGACAACGGATACACAGCATAACATTACCAGACAAAGAATTACTTACCAGGTATCAATAGCAATTCTTTACATAGAATCTCTAAACGCGCACTCAAGCATCAGAAATAATCACAAACAGAGTACACACACTTCAAAAGAACATCGCCAATCAGACAATGATCCAAACCTGGAACCGCCAAAAAGTACACTTGCGGTACTTGGCAGGTACTCATCATCCCAATCCCCTTGCCTCCACCAAACAAAAACCGGCGCGTCACCATGCCGTCGAGTCGTTACCCGATCAGGCCTAGCCTGTGTGCAATAACCCCGTCCCGCCCCTTGATTGACCGGGAGCCAGCCAAAACTCTCTTCTTCCTCTCAGGCACGAAAACCCTGAAAGATGGTGCTCGTGTTCGTTTGGATCCTTTGACACAGCAAACACTCTCAGAACAACACTGCAAAATGCTGCTCTATTTGGTATCTATATAAATGGACGAGGAAGCTGCCCAATCGCTCATTGGCATGACTTTCTGTCCAAGTTTTATACAGGCAGGTGTACGAGTTTGAACAAATTGCAGAACAGCCCCCCAGCAGCCCACTTGCAAGTTGGAAGCCAATCATTCCTCCGCCCGTTGCCCAACACAGTAACCGTGGCGCCACCCATTTCATCGTCCTTTCATCACCACCACTGCCCATCAAGCAATCAATGAAATCAACCACTAGAGGGCAAAAAAACAAGGTCAAGTTCAATTGAGCCCAAACTCACCATCACCACTTGATTACGTGTCCAAGAAAGAGCACACAGTATGGTCCCTCTAGCTTCATGCACTCCTGCGTGCACCCTACATTCTCCATCGAACCTCGTAAATGCTTCCAAGTTCTAATAACGCCTACCTGAAGATACCCAATCCATACACAAGATGCCACCCCCTTGACGTCAGACGCATGCTGCGACTGCGCTGCACTCCTTACGCCATGCATCTTCATCCGCCCCTCGCATGTATGTATGCATCCTGAGTCTTCGTAACATGCATCTTTTTGGGCATCTCCATTCGAGCCACCCGATCGGTGGACTGCTTGACTAAGACGGGGCCTAATCCCGTTCACCGTAATGTAGGTTCCCTTATTACATGTATTCCAAATCCCCGATCGCTGCGCCTTACCGTACGCACAGATCTTGAGGTACTTCACATACCTCCATCTGGTAAGGCGACAACAAGAGAGAAAACGCCTCCCGCACAGCCTTGGCAAACACCATCTAAGCCCATCGATGCTCTACATTGACGGTTTTGCGCAGCATCAGAGTCATTTCGCATCTCTCGTCAGCATCACCACATCCTCTTTTACAAAAGAAGCGGTTGATTCCAACTTCCCGTAAGACACTACATAGGGCCTGGCCTTTCAGACAAACATTTTCCATCCAATGATGTCCCGCCACACATGTAGTATTCCTTCTCACAGCAGCTTCGTTCTAAGCATGCAGCTACCTCATGCCATCACAGTCCACGCTGTCCAAGCAAACCACCCTGGCACCTTTGTACCCAAAATCCCAAATTCATGCGCCGAAACTAGCACTACCACGCCATCACATTAATGACGCCAAAACTTGAACTTCACAGATGCCGTGTCATGTTGGGCTCCAATAGAAATCCTCCCAACAACACAAATTACTTCGTCACGAGAGTTACAGCATGAAGCACGCAGGGGCACAGCATCCGCATGTCAAACATTAGCTCACAGGTCGTACACGCAGCACAGGCAGCTCGTCATCTTGATTCGGTAATACAGCGTCAATTCTAGTACTACCAAGATTATGCTGGTTTCCTTCTCGACGCCTTTCATCTCTTCGAGGCGAGGGAAACTACGCAAGTATTCTATCATACCTAGGTTCCCTTAGACCTAGCCGGTATCATTGAAAATGCCCTTGAACCATGCCCTCCCTGTAAACGCCGTATCTGCCGTCAAATGCGTTCCATCCGTAATCTTCCTTATATGCTGAGCAAAATGCAACCCCCCAGCCTGCTTTATCCGCCTTGAGACGGTATATAGGCAATAGTAGTCTGCCAGCCGCGCCCACCGCTACTCCCGCATCGAAGCAACAGAGAGAAGGGGGTGTGGTGAAAGAGGAAGAACAAAACCGTTTGGCGCCGTATGTGCCGCTAAGATGAAAGAACAGACAAAGGAAAAAAAATCAAGTGACATATGTTCCAGATCGACCCAACTCAGAGACCCCCTTCTGGGCTCTCTAGATCCAATCCATATCATCGTCTTCATCGCGTGACTCCCCTGCTTTACGCGGCCGACCCCGTTTGCGTGGCTGAGATCCCGAGCGAGCGCGTTTCTTGCGGCCTCCAGGAGTGCCTGCGCCTTTCCTCTTGCGACCCCGTTCCGGTGTTGCGCCGCCCTCAGCCTCGCCTTCGCTAGGCGTGCTTGGTCCGTCCATGACCATCTCCTCGTCTTCGTCTTGCACCTTGAGCTCCTTGTCGATGTTCATCAGCTCCACAAAGGCCTTACACTTGTGCGCCATTTTGCTCATAGTCTCTAGGCTGCTCACGTGCGCGGTCACCTCATCCCAAAATCGTTCTCCGTGGACTCCCTGCACCTTCATCGGCATCTTGTTGAGGTCTTTGGCGAGTGCCTTGGCCTTGCCGTCGTGTCGGCCCGTTCCCATGCCATAGAGGCGCCGGAGATGCGTGCGGGCTTCCCACAGGCAAGAGAGGATGATGGCACCCGTTGTCAGTTGACGCAGTCGGCCCGGGTCTACCTTGACGCCAAGAAGGACATCTCCCTCCGCAACCGCTTGCGCTTCAACAGTCTCCGTCATGAGCTGGCCCGTAACTTCGTCTTGTTCTGTCTTCTCCGGCTCGAGCCGCACATCAAACACCTCCAATTCGATGAGGTGGGCGACTGTCGCGCCGGTCGTGCTCACAATCTTCTCCATCATGTTCACAACCGTCTGGAGCTCTCCGACCGTCTGGTACTCGAAAAATGCAATGTTCTCGATGATGAACCGGGAGTAGTCCAGATGCGGGGGCATCTCTTGCGTTGCGTCCAGCTGCGCAATGTCAAAGTTGACCTGTCCAATGAGCTTCTCCATGAAGCGCTGCCTGTTCTTC